TAAAAAAAAAAAAACCCCCCCCCCCCCCCCCCCCCCCCCCCCCGTCAAGTTGGCAAGTTTCAGGTTGCTGGGTCTGGCAGAACATTGAGAGCACGCGTGCATTCAAACTGACCCGCCGTGCAAGAGGAGGCCATTGGCGGTCGCCAATGAGGCGTGACCAAAACGTTGAAGGTCGCCAGCCACCACGTTCTCGGCTGAAGCGCAGATCTCGCCAAGCGGTGCGACCATGGTGACGGCAGGCGTCGCCGGTGGGGGTAAGGCCGCATCGTTCAAATAGCTCTCGGCAGATATGGATACTGAGCGCAGACACGAGGCCAACGTGTTCTGGGCAACAAATGAAAGAGATGGCGCTGTGAGATGAGGCGTGATAAGCCCACGTTTGCGCACAAGCAAGTTGCTGTCTTACGCGCGGAAAGTTGACGAGATTGTTGCCCTTGGCGGCAACGCAGATAATGTAATGCAGGCACTTGAGCTGCCATTCCTCGTGCTCATCAAAAGGCTCGAGCGCATCAACACGCAATCTGCACCAAGAAGAAAAAGAAACTGAGTTTGCGTGACAAACGTTGAGGCGGGTTGGAGCATCTGCGAGATGATGCTTAATTTCGACCATTGGCTGGTCAGCCCAAAGAGAAGAGGGGGAAAAAAAGGGTGAGGTGAGGGACAAGGGTGCGTACCGCTCTTCATCAGAAAGAAGGAAACGGTAAAACTGGCCCATTGTAGCGGCCTCGGCCGTGGTAAACCCCGCCTGGATCATGCGCTCATTGTGGTGGCGTGGTGTGCGGTAGGTACCAATACCTTTGAGAGCCGACCCTGCCGATCAAAACATGTGGTCAGAACACAAGATGTGTTTTACAAGTTGTTCAGCTGAGCATACACCGGGATGGCGAGCGCCCTCGTCGTGCACCGGCCTATCCTTACCAATGCGAGTGAAATGACCCTGCATAAAATGGCCAAAGGCATCGTCTGGCTCGATCTGCAGCAAAAGATATCAACCACAAGAAGAGGAAGGACACATGATCAATATGCAAACGTAATGCTGAGCGCTAGCAAGAGGCGTCGGTCGCGGGTGGTCGCCTACCTGTTCATAGTTGACCAGAATAGCGTTGGACAGGTACTCGGCACTCCACTTTACAACCTACGCAGATAATAAACGACGTTGAGAGTCAAAAGCGGGGGCGTGCGAAAGTCCCATAGCTCGGGACCTTGCAGCAGCGCTCAGTGCAGTGCACAGGGGATTTGTGGCCCCGACTCACGGCAAAAGCTGGTTTCGGGCCGACGTAGGTGAGAACGCACTCGCTCAGAACGAGGGTTGGGCGATCGGGCAAGAGACCAGCGGCTTGCAGGCGAAGCCGCAGCTGCTTGACCTTGCATAGATCGACGCCAACGGCACGGTAGTCCTCGTAGAGCAACGCGTGGCCCAGCAGCGTCGCCAGGTCGGGTTCTGAGGCAGAATCAGCGTCGGAAGCCTGGGCAGCATTATTGGCTGCGGCCTTTTTGGCGGCGCGGTCAAGATGCTGCTCACGTAGTTGAGTCAATGCCTCCTGTGCCGCTGGGGTGTTGAGATCCGAAAGTGCATCTGAAGAAGTAATCGGGGCTTCGGGCAGATGTGCACTCAGCCGCGATGATTGATGGATCAGGGCGGTCTTGCGTTGGATCAGGGTGGGAAAGTCAACTTCAAAGTAGACACTGCCCGGCGGCAGCAAGCCGGCAGCCTTGAGTCGAAAGAAAGTGGCATCAAAGCCGGCACCCAGGCTGAGGATTTGGGGCGCGGCGTCAGCATGCTGCTGCAAAAACGCCGACATGATGTGGTCCACGGCTTTAGCCCTATAAGTGTTGAGGAGGGGGGGGGAGGTCAAAAATGAGCCATCATCACAGGCGAGTCAGCACGACGTTCAGTCCCGCGCAAAGGTGCGTCGTGGGGACGAAGCCATGGGGGGCGTAAGCGAGCAAGTGCGTACCGAATGTAGTAACCACGATTGATAATGGGAGAGCGTCGCGTGACGCGCTGCACCATTTCCGCGAGAAAGGGGTCATCAAAGTAGCCCAGCTGCGCCATGCTGCATTTGCTGAGAATGGAGTTGTCGTTGGTTCCCTGCACAGCGGTCGGGTGATTTCGTCGCTTCTGCTGCGGCAAGACCGGGGTCGCCCCCACCGCTGCGGCAACACCACCCGTCTCACCCTCCCCCATCTTGGCCGTGTCTCCAGATGCAGCAGCCACACAGACACAAAGAGGCAGGAAAACAGAGAGACAGAGAGAGAGACGGACAGAGAGACGGCAGAGAGACGGACAGAGAGAGGCAGGGGGACCCAGAGACAGGAAGACAGAGAGGCAGGGGGACCCAGAGACCGAGCCGGACCGCGACCCGAGCAAATGCACACCGCAACGTGTCTGCACACACACACACACACCTTAATGTGTACTACTGATCTCACTTTACCTTTGTATGAGTGTAATATAAGTCACAGTATCTTATTGAATTGTCAGCATTGCTGTTGTCGAGGGCTTTTCTTTTTATTTTTTTTATTTTATCGGCGAGCGACTGTTTGGAGCCCACGAAGGAGACGAGCGGGAGCCGAACGGTGTGGTCGTGGTGCTTTGCCTGCTGCGGGTGGTTGGGTGGGAGAAAGGGGAAGGAGACACGCGGCCTGTATGTGCGATGGGGGATGAACCATCGCCATGGCAGATCATGCACGAGTCTGTGAGGTGCTGGAGCAGTTGCTGCGGAATTCCGTGGAAGAGCTGGACCCGGTCCCCCTGCGGACCTTCAAGCAGCTTTGTCGGTGAGGAAACCCTGCCAGGGGAGGAGGAGGGAGGTTGTGAACAGGATGCAGCGGTAAAAGGCCTCGCTTGTCAGGACCAGCGATGCGGCAACGCTTTGTTCATGCCGTGCTACCTTGCTCGGCCTTCCTCAGCGCCCACCACGACAACGTGCGCAGCGCTTACAGCCAGCTCATCAATTACCTGTCCGAGAACCATGCCCAAGTGCGCTACGTGGCCTTGACCATTGTCAACTATCTCTTTCAGCGTTCAGCTCTATTTCGGCAACTCCTTGTGGCTGACTTTCAGGTTTGACTTGCCCATTGAACCCAAACACTTGACACTAGATGGATTTCGGCATTGGCTTTGGGGTAGTTGTCGATGTTGTTGTGATTGTTGTCCTTGAGCGCCAAGGCAGCCTCGTTTCAAAAGTCTCATCGTACCGTTGGTTCTTGATGCATGTACGACATCTGCAGCCCTTCTTGCGCTTGACGTCCGGCTCTTTTGAGGACGAACACCCGCTGCCAAAACCGCCGTATGTTCAAGTGTCATGCCTCGCCTGCCTTGTTGCCTTGGCGTGCCGCCCAGCACCTCCCATCAACCATGTGCCACGTGCCCGGTCCACTTAGATCCATGGCTCGCAAGTTGCGCCTACGCTGCTTTCGCTATGTTCACCTCTGGAAAGAGGAGTTTGGAGCACGCTATCGACCCTTAGCAATGGCTCACGCCTTTCTAGCCCGACACGACGCGGTATCAATCTCCCTGAGCACCAGCTTTGTTTTTCACTCCCTTGCCCCCGGAACTCATTCACACACACACACACACACACACACACACACACACACACAATTTTGGGGTGCAAAGTTGTACCTCATTGCGGTCATCTTGAACAGCTTATTTTGAAAAGGGTTGATCCCCTCACATACATGTAATGTCTGGCAATGGTTTGGAACACGTCTGCGCCTGAGAGTAGGCCGACTTCCAGGCAGTGGTGGATGAGATTCAGCGTGAACGCGCCCGGCAGGCTGCCAACGCCCAGCGCACGTTTGTTCCGTCTAACTTTGAGCGACGCCGAGTCTTCGGATTGAGCGCCGTCTCGACACTGACCTGCTGGCCTGTGTGTTTGTTAGGGCCGAAGAGCAAGCTCAAGCACAACAAGAGCTCCGCAACAACGTGACAGGTTTGCCCGTCGTCACACGCGTCGACACGCACCACAGGTTTTTCCCGTCTGATCCAGCTCCCACTCAATCACAATGTGATGACTGCAGAGGTGCTCTCCAACTTTGCCACGACCACCACCATGATTCGCAACTCAATTGCAGCGCTTACAGCTGAGCCAGGTCTGGTTGTGGTTGTTCTCCGCGTGCTCTCCTTTTAAACGCAACAACCAAGCATCGACCCCTCACGTCAAACCCCACGTTGTGTTTATGTACCAGCGTCCAATCGGACAGCCGATCCCTTTGCCGACCTGGTGCCAGCTGAGCCTTCTTCGAAAGACACTGCAGCTTCTGGTATGCAGTGCTAGATGTTTGGTCTGGGCTGGTACATCTCTTATCTCGACTTGCGCCCCGTGTACTGACAGGATCGGACGACGAAGAAACGCCAGATAACGAGGCCTCTGCAGCCGATGCCGCACACGATAGGCAGGAGCTCATGCAACTGCTCGGGACTAGCAACCCCAATCGCACGGTCAGCCACTTGACTGGCTACCCCCTCTCCTTCTCTTTTCCTGGAGGCGCAGCACCACGCTCGTGAACACTCATCTGCTCAATCGGCGCCACGCGTAGTTGACTATTTCGCTTGATGATCGGCTTCAAGTTCAAGAGACACCAGACAACCGGGTACTGATCGATGAGTTGAACAACTTGATGCACGTCGCCGGCGAACGGTGCGAGCCTTGTCTTTGTTCACGCGTTTTGTTGTTGATTTTCTTCCAGCGTCGAGCGCCGTTGCAGATCAAACTTTTGTCTCACTTGTTGATGCGCTTGCACGGGTGTCACTTTCATCAGGTACCTCCCTCAAGTCCGCACTTGGCTCAATCATAGCCACGCGGTACGACGGCCCGTTTTGCCGGACAAGGCAGAATTTCCAACCTTGGCGCACACAACTCACATGATGGTTTGCGATAGCACGACTTTAGTCAGGCGGAGCTCAAGAAGTTGATGGACGCGCGCGAGGAATACACGCGCACTGCAACCCTCTACAACCAGATCCACATTCTGCCGGTGGGTGTGATTGCACCCAAAACACAATTGTACCTGAACATTTGATAGGCACGGATCAAGCCGGAAGCTTGCTAAATCTACATGTGCTTGGCCTGCGTGGCGTAGATGAAAGAACGTCCATCAAGTGTCAATGAGGATGACGATGTTGAGTTTGAGGATGCTGTCTTTGTCGATCCCGCCGCAGCTCAGGCGAATCCGTCAGCGCCGACAGAGCGGTCGCCCGGTGCTGCAGCAGCGCCTCCTGCCAAGCGTGCCCGCGTAGCGATGACCAAAGCTCATGAGGGTAACAAAGCACCAGCACTGGCTCCTAGCAACGGTCCGGTATCACCAAGCCCCGCTCCACCTACCGTGGCTGAGGCGCCTGCACCGACCGGACCCTCGCCCATGTCTCAGCTACGCCAGGCGTGGCAGAAAGCGAAGAAGGCGTCTGGTCAGCGCGATAAAACACGACCACGCGTGGCTGTGCGTCAACCTGGTGCACTGCTGGCGCCTTCTCGAAGCGGACCCAGGTCAACGACTAGCCCTGCCAGTGCTAAAACGGCCCACAGCAGCTCGGCACCGAGCTCCGGGCCCAGGACTGCCACCTCAAGCTCGGGGGTTGCAGCATCGACGCCCAGTCGTCGAGTCATGACGCGGCCCGGGAAGCGCCGCAGTACGAGTGCCGTTGGTACACCGCTGCCATCTGAAGCGGGTGACTCGGCCAAACGCCCAGTCTTCAATCCCAATGGTATGCTTGTGGCATTATGGGAGGGCATGGTTTGCCATAGGCTGGTTGGTGCTGTTGTGCTTGGACTCACTGAAGACAAATTTTGATGGCCGATGCAGCCTTTGCGGACATTCAAGATTGGTGGAACTCGGGAGGAGACCTTGATTTGGAACGCGCAGCCAAAACGGCATCCAACTTGACCGTGGATGCGATGACCACAGATACAATCCAGGTTAAACGACACGGGCTTGGCATGATGGCGTCAGATGGTGGGAAAGGGATAAAACCGCTCTGATGTTTGGGCTGCTATGCATAGCGTGAGGGTATTCAATTAGAAGCATGTGGTGCCCCAACGGGTCGTCTCAAAGATGACGGGAGTCCACGTCTTTGCACGCTTCGAGTCAAGGTATGTTGCACTGACTGGAAATGCAGCGCTATTCTTGCAGACAAGACTTTTATGCAGCTGGCCATCGTGCTCGCGGGCTTGAGTGGATGTGGTGGGTACATGCGGAATGCTAATGCGATGTGTGTTTCCACAGTTTAGCTGCCCCGTGCATGGCCCGAAGGTAGCCCGCGATCCAGTCACGGGTGTCCCGGTACGCATGCGATGAGACATGATCCACGACGTTGTTCATGCCCTGCTTTTGTGAAAGTAAAACAGCTTACTTGCGACGTTGTGGCCATCCTCCCGGGTATTGGTGCCTTGTCTATAGCTGGAAGGTCCGACGGAAACGAATGCAGCAGCAGAGCCTGGATCGGAGCCGGATGTTGGGCGAGGCTCAGCGCGACGGCGCTTTCCAAACATGGTGGATGTAGGTGATATCTTGGTGCAAGTGTTTTTCAAGATGACCGGCAGCCCGTTCACATGCATTTTCTGTTACTAGGCAAACGCGGAGCCACTTGCACAGCGGATAGAGCGGGTGGCGCGCCAACGCCGCTAGCATCTTTGCCCCGTGCATGGTGGGCTGGCATACTGATCTGCTGCGCGGATCCTGAACATTCAATAATCGAGCTTCAAACCCAGCAACAACAATGAACAAGTCAATTAAGGCACACGGATGATTGAATGTGATAAGAAGGGGGGGAGGGGGGCATAGCCTCTGCATCACCAAAGTCTTCACAGAAGATCGGGAGGAGTCGGGAGCACAATTCAACCTCTTTGGCAAGGGAGGGGTGAGCAAGACTTGACCACCGCACGTTAACAAAGTTGCGGCGGAAGAAGGCTTGCAAGCTCAGTACACGTTGCCGCGTTCATCGATACGGAAACGGCGAAAACAGAGCACCTGTTTCGACCGAGCCACAATCAGACCCACGCCAAAGACAAGGAAGAAGAGTGCCGTCAGAAGTGCCGTCTGCGTATCCAGATCCCTAGCCAACGATGCCAGTCACCAACACCGGGAGGGTGAGACCAACAGCCATATCACAACCCCACCACCCCATCCTTGACCTGAGCGTCCACCGCATATCTCACATCACGTACATGGTAAACTATACCGCGCTCCTTTTTGCCTATCAATTCTTGGCCGCGTTTTCTCCCACCCGCCGGCAACGACGGCAACGACAGCGACGACTTGAAGACGGCAACGACGGCAAAGACGGCAACGACGGCAAAGACGGCAACGATGATGGGAAGATGGCCACCACGACCACGACGGCAACGATGATGGGAAGATGACCACGGCGACGGCGACACAGAAGAAGGAGCCCGTCGCGGCAACAAATGTCTGACAATTCACACTGGCTTTGAAGTCAAAATGCCTCCTCAATAACATTCATTTTCACAACATAAAGTTGGCTTGATAATATTAACAGATATACATCAGCTTCGATCCTTCGTACAAAACCTGTTGCTACATTAACTCCTAATTATACTTCGTAAGCTACCACTACAACATTACATAAACTACATCTACTAAAGTATTCTCAGCACAAACATCGTCATTGATGATTTCACCCTGCACTGCACACGTTTGGTCTGTTCATACCACGGCCAACTCTGATGTGCGACGTAGATCATGCAGTAATATAAACAGATTACGACTAAACGCAACGATATAGTGCGTTCTATATTTGCCAGTTGTTGCAGATTCTTTTCAAGTTATTGTCGGTGTTGTGGTACATTTTTTCAACCAGTGTGTGGTGTTTTGTTTCACTTTTCTTTTTCTTCTTTTTCTTTCTTTTTCGTTTTTTATTTTTTTAAATTTTTTTTTAGGGCAGCGGCAGCGGGTAAAACGGCAGCGCGATTGACGGCGCCAAGAGCAGATCTGGTGGACCATTGAGGCACTACTGTCTTGAATATACCTGCTCTTTGCTCGCTTGTAGCTGTGGTTCCTGGCTGGCTGGCTCCCTGGCCGTCTGGCTGGCCCAGACTCGCTGGTGAGCCCCACCACACCACATCAGCAAAATGGCGGCGCCGCCGTCCACACCACCCACGGTGCCCGGATCACCGAGCATTACACCTGGACTGCCTTCGACGGATCGAAGCCAGCTTTGTGAAGCCATGGTTTACTATCTGCAGCTTCTACCGGCTGAGGACGTGCGCTTTCTTCTCTCCGTGACGGAAGCCATCGGTGAACCGCAATACGCGCGATTGGCTCCGGCCACGGCTCGCGCGAACGATCCCGAATGGCTCAAGACCCTGCCCAAGGACCACGATATCCTCAGTGCCGCCCACGTTCTTCATACACACGCGCCTCTCCTCCATCGCACCGCCTTCTCTGCCCACCAGGCCATGACTCAGATCATGACCCAGGTCGTGTGGCACGCCGACGCCCACAACCGAAACTCCTACTGCTCCACCTGTGCGCATACCCTGCTCATCCTCCTCCGCCACCCCGCCGCACTCCAAAAGGCCCGCGAGCAAATCGGTGCCTACTTTGAAGCCATTCGCACCCCGCGCACCTCCCGCATCGCCCCCCAGGCCCCTCATTCACCGGGCCTGCCCACCCCCACCGAGGCGGAAGGCGCGCCCCTCAGCGCCACCATTCGAGCCGTTGAACGCGATTACATCAACCCGCGTGAATTTGCTTTTGTACTCGAAGTCGTTTGGCGCAACAGCTTTGTTGGCATCTGTCGCCGTACCCACGACCAGTTTTTTGACTTTCAATGCCAGCTTCTCGACACCTTTCCCGATGATGCTCAAAAGGAGTCGCGCATCATTCCGCGTCTCCCTGGTACGCATGCCACAATCTGCCCCATGGCTTGCTGTTTGATTGTTTGGTTGTTTTCTTGTCGACCCCCTCACTCATCGCGCCTCGCTGTCCAGGCAAGAAAATCATCAGCACCAAGAGCCGACATGAGATTGCCTTGGCCCGCCGTGAAGGCATTCAAGACTATCTCAACGAACTCTTCAAGTATGCCGGCTTCTATTATCATACCCACCTTCTGTTCTTTGTCGGGGTGCCCTCTGCCACCCTCTCGCCGGCCTTGTTTCACCTCCCTTGTTTTTACCCGTCTTCGCCCCAGGCTTCCTCCACGCATTTCCCAGTGCAAGTTGATTGTGCAATTTTTTCGCTCCTGCTTCCGCTGTGCCGGCCCCGAGGGCTTATGCAATGAGGGTTGCAAAACCCATCTCAGCGATGTCGAGGGCAAACCCGGCAGTATCAACAATAGTGCTGCCACCTCTGCACCCGCCCCCGCGCCCAGCACGACTCAGTCTGTCGATGCGCCCGCCCGCAAACCCGCCCCAGCCGAGCCCATCCAAGTGGTGCCGACACATCCTCAAGCGACTTCCCAGCACAACTCCACCTACTTTTCCCACCACGCCAGCTCTGCTCCACCAAATTTAGCACTGCAAGGCGGTGGTGACCCAGTCTCACGCCTCAGTCGTAGCCGACCAAGCTCCGGGCGTGGATCCTCGGGCCACCTCGCTGCTGCAGACCGCGGATCTTCTGGCTCGCCATACTCCTCCGGCACTGCATCCCCGGTCCCCGCACCCGCCGTTATCACGGCCGGTGCTCTTCCACAGCCCGTCCGCATCATTGGCCATCCTCAAATGACCGCACCAGGCTACGCTGCATCACCCCATTCCCCGATGGCCTACTACACGCCGATCATGCCACATGGAACAAATTATCCTGTTGTTGGTGGGCCCCTGCCAGGCCAAGTGACACCCCAGTTAATCACATCAGTCGTGCCAGGCCAATACCCGCCTCAACCCCTGGTTCCAGGACAAGTGGGACCTACTGCCGGGCCCTTTGGCCGTCCCTATCCCGGCTATTCGCCTAATCTAGCGGGTATGAATGTCAATCACGGCTCAAGCCATGGCGCTTCGGTCCAGACCTGGCCCGGCGCAGCCCATGCACAAGCCCAAGCTTTGGCTCAAGCGCAAGCTCAAGCCCAGGTTCAGGCTCAAGCTCAGGCTCAGGCCCAAGCACATGCCCAAGTTTCTGCTCAGGCTCAGCCTCCAACACGCTCGCGCCATCACCTGTCGCGTTCCGAGTCGACATCGGGCCTGACCGATAGCGCCCCCTCCATCGGCTCTACCAGCTCGCTGGACGAAGCACGACGGGAACCAGACACCCCGTCCACGCCGACGTTGACGGCATCCGAGACCCGTGGGACATCCAGCTATGGAGTGACCGAGGTGAGTTTCAAGAACGGTCCCGCTGTGAGTAGCACTCTTCACATCACCTGATTCCAGAATACACTCCGGCTTGCCTGGCCACTGATCCTTTGATGTAGAGTGAAAACAGCTTGGGTGGGCCAGCATTTGAGGAGCCTACCGTCGCAGACTCGGGCCTTGAGTAAGTTGCGCTCTCGTGTGCGCAGACGTGCGCCCTAAATTCAGCCTAACGCGCCAGAACTCGAGCCGAGCGTGCCCCTGACGATCTATGCCGCCCCATGCCCGCCCCCTTTTTGGCCTGCTGCACTTAGTGATGTCCAATCACAAGTGTTCGAGGACGCTAGAAGCCAGCAGACCCCAGGTGGCGATGGTAAGCGGATTTACCGAGCATGTTTCTTGTATTCAAACGCTTTTCGCGTCGTGCCAGGAAATTTCTCGGTACTCCTGAGCTTCTCAGGCTTACGTTTATGCTAATGGGCCCCTGTGGTGTGCCTTAGATGTTTCATGTGACTTGGAAGACGCCACCCCTGAGCCAGCGCGAGAGTCTCGTGTACGTGTGAACCCGTGCTCTGGCGGTCCTTTTGAACCTGAGATTCTGGACTCTTGCCCATTCTGTTGGCCATTCGCATACCTGTTGTTTGGTTTTGGTGTTTCTTTTTTTTTTTTTATGCTGACATGCCTGCCCACCCCCTCAGCCGACGCAGCCCAGCGGAGCCCGGGTCCGCACCAAAAGCGTTGACTCGGTCGTCTCTATTGAATCTGCCGCAAGTGCAGGCAATGTGTCCTTGGGCAGCAAGTGCTTCATCTGCCAGTCAACCGAGCACGATACCCTTCACTGCACTTCTGTACGTGAATCCTGAACCTGGCTGCCGTGGCATTTGTCCAAGGTTGTATTTTACCTTTCTATTCAAAGCTCGACGACTCGTGGTCTGGCTTTCATGTCCACACTTGCCTGGGTAGGAGGACGTGAGCATTGAGCGACTTCGTGCACTGTTACAGGATGCCAATTGCCTGCCCGCCCAAGCCACGACAGAGACTAACGTAAGTTGACTTTGGATCCACCGTGCTTATACACCGACTTGGAAGGGACTTACATTATCTACGTACCGCGTGCAGCTGGACCAGTGGCGATACTGGGCACAGCAATATGCCTGGCTCAAAGGCATGCGCCTTCACAAGTATGCACATGCCGTTGTTGGCTTGTCGGCGCGCGAGATGCACACGCTCCAGGAGGAGCAGCTCAAGAAGGCGGGTCTCACAAGCGGAGCTACCCGCAAACTCTTGGGCATTGTCGCCAAGCACCTGCCCTTTGCTGACCGAGAGCAGAACGAAACGATTGTGTAAAAGCAGCCAGCTGGACTTGGTCAGCAGGTGCACAAGATTGGCTCTGAGTGCCTGACCAGGACGGTAAATTTTTATTTTTGGTGGGCTGCAGCTCTCCGCTTTCACCCGTCTCCTTTGGTCATCACCTTGAATTTGATTGTCGTGTACTTGTTGATGAATGCGTGTGGGCAAGTCATGACGACTATGTTCCCAGCCCTTGTGCCGTTGCCCTTGCTGTGATCGCCTGATGTCTGTTGTATCCGTCTCCCTGACCTTGTGGGCGCTCCTTCTTGCTGGTTTCGAGAAGCTTGCGTCGCCACCTTGGAGTGCTGACCTGCTAACATTTAAACGTTGAGTATCAAATTTTGTTGCGTAGCTGGGCCTTGGGCCCCATCTCGCAGCTCTTGACTCATTCGCTGGTCGATGAGTCGATTGTGTTGATTTGCATCCATTTGTGTTTCGGATTTCCTGTTGTTTTCGCCGGCTTGTTTTTCGAGGCCCGCCCCACTCGAGTGTTGAGTCTTGTGATTTGGGGATGGGCACTCGTGGTTACGGACAGCTGGGTGGTGTCTGCGTGGCACGTGGAACACGCAGCCTACTCTTTGCCTTGACCTATGTTTTCTAATTGACATGAGCGTATGTTGCTCCGAGTAAATTTTTCGAGCAGAACAGCACCTCACGCGCACAAATTGGATGGCAATGTCAAACTAGAAGCTGCGACAAGCAGGCAAGTGGGCAAAACACGCCCCAAATGTTGAAGAAAAAATTCGGCAAAAGGGTTCTTGAGTTTCGGCGGCAAGACTTTTAAGCCAAAAATGCCACCAAGCCCAGAGCCGCCAAGAGACCAGCAGGGCCCACGGTGCCTTTCTTTGTAAAGGCAGCATTGCACTCAATGTATGATGGTAGGCCGCCCACATCCCATCGGCCGGAAATGGGCATGACATAGCAGTTCCGCTAAAAGGAAATCAAAGGCAGAAAGAACAAGATTAATGGCAAGCAAAAAAGCCAACGTCAAGACAGCGGATGCGGAGATGCCCAGGATTGCTCGCCCAGAATCCCAGCGCCCTGGTGTCAAGCCCATGCCCTGTCTGCTCTCTGGGCGTTTGGCCTGGCCCAAACTCGCCATACGACCAATGCCGAAGAAGCCCGAGCTATTGGTTGAAGTAGCCATGTCTGGCAAATCCACCTGAGCTGCCCACGTCCCGGGGTATCTTGGGGTGGCTTACCTTGGCACAGAGGTATCGGACAAAATTGCCTGGCGCATCGCGAGCTTGAAGCGGTTCACCGGCCTTTTCTGTCATGAAGCGGTCCAGCAACGGCAAAGCGTCGGCCTCAAAGAGATAAAAGCATGGACATGCCAGTCGCGAGTTGGTCTTTTCGGGGCCCGGCTTTTCCAAAAACGCCGTCACCTATCGAGAGTGCGGATGGCAGGCTGAGGCTGCGCCAGAGTGCTGGTTGGGGAAGACGGTAGGAGTCTCCTCGAGCGAACAAGTGAAGGGACCAATCTGCGGTGTCAAACCAACCTTGTCCTTGGCATCTGTTTCCAAAATACCACACTTGGCCGTGCCAGCGGCGTCGGTTTTGTAGGCAAGCAGCATGCTGGACTTTGGGTCATGGCTACGATGCTGTCGTTGGAAGGCGGCCAGGGTAGTCTTGAGGTCAAAGTCTTCCAAGAAGAGGGTGTCTCCACCCACGACCAGGAGGTCGTCCTGAATGTTGAAGGTTTTCGTCGCCAGTTGAATGGCTGCCACGGCCCCGGATCGCGTCTATCAAGGGCGTCGCCATGCATCGTGAGAGAAAGAGGAGAAAGTCTGGGAAGGGTATGGCGCGTGCCCGGTGCGGATGAGCCAAGCCATCATGTACCTCGTTGGTGGTGCTACCGTCGGACACGAGATGGATCGGATAACGCTTGGGGTTGTGGGTGTAGTGTCGAAGCCAGGCTTGAAACATGCGCTGGTTATAATCGTTGACCTATCTCAGAGCAGTTGTGCATGAGAGCGAGCCGCGCGCGCGACGATCCCCATCTGACGGTTGTCTGCAGACCGCGCGGGCACATTTGCGAAAACCAACCACAATGTAGATGCCATCGACCTCGGGGACTGCAACCAAGGCATCGATCCACCGACTAATCAAGGGAATGCCGCCTACAACGCCGCGAGCACACGGCGTAAAAGGTCAGTGGGAAGGGCGTGAGAGGTTAGTGGGAAGGGCGTGAGAGGTCAGTGGGAGGCGCGTCAGCCAACAGAATCTCGAAACGCGCCTGCAAATGGAATGTGCCAGTGACTCGTGACCTACCAATGGGCAACAAGGGCTTGGGCACACCCAGCAAATGGCTATAAATGCCAGAAGTATCCTCCCGAATGCCCTTTTCCAATCGGGTACCGTACCCCGCCGCCAAAATCAGTGCCTTCATGGTTGATCGTCTCCGCTGAAGAATGAAAAATGAAAAAAACACAAACACACAAACACACAAACACACAACGCACACAGCGCACAGCGCACACAGCGCACACAGATACTTAGGCACTCGGGCACTCAGGCATGCAGGCACTCGGGCATACCAGCACACACACAGGCACACACAGGCACACACACACAGGCACACACACACAGGCACACACAGGCACACACAGGCACACACACACAGACATCGGCACAGGAGGTAGCAGGCGGCTTAGACGGCCCTCGCACACACACACACACACACACAAGGCGACACTTCCGAGTCGCAAATTTGAAATCCCTCTGTTTTTTTAAAACAAAAGGTTAGTGTTTGGACTGTTGGCCGTTGAGAGGCATTTTCGGATATTTTGGTGCGAGGGGCGGTCACCGCGCTCGGCACGCTCGGCAGGCAGCAGACACGCTGAATCTGGTTGATTTGGGGTGTGGCATTGTCGGCGTGGGTTCTTGGCAATCATGGAGGTGGAAGGTACGTTGTGTGTAAAAAGAACCTCGCTCTGCCGTCATGGTGGCTGGGATGTTTGATGCTGTGGCTGATTTCGGTAGATGCAACCACGACGCGTCGTCGGGTCGAGGCCTACACCAAACTGGCTGCGCTTGCACAAGTGCCTCTCTCACCTCAACTCGTTGGCATTGTGAGTATCTTTGCCCCCCCTCTCATCCAGCGTCCCCTGCCCCTTGATGACCGACACTGCCTTTGTATCCCATAACCCCAATGAACACCTCCCTGCCCGCTTGGCCACAGATCTTAGGCCTCCTCAAGGCTGGCTGCACGCCCGAGTCGATCATGCGTGCTTTGCGCCTGGCATTGGTGCGTGGCCACCAACGTCAGCAGCCGCAAAAGGCTTAGCTCCCTTTGGTCTCTTCAAGCTACGAGTGCAGGTTGCTCAAAGAAGCCTTGCTGCCGCTGCGCGGTCATCATGATTGTTCTCACCCCATCCATGCCCCTGTACCTTCTAACCGACGGCAAGGGCACCGGCTCCCAAAAAAAAAAAGGAAATGATTTTGTTGTTTCCATGGGCTCGCGCTCATGGGCTCGTGTGTCTCATGTGCATGCCCGGCATGAGGTTTGCCGTCTGTGTGCTTGATATTTTCGTACATGAATTGTGAAGCAAAAAAAAAACAGAGTGGCTTCAAATGCTTGGACTAAACTAAGGAGATGAAGGTGATGGGCTACGTCACCCCACGACAACACAAAAAGGTGTACACTGTCTACCAGCCCAAGGGCTTGCGCGCCGTGACCAGCAAGCCACCCAGTCGGCCTCCCGCATACAAATCGCGCACCGTTGTGTAAAACTTGAGCATGTAGTCAAAGACATCCAACCCTGGTCAAAACAAAGAACAAAGTGAGTTTACCAACCAAGCCGCCCGCCTTGTTTTCGAAACATCGTCGCCACCAACCCTACGCACCAATGACTGGCCCAAGAACATCACGCTGAGCCCCAAACTCAGCCACGCGAGCTGCGGTGTGCTTGCGCCAGTCCTCGGTCACATCATCGCATTGCTCCACCTACACCATGCCAGGCGGCCCACGCAGCCACAATCGTTCCACGTCAAGAAACCGCAGAAAGCTATTCGGCGCAATTCGCAGGCCGAAATGTGCACGAACCTTGAACCCGGCACGCTCGAGCTCTTGGCGATACTCGTCAATGGAAGGCGCCAACGAGTCGCACCCAACCTCCTTGGCCAGCACATGGCGTTCCTCGTGGGTGAGCGGTTGCAGCATCACAAAATCGGCGGCAAAGAAGGTGCCTCCTGGTTGCAAGAGCTGAGGCAGCAATTATTGTTCAAAAGCTGGCCATGAGTGAAGCAAAGAAAGGGGTCACGTAGGCATGATCCTCAAGCAAAGCGTTATTTTAGCTTGCGGGCAGGTGTCAAGCAAGCCAACCTCATAGCAGTTGCTGAAAAGGCGCTCGCGATTGGAAAAATGGAGTACCTGCACATTGACACCCAGCCCGGCACGCACTTATGAGCAAACACTTTTCGGCCACTGACATACGTAATCTACACGATGCAGTGTGCCGACGCCCTCGCTCGGCAAACCAAGCCAAACAAGCCAAACCCACCGTGAGCCAAGAAACAATGTGCTTGTAATGACCTCGAGCCAGGTGTTCGCTGAGACGGCTAAAGTCACCATTGACGTGATCCACCTTGTCGTTCAAGCCCGTGCTGCAAAGCGTGTTTCCAGATGAGAGACGGGCGCCTCGCATTGAGTGTACATGTTGCCTGTTCGACGAGCTGCTACTGCTTTTGTCAAGCCCGCGGCAGGGACGCCCATGCGCGAAGGCAACCACTTACCGCAGCGTCAGTTCAGCTGCAGCCGCATGCAAGTCGGGTTGAACTTCACATGCCAGCACTTGGCAACCATGCTTGCCTGCAACGGGGCATAGCAAGGCGCAGGATCAGCGCCATCCACCTCACGCGGTGCAACGCAAGATATTTTTCCTCACCGGCCAGATAGCGCGCTGGTCCGCCCAGGCCGCTGCCAATATTGATGACACGATCACCCGTTGACATCTTGAGCTACATGCAACCCGGTCGGTCAGGCTGCGCTGGTAGCATGCAGATGGCGTGGACACGGGCGTCTCGCCCGAGCTTTGCTATCCTGACCCGTGGCTGCCTTTTGTCTTCACACCCTCAAGCATGCGCCATGCACATCCCACAAATGTGTTCCCGACCCCGACTTGCATCACTGAACCAACCAGCTGAGCAACATCCTCAACCGCTTGGACGCCGTGATAGTGGTGTTGATCAAAGGGCAGCAAGGCTTCATAGCTGATGGGACCTAAAGAAGATATTCAGCTCCAGTCAGCCGACAACAGCACGGGTCGAGTCTCGGGGCGGGCAAATTGAAATGCTGACTAGCACGCACCCTTGTGAAGATTCTTGTCCTTCAACTGCCGGTGAAGGGCCTTGACCAGCTCGGCCCGGTTGTACAGCTTCATCGAGCTACGTGGGGCAGAACAATGGAAGCCATTCGTCATGGGCCCATTTTAGAAGCAGAAGTTAATGGGCAAGAACGAGTATGGTGACACGCAAGGCTGCACGCACCCCAAGTCGCGGCGAAGCTGGGCCAAGCGGGTGTCCAGAAACTTGGCGGGGTCGTAGTAGCGATTTGCTTCGAGCTTGTGACACACTTGTAGTGCCTCGACGGCGCGGTCAAGCGCGGCCTCGGATATAAAGCGCTCTGCAGTGATGCGAACACCTGCTCACCCCAATTGCATTGGTCACATCAGCATGAGGATGCAGCGCTCTTTCCTTCTGTCTTCTCGCCAAGCGCGGGGTGGTGTGCCCTGTTGAGAGAGCTTGGAGGTGGAACAGCGACACAAACCTTGATACCAGGCCGCAGCGTCCTCAGGCTTGAGGCCATACTTTTCGGCAATCTGCGTGGGCATGGTGGCTTCTTCGGCATGGAACAGCGTTGCTGCCTCATGCACGGCAGCCAGCGCCGCTTGAATCTACCCATTCGTCGCGTCAGCAGTTAGGCTGAGCACCCCGACGTCGGCCATCGCATCCCGGCATGGCGCACGCGCACCTACCTGGGGCAGCTTGTCATCAATGGTGGTCGTGGTGGCGGCCAGCATGAAGCAGGGCCAGGGTGTTGTGACCTCGCCTATCCGGCGTACCGTCCCTACAACACGTGCAGCCAACGACGGTAAAATGGACAAATGAGTTGGCAGTTGTTGACCAGCGGGCCAATCGGCCGGCGGATCACCGAACTTGCGAATGCGCGACTGACCATTATCATGATAGGGCTTGGTAGTGAAGGTCTCCCACAAGAAGGCATCGGTGGAGAGATCGTTGACCCCCTCGCACAGCTGAGTAATGTTGCCCTTGACGGCAAATTTGACGTCGGTCTCTGGATTCCAGCCTAACCATCCCCAGGCAGCACGCGTGTCCAGATGTTGAGAAGAAGAAAAATCACACTTCCGCGCCCCCTTACCCGGTGCGGAGAGCGCGAGAGAAGCGCTTCTAAAAGGTGAACGTACCACGATGAATGGCCAGAACATAGGCCATGAGGTGGCTACCGCTGCCCATGCGGCTGACGGCAAAAGTGCCACCGCGAAGATCCTCCGCCGAGTTCATCTTGGAGGAGATGCCCGTGGAAATGGCCCAGCAGAGTGGAGATGCCACGTAGGTGCCTAGCAGGCGCAGGTTGGACCCTAACCAGCGGACGAAGGTGGCAAATTGAGGGTGAGATGCCACAAGGACTGGTGTGCGAGGAGCAGCGGGTCTGTGCTGCTTGCGTCAGCATACCACCAGCAATGTCGGCCACAAGGCCTTCAGTAAGGGCCACAATGAGATCCAGCTCGCCGCTGTGCGCTGATCCGATCATGGCACCAGTGCCAAGCTTTTGCTCGACAAACTCAACCTGGGTATTGTGTATTGATGACCCGCCGTCCCATTTATGATACGATAAGACGAGGACACATGAGCTGCGAGGTGGGCGCTGAGATGGAGTGGACTGCTTGCACAGCCTGGCCTCAGCGATGGGCCGCTCTAGGGCCGCTCAAGCTGGGCAAGCACCGCGATCCTGACCTCGACGCCATGCTTGGCAAAGAGGCCCCGCTCTTGTGCAATGTGCCACGGGTAGTTGAAATGTTCGGGGACGCCTCCCACGACCTAAAGTGGTGAAGGGCGTTGATTGAGATCTGCTTGCCAGAACAGAAGGTCTGGTGCCAGAATGGTGCGGGTCGTACCAGAGGTCGCTTGGCACGCTTGGGATCAACAGGCATGACGGCGGCACGTTCCGGCGAGCGCACGAGCCAAATCGTAGGCAACTGTCGAGCCGGATGGGGCACAGCACATATGATCCCCGGGTGAGTCCACCGTTTTAACGCACATGCAAACGTGGCAGAGCAAACGGCCAAGCGGCTCTTATGTTCGTGATCTGAACACAATCGATATGATGCCAGCCACGCCAGGGCTCAATGTGACGCAATTGGTAAATTCAACGCCACTTTGCTCACACACCAGAGGGAGGGAGAGAGAAAAGTGAAACGATCAACCCCCACCCTAATCTGAACCACACCCTCCCCACACACAACCGTGCTGCCAACCCCAAGACTGCCACTGCCACTGCCACTGACCTTGCGACGACCACGACGACGACGAGGAGGAGGAGGAGGAGGATCTCAAAGGACTCTGCTTCACACTGCAGGCGCGAGAGAGAAATTGTCACCTGCCACTGTCACAGCAGCAGCAGCAGCAGCAGCAGCAGCAGCAACTCTCTGACTGTGCGTTTCCTTTAAATCGCTGATCCCTAATAATAGACGATGAAATGAATGATGTCATGATGTTTCAACGCTATTTTTAATGGAGAAGTCAGACAGAGACAGACAGAGAGAGACACATAGAGAGACAGAGAGAGACAGAGAGAGACAGAGAGACAGAGAGACAGAGAGGCCGTGTGTCGTGTGAGGGGGATTGCTTCTGCGCAATTGTGTGGTGGCGCGGTCATGGGTCGTATTGCTTCTGCTTGTGGTAACGGGCTGGTCGATGAAGCCTCGGCCAGGAGCTCGACGCCGCCTTCGTCCAGATTTACACAGGGCTGAGGCTACGATTGGCATATGCTTGCATGGCAAGCAGAAAAAGAAGAAAAAAAAAAAGAAAGAAACCACAATTTTGCTTCTGATTTACTGAGAGAAGCGAGGCAGCCGAGAGACAATGCAGCATCACCTCCATCCGATCAGGCAAAGCAACCAAAACAGACCAAACGTAAACCGACGAGAACAACACAAGCAGCAAAAAAAGGGGGAGAAGAAAAAGAACACAGTTGTTGCTCACGCGCGGCGCAAGGAACAACATCCATGAAAAATCACCACCATCGACTCGAAAAGACATGGGCGCCAATGCAGACAGACTCAGTTCTACTGCCCACCGCGCTTGCCAGCAGCATCACAGGGGCGATTGTGGTCATATGCGGCGGCCAGTGTCGCATAGCGTGCCATAGCTGCCTCGCGCAGCGCCCGCACATATGTCTGCACCCGATACCGTTGCTCCTCCTCCAGCGCCGCTACCTTCTGCAGAAAGAAGCGGGAGAAAGGGACAGAGAGTGAACATTGGTGGCATGAGCCAATGCATGTCGGCCCATGTTGGTACAGCACATTCTCACTCTGCACATGTGCCCATCACGCGCCCGTGCGCACATACCTCCGATTGCCGGGTTCCAGCTTCAAAAGGCGATGAGCGACCATCTCCCTCGCCGCCGAGCTGAGCCAGCAAAGCATTCAAGCGCACACGCAGGCCCTGCTGCTCGACTGCAAACTGCTGCGCCCGCAACCGCTGCACAAAGGAACATGGTTCTCATCAGAAGGGACAAATAAATCGGCACCACACAAATGCTGCAAGGTCCACGCACCGAGACAACGGGGGCCGCACGCTGGTAGGCCACGATGCATTCCAACATGTCGTAGAACCCAAAGTCGGGCCAAAGAACCTTTGTAAACTGCATGACGGCGTCGCCCGACTGAACGTGCCGTCATTGCCCGGTTTTGTACAGACCCACACAGGGTGGTAGTATTCAAGCAAGTATACGGATATGAGCCTTGGTACATGAAAAAAAAAAAAAAAAAAAAGCAAAAAAGCAAAAAAGCAAAAAAAGCAAAAAAGCAGGCGTTTGAGGGAAACAAATCACGTGTTCTCGTACCTGCCAAAGTAGATAGTCAGAGAGCCGGACTTCACCAGAGGTCCGGATGAGTAGATCGACCTGACTTGTATTATCTGTTAATAAAGACGCTTCCAAAAGGCTCTCCGAGACGTCGCTGCGAGAAACAGAACCAGCTTGGTCAGGTGCGCCGTTTGACGCAAGGTCAAGCAAGACATGGAGAGAACATGGTCCTACCACGACTGTATCCGGCCTTCGTCAAGGGCGGTGAGGATGCGATTGGCCGCCGTTGTGATGTCGTCACGTGCAGTGTAAGCAAAGCACACGTTTAAAATTGCCCTGCGTCAAATGGTATGCAGCAAGATAATGGTGATGTTGAAAAGAAAGAAATATCACAAACTACGCCTCACTTACGCCGGTTCAGGGGACGAGACATGGGACGTCGCATGGAGTCGACTCACTTTGTGTACGCGCGCGTTTCATACACGACCTTGCCAAGGACGCGTTGCAGCGCTTCGGGTAAAAGATCCATGTTGCCGACGATGCGCACGCTCACTTGGTGCTGGTGCAAGACCTCACTACGTTTCCCGCCCAATCCATAGATCATGTCAGGTGGCAAGTGTGTGCGCACCACCATAAGTCAGCAGATGGGCAAGAACTCCCGCGTGCTCGACTGCCAACGGACCTTTCATCCAGGAGCGTTTCAAACTTTTCGAGCGCGAGCTGCATCAGAGCATCAACTTCCTCCTTGCTACGGTTAAAATTTTCAATGCTAAAGGCGTACACGCTGACGATGCGAATATCAAGATCAAGGCACCACTGCAACGTCTGCGCACCAGACGTGGGGTTGGAAATGGAAGAGGGACCAGATGAGTGAGGCGTGTCTGAAAAGCCTGCGGGACCATCTCATTGCGGGGAACCACGGCCCAGGCATAAGGTCGAGCTTGCAAGCGCGCGCACCTCCTTGAGCTTGTCGAAACCAGCTGAATGGCCCGCAATGCGAGCAATGTGGCGTTGACGGGCAAAGCGTCGGTTGCCGTCCATGATAAAGGCTACGTGTTTTGGCAGTTTACCAGCTCGCAGCGTCTGCACAGCCGCCCATCTACATGGGATCAAGCGGAGCATGTCCATGGTCCATGGCGCAGCAGACGGTGGCGTGCAGGTGCACCGGGGGAGTGAGTGACAGACGCGTGAGGCTGACAGAGATGACGGGCGTGGTGGTAGGCAAAGGCCTTTGACGAGTCAAGGAGGGGGATTGGGTGGCTCAAACCTGAGCGCTGCTTGCAGCTGCTGCTGTGGCTCCCGCAGCCAGGCCAGGGCGGTGTCAAACATGGTGTGTTGAGCGGTGACTCCTGAATGATCGCTGCACGCGCCTCGATGACCGTTCTCGGACGGGCAACACTGCAGGCCCTTGGCTGGGAGATCCGCCAAGCGCTGGCGCGTTTGACTCCACACCAGCGACGCACAGGCGCACAGCTCGTCTGCATTCACTGTTCACTCCCCCCACGTCCGCCCTCGGCCACAGATCCTGCCCCCGCCCGTCCGGTTTGGTCTTTGCTTGCCCGTGCAAAGTGACGCGAAGAGCGAATCAGAGGCAACGATCACCTGGGTCGCTTAGTCCAGAGACATGGATGACTTGGTCTACCAAATGTCATACAAATACCTTTAAAATGCTACTGTCCAAGAGACCGATCCCAACCTGTGCGGAGATTCCAGAGGCACAAAAATAGGCAGAAATTGGCGAGAAATTAGCTCGAAATTGGCCGTTGGTCGCCTCCAGTGTGTGTGTGTGTTGTGTGGTGCCACGTTATGTATGAGCTGCAACGTGGCGCTCAAGGTGGCACGTTTGGTCTCCGCGGAGACTGGGAAGACTTTCCTCTCTCTCCCTTTCTCTCTTTTTGTTCGCTCTCTTTCTCATTCTCTCTCTCTCTCTCTCTCTCTTTTTGTTTCTCTTTTTGTTTCTCTCTCTCTCTCTCTTTTTGTTTCTCTCTCTCTCTCTCTCTCTCTCTCTCTCTCTCTCTCTCTCTCTCTCTCTCTCTCTCTCTCTCTCTCTCTCTCTCTCTCTCTCTCTCTCTCTGTCTGTCTCTCTCTCTCTCTCTCTCTCTCTCTCTCTCTCCATGGTCGTAGGGGAGGCATCCATCTGAAGAAGGAAGTGCCCATAGGGGGAGACAGGCGGACCACATTCCGGGTTCACTTAAAAGGGTAGCATGGGGTACTTTTCAAACGTCCTCTGATTAGGCAATCATTTTCTTCTTCTTCTTCTTCTTGGGGGGTGGACCACCAGCTGGCGCTGTCTCGGCCGGCACTGGTGGGGGAGCTGAGACCGGGGTCGGGGCGGAACGGGTAGTCGAATCGGAGGATATCGTTGCACTTGCAACTTCCTTTGGTCGTGCCGCAGCACTGGGGCCGGGTAACAGCGGGAAAGAGCCATCCTTGCTCGAGCCTTCGAGCTCGTCTGGCTCCTCCAACGTCGCACTCACATCTACAGAGCCACGGGCACAGGGTGTCGCGAAGGATCAGCTTGAAGAGCCCTTTGACCGATATCGCCCGCCAGAGGAGCAAGAAAAAACGCACCGTGCGCAGGTGTTGATGTGAGCATTGGCCCGCCTTCGGCGAGAGATGGCAGCGTGTTCGCATTGTAGGCTTCAAGCGTCACCGCTCCCGGGTGATGTGTCGCCGCTTGCTGTCCTGGTGCACCAGTCTTGTTGGCGTTGCTGGAAGACGTGACTGGAAGATCAGCCGAGCTGTTGCCAGATGCACCTTCGCGCATCTGTGTAGCTATAACATAAAGCCCATATACCCCCAAGAGCGTGAGTCAGCACCGGCCGTGGCACCGAAGCGAAGGAGATACGGCAGACCATGTGCGCCTCATTCGTACCGAGTTTTTCGCTGTATTGCTCGCTAGAGACAGACAAGGTAGTAAGTACCCGCACGGACCAAGGATCAGCCAGCAGAGATCATGGAGCTGTGAGCAGTTGCTTGCCAATCAAGCCCTTCCATCGCCTCGCCCTTTGCGCGACCCTGTGCGGAGACGTACGCTGTGACCTCCACCAGCTCACGATTCAGCACGCTGCTCAGAACAGACTGTAAGCCCGGGTCCAGACTCGCCTCGAGAGCTGTAATGATCCACCGTGAGGTCGGGAACCCAGGCAATTGCAAAAGTCCGGTTCATGGATGGCAAGGGACAACGGCAACCAGGTCAGGCCAGCAAGACCTGGCCAAGAGGGAGGGGGGGTGCTTACGAGTAATGTCGGCGGCAGCCACCGCCATGGCCGCGGCCAGCCCGTCTCCATTGAACTGCGTTCGTTTCCCCAGCAGAGCGATCGCATTGCCCATCACATCCCAACACACCATGTAAGGATGCTTGCATCAGAATCCCAAGTCGCAGACGCTTTGCATACCTACCTGCTGCTCACAATAGCGCCAGAGGGCGCAGGCCAATCTTTGGTATGGATGTACCAAGAGCTGTGCAGTCAGCGCTTGGTCGTGCACCTCGGCGCAGATGAACCGCCACTCAAAGGTCACCGACGTGGCGCCAAACAGCAACAGGTCGATCTTTGTCTCCACGACGAGGCAGCCTCTCATGTCTTCATGCACCTTCACTGGACTCGAAGACCGCCGGGCGTGAGCTGGACTCAGGCACTGCGCCAAGGCCGTCAGAAGGCGCGGGGTCTCCAATTCGATAGCAGCATTGTGCACGCGATTGGTAGACTGAGCCTCATCCACAGCCAGCTGATACCGCCAAAGCCGGAGCCCGTCGGACAGATAAGCTCGGAACGTGTCCTCGTGCACCAGGCCCCCGCTGCCGCTGCTGCCCTTGGCCTGGGCCTTTGCCACACTACACCGACAAAGGAGTGGCCGCGGCCAACCAGGCGCTTCTAGCTGCTGCCATGCTGTCTCACCATGCATGCCGCTCCGTCGCGTTGATGCTGTGCCGTCCAAAAAAAAAATGATGACAACGAAAATTTTAAATTAAATTTTACATCTCTCTCTCTCGCTCTCGCGCGCTTTCTCTCTCTCTCTCTCTCTCTCAAACTCAACCACGTCGTCATCGCTTCGGTCGACCGTGACGACCTCGCCGACGTCTCTCTCTCTCTCTCTCTCTTTCCTGATGGTGGTTTCTCTGGTGAAGGAAGCGAGTCATTAATTCGCATCACGAATCGGAAAGGTATCATCGTCGTCGAGCACAACAGACACAAGAAACCAGGGCACGGTGAGGGTGCGATCTGGAGAGCTGCACAGCAGCCATATACGCCAGTGGGCAAGCGCATAAGCGCCCGGCTGGCGAAAAAAAAGGGGAAATCAAAGCGCGAATCCCAGACGGATCCACAATTGGAGGCAGCGCAGAGTGTGACTTGCGCACGCAAGCATCACAAACAAAAAAAAAAAGAGGCAAAGACATGACATGACAAACAACAAATTCTAGTAAAGAAGTAAAAAAAATCGAAAAACCGAGAGACAGGTGCACGTCAACAGATACGATCGAAAAAAAAAAAGTGTCGGCGAGATTGCAATACCGGTGTGTCTGCAAGAAGCAACAACGATACAGAAACGACCGGGAAATGGGGTACAAAAGGTCGAGAAATACAACAAGTCGAAAGAGGTGTCGGGACGGTATCATCAAAATATTCACATGGCACAGCCATTTGTTCAGAGGCGTCGGGCAGACCCTCTCGGGTTTCAGTCGGAAGCCCAGCCACGGTCTCACTTCACAACAAAGGTGAGCATCTTTGCCGCGCTAAGCTCGGGGCTTGGAAAAAAAGGGGCAAAGATGGATCGAAGGCGTGGTCAGGTGTGCGGACCACCTGCGCGTCGAAAGAAGCGGGGGCGACTCAGTCGCTGATGCCAGCATGGCGCTTTAACAGCGACCAAAGCGGGTGGCGTGGTGCTTGAGGACAATGGCATAGTTTTGTCCGTCGCGATTGTCCCAAAAGCATTGGCCGGTGGTGTTGTAGCCGACGCAAAACTCGATGCGGTCGATCTCATCCGAGTCAAGCTTGAGGGTGGCATAGAAGCGGTCCGAGGACGGGTCGGCACAGCTGGGCAGGTAGGTCATGACAACATCCTCCTTTGTGGTTTTCCAGCCGTCGGTGGACCAACGAATAAAGACGCGCTTTTCAAAGGCCATGTTCAAGACGCGCACGGTCAAAAAGGCCAGCGGATACCGCAGAGTGACCTGTTCGAGTTGCACGGCTTTGGAGGCCAATGAATGGACCACGGCGACGTTTCCGGCAGGAAGTTGCTGCACGTCGAACGTCATGGCGGGTTTGCTCTTGATCAAGAAGCCTAACGAGGGGAGGAATTGAGGTTTGAGGCTGGTGAGCAAAGCCAGATCATCCGACGTGTTCTCGACAGACCAACTGCCTAAAATGACGGAGCGACGGCTTGTTGGTGGGCTAGCTTACTGGGCGTCTGCAGAGGCACGGGTGAAGGGGCGACTGAGGAAGGGCGGCAGCGGCAGGGAGGTTCATTCTTGCGAAAGAAAATACTGGAACAGAGCTTTTGACCAGTGCTATCCCGCCACATGATCTGGACCAAGGCAAGCCCGAGCGTTTCGGTAAGTATCTATGGTGAGCTGCTGATACAAGGCCATCGGCAAACGGGCCAAGCGGAGCAAGGCAATCGCACCTTGGTTTGACGGGGCTTGGGTCCCGGGATGGGACCGTAATCGGGCTGGTGTGGATACAACGAGCCATCAGACAGGCGACGCATCGTCACGCGAGCCGGGTGTTGGACGGGCAGCTTTTCAATGACGTTGTGCACCTAACAAGGAAAACCGGAGGGCACACGACGCACGATGCAGAAAGCCATGCATGGTCGAGCAGGGGGGTGAGCGTTGAATTCGTAGCAGAAGCAAGTGGCGAGACTGAAAGACATAAGGGCTGTGCTGAGAGTGGACGAGATCGCCACGCACCTTGGGTGACGTCGGAGAGGCGTTGGCCTCGGCGGCCAAAACGGTGGCAAAGGCCCCATCGATGACGGCCTCGGAGAGTGAGGCGGCGGTGCTCTCAGGGCTAGGTATCGGGGAGGAAGAGGGAACCTCGTCTTCAGGAACGGGTTCGGGCAAATTGAGCGCAGCGGGTGGGGCTTTGCGCATCGGCGTTGGGGGATGCGGGAAGGCAAAGACCGAGCCGTAGTCCTCTTCGGAATCGCTGGCCTCGCTGCTGCTCGTGTCCGTGAGATCGCTGGCAAACTCCGAGGCCACGTTGAAGGCCATGGGTGGGTTGCGCTTCGTGAGCGCCGCCGGCGATTGTTGGCGCTGGTGAGGGTGTCGCGTCGGGGATTGAGCCTGAAAGAATGTTTGTTGAGAGAGATGGAGTCGGGAGGTCGGTGTCGCCATCGGGGAGAGGGCTCGGTCATCGAAGACGGTTTGTGACCCGGCGGTGGCATCGGCGATTGCGCCAACGGGACCGGCCATGGCGCTTGCCAGAGAGCTGGAGGACGAGGAGGTGGATGAGGGGTGCAGACTGCGCCGGGCCTCTGAGGTTGGGCGCGTGTTGAGATGGCAGGCTGCGTGTGCTTGTAGATGACCGCTAGGTCGAGCGGGCAGAAGGGTTGAGGCCATGTTGGTGGTGCCGGTATCCGCTAAATAGCGCTCACGAGCCCCCTGTGTCGAAACATTCAGCATCGTGGCACAATGGCAATGAGACTTGGGAGGCTGTGCGCACGAGCATGTGGTGTGATGATCGTTGTGTGATGATGAGCGTGAATGATGTGGTGGGGTGTGATGGTGGAGACTATTCCCTATCTATTCCCTCGAAATTATGGTGGGAGTGATGGCAAGAATAATTGGGTGTCGAGTTGGCCGGATGTAGGAGTTGAGCAGGAGCGGTTGACGAGCCGTGGCCAGGGGAAAATGGGGCATACGATGGAGCGGCAGGGCGGCAGGAACGAAACGAGCCGGGGCTGCGATCAATGACATCATGCCATATCATTGACTGGGCCAATGTTCACAGGCACACGAGCAAGGCGACAAGCAAGCGTATGCAAGCTCGTGCATCAAAGATGGCCATCTCTCATGGATGGCAGCGTACGCGTTTCAAGGTGACTGGCTCTTGCACACTCGGGCAGGGTGGAAATGGGGTGTGTGCAAATGGGTGGGGGAGAGTGTGCAACGGGACAGCATGGAGAGCATGGTGGGGACAAGCTGACCTTGAATCCAGGAGCCCAATCAAGAAACGAGAGCGCGCGACAGAAATGTTTTATGAAGCAAATTCAAAGGGCAGTCAAGCCTCGATCAATAAATAAAAAAGTACACGTTGAGAAGGTTGAAACGTGGGACAGCAGCTGGATGGGCCGGTTGGAGCGCATGGGGCAGCAGTGCCTGCGTGGGGAGTAAGCGGAGCGACAAGTGCGACAGGGGCGTGAGCAAGTGTCGCGAGGAGGACGCCTCCAAGCATCCATGTTCGTGTGGGCGGGGTGCAATGACCTCAATGTTCGTGTCTGGCTGTCTGGCGATCAGCAATCTGAGGGCTTGTCTCAATGTCCATGCGAGTGTGCGTTTGTCCCTGGTGTACATGCAGCCGGATGTAGCGTGGTGTATGCAGCCAGACAAAAGACCAATGATGATGGTGATCATGGCACGGGCGCGGGCGGACATGAGCAAGAGCCCCGAGGCATCAGCTCGATATGAATCATGCTGACACCATGCGCATGGTTCTTACCTTGTTGCTACCGTCCAGATGAACAGAAGACCAGAGCCACCAAGGGCTATGTGTGAAAAACCAGGATACAGCCACAACAGGCGAATGGAAGCCAGTCCTCAGCACACACGGCTTATCAAGACAAGATCCCCAGGAGCCGACTTTGAGGTTCATCCGCCGCCGCCGCACACAGAGAGAGAGAGAGAGAGAGAGAGAGAGAGAGAAGTGTGTGTGTGTGTGTGTCGTAGCACTTGATGTTGTAAACTGTCACCCACCTCTTTATCGCTTCGTCTCTCTCTGTCTCTGAAATGCATGTTACGGGCTATTGGTCTTGTGCAAATGTGATCATCTGACATTGATGCCTCTCTGAAATTCACGAACCTTGCGCGCCCCCAACCCGTTGTCAGAAATGGTGATGCAAACATGTGTTGTATTTAGATGCTGTATTCATGTGTTATATTCATGTGTTTCATTTGTATGTTCGCCCTGTGGCTTGCCACGTGATCGTAATCCGATCCAAGACGCATCCGCATGTCTCTTTGGCTGTGCTCATTTTTGGCTGCGCTCATCGTCTTTGAGCAAAGCTCAACCTCACCGTCCTTTCGTCCTTGAGCAGCACTCGCCACCCACCTACCGCGCTTCAAGCATCAGCCAGCTCAGTCGCCAAGCACGGCGCGACGAGCAAATTGGCCCACAAATATGTCCTGATCACCTGTTGATTTGTCCTGTTGTTTCCTACCGTTCTGCTTTTAAAGTGTAGTAAACCTCACACTTACATGTGTTTACAAGCGAGACGCTTGGGGCCAAGTCGGACTGGGGCTTTCCAAGGTCGAGTCCGCCGACACAAGCCAAATACCAAGGGAAACAGCACCTCAAGCTGCAGGCAGGCGCTTTGGCTCTTGGGAACACTGTGCACTGGTTTGCTGGCTTTCGTGGCACTGGCTCGCATTTTTTTTTTTTCCTCCGAGCGTTTGGACTTGCTTTGCTGCTCTGCTGTGACCAAGCATCATGCCGACTGTTGCCATGCGAATCAACGCGCAATCGGACAATTGCAAGCGCGGTGCCCTCGTCGGGATGGGCGTGGCCGCCTTGGCGCTCTGCGTTGGTGGGTTGATCTACTTGATGCCTCGTCTGAACAAACGTAGAAATGCCGGTGTTAGACTAAAACGGAAGAACGCCTGGCTGTCGCTTTTGCTCATCACTTTCCGCCATGCCGTGCCTTCTCCAGGCATGCTCTTTGCTCCTTGGCGTCAATTCAAGGTCGATAATGTCAAGATAGATTTTTCACCAGCCAGAATTACTGCTCATGCCTATGGCCTAACCGAAAGATATTGGTAAGTTGACTCGACCCTCAGGCACCCATCTGAAAAACTGCCCCGTCCCTGGCTCGGGTGTCATGCGTGCGCGCGTGCGCATTGAGCTGGTCACTTACAGCTGAACCTTTGGTGCTCAGGACCACGGATGACGAGTTTTGTGGTGACCACATTGATGGAGACTCGACCGACTTTTGCACCAAGCTCCTGGCATCATTGGCCCTGTGCCTTCTCGCCATCGTGTTTGAAGTGGTACGACATGGCGGGTTCAACCTTCTTACCTTTGCTGCACACCAGATCTCTTCTCTTCTCTCGGGTGTTGCCATTTGGGCAGCGGTTATGCTTGCCTTCCTGGGTGTCCCAACTTTAGTCACCCCTCACGACAGCAATACCCGCCCATGCTTTGGCCCCGGTAGATTGTCTCAATTCTCAGTTGTGTCACCTTCTGCACGGCATCGGCATGTGTGGCGCGGTGCAGCGGTATCTTGCATCTTGTCCCGGTCCTTTTTATTGGAGCGGCTATGGGCGTGTTCTTTACGGCCAAGGGGACTTTTACGACGACCGAGACACACACCGATCGCCCCGTGGCCGGCATTGCTGTACCTTTCTTGGCTGCCGTGGTGGCCTTGGTGGGTATGATTCTGGGCTGCGTGATCCGTCCTGATTCGGCCTCCACGGTGGCCTATATGAACGTCCCTGGCGTCACCCGCAGTACGTCTCAACTATCATCAGCGCACCAGCACTGGTGTTGGTTTTCTTTCCCCCCCCCCCCCCCCCTTTTTTTTTCTTCCTGTTTTGCTCCTTCTTTCTCTCTCCCTCTCTGGAATCTCGCACCCAGGATGAACTCATGGTCTGGCGCGTGCCGCTGTGCTCTGGACTTGGCCATGTAGATTCAGCACAGTCATGGCAGATGGAACCGATGCACATGCAGGCACAGATGCCCATGACTGGCGTCCCACCCCCACGCACGACCGGCAACCCAACGCCGTTCACTTCGGGCTACGCTTTTGGTGGCTCAAGCCAGGCTTAAACTTCAAGCGCCTACCTCATTCTGGCGTTGATTGGCTGTAAAAGCCTTCAAGCTATTGCTCGATCTGTGTCCTTGTTTTGTCGTTGATGTGCTCTTGTTGGTGCCCAAGGCTGTTCTTGCGAGCTGTCTCTCCTTTTTTTTTTTTTTCGTTCCTCTCTCATTCTCTCTCTCTCTCTCTCTCTCTCTCTCTCTCTCTCTCAATCTCTCAATCTCTCTCTCTCAATCTCTCTCTCTCTCTCTCTCCCTTTCTGTTGTCAAGCCAGCAAGTGAGGTGCTATCGAAATGCAAGGGTTGTCCAAATCTAAAAAATAAAATAAAAAATCATCATGACCTTGTTCCTGTGCGTGGTGTGCGGCACACGACTTAGATGTACATGACATGAATTTGATGGGCTGAGAGGGGGGTGTATCAATTTACAAGTTAACAATGTCATGTAAAAAAAAATTTCGATCTTTTCCAGATTCGGTTGATATGATCGCCAGCACATGTGGCCAGAAATCAAGGTGAGAGGGGTCCCGTTGGGACATGGTGCTTCAAGAATGTTCTAAACGTGCCGTTTCAAGGGGAGGATCCCAAAAAGCTCTCGCTTGATACTTCATGAAGTCACAACGTGGAGATGATAGTGCGGGGGTTCAAGTCTGCAACCGCGTCAGCCGATTTTGGTTTGGACTATGTGCATGTGTAATAAGCCCATGAAAATCGATACCACACCAGAGGCGTAAGGATTGAGGGTTGCATCCCGCAAGCCGTCAAGCAGACGTGCCAAACGCCGAAGGAAGACAAAAGAAACAAAGGGCATCCCATGAGCCCACAATCTTGTTGACGCAAGACCAGCGTCTGAAGCCACCTTAGCGTCAACAAGCTACATAAATCCCACAGAGTGTGTTCATTCGATACCCGTTCCCTCAAAGCCCAATACACAGTGAACCTTGCCAGTGGCGCAACATTTCCGTACAATACCCCTCCTAGCATAACATTAACAATGAAACCCACAGACATGGTACGCGGTGGAAGAGATCACAAAGCCAATTCCACACTTGACCACCCACAAACACCCATTTTACCCCTCCCCACCACCACAACCACCACCCACCACAACGCCTCTGTCTTTTTGGCATTCTTCTTATTGACCGGTGCACTTTTTCTCTCTCTCTCGCTCTCTCTCGCTCGCTCTCTCGCTCGCTCTCTCGCTCGCTCTTGCCCTGACCGTGCTCGCTCGGGCGACTACCATCTCGGGTGTCTGATTCACACCTGCGCTCTTGCTCTCCCTCTCCCTCTCTTCGAGCTCTGGTGCCTGACGAGTAAACATCGTCTTCCGCTCTCAACTTTGGATTTGTCTCCACTTCTCTTTGTTCCTTCTTCCCCTGCCGTCGGGTCAAAGCAATCCAGTCTCACACTGCCGTAAGTTTATCCATCCAATATCGGCAACACTGCGCTCGTCCCCGTGGCCTTGCGCCGCCGCCCAGAGGATTTTGATCGCGGTGTTGCCTTTGTCGTCCTGCTCCTTCCAGTCTTTTTTTTAAGAATCTTTATCAACGGGTGTGTGAACTTGTCTTGCTATTTGGCGGCGCCATCCCTTTTTTCTGAATGCGTTCTACGTGGCTTGGTGGCGGGACCGACGATCGGCGACACAAGCTTGCACGGCTTCTCATGCAAAAGAAACAGGCACACGAAAGATCTCTTTTTTCTTTTTCTTTTCTTTTTTTTTTTTTTGTTCGTTTTTTATCGAACGGCAGTGCCTCGCCTCGCCTCCCCTTCTGACCACACTCTTATTGGGCCTTGCCGCCTCGCGCTGGGTCTGTCTTTCACCCCCTCGTGCGTTGGACTCGACACGCTCCTCCACAATCATTTCGGCCAGCAACCCTTTGGTTGCCTCACACACATTATCAACCGCGGTCCCAGATGGCACGCTTCCCGCCCAACCCCCTCCCTCGTTCCCCTTCCCCTTCCCACCCGCACCACACTCACCGCCATGCCGGCAACGACGACGACGACGACAACACACACCACAACAACACAGACACGCACACACACACACACACACACACACACACACACACACACACACACACACACACACACACACACACACACACACACAAACGCCATTTGGCAGCGCCACCCAAAAACCACAACACCAGCACATCTTATACACCTCCGCTACACCCATTGCGCCCTGTCCACACGTACCCATCCCATGGCAATCCCATACACATCACACTTCACCACACTTTCCCCTTACCTCCATGGGCACCTTGCATAGCGTCATGAGCCCTCCCCACACACAATCAGGACAACACACCACAACACATTGTGCCGTCGATGAGGTGTGGGGGGGGTGTGAAATGCGTGACATTTGGATTTGGCAATGTGATCGTCATGGTCGTGCCGATTGATGTTCTTCTTTCGTTCGCCTCTTCCGCCTCTTCCGCCTCTTCTGCCTCTTCCGCCTCTTCTGCCTCTTCCGCCTCTTCTGCCTCTTCCGCCTGCCCGGCTCGAATTTTCATCTCGATCCTTTCACCATCCGTATCCCCCGTAGACGGCTTCATCAATCTTCTGCGTGCCATCATCCTTCGACCAAGGCTTCAGGCCCTTGTTCCAACCTCTCCTCCCGCAGCTGTTCCTTGTCATAGCCACGTCTTGCAGCAGATCAGGCCGCGACACGAAGCCCGTTGCATTCCAACTCGCTCCTAGCCGCGCGCGACGTCTTGGTTTCGACCTTGGGCTCTTCCCGACCCAACTCCCGGGCCTGCCCCGGTGGGCCCATAGATCATTCAAGAAAAAAACCCTCTGCCCGCGTGCCTTGCTTCTAACTCAGGCACCCATGGCCATGGCACAACCGCAAAAGGAACCGACCAAAAGCGCCCCCGCCTTTGTGGCCGATTGGGATGCCATCCTGACCGATGGCCCTTGCAACGCGAGCGCGGACGTCGTTGGCCATCCCGGCATTGAGCCACCCTCCAAAATGATTGATCCTCGAAAACGTCTCCTGGCGACCCGCGCCTCCCCAGCCTTGGACGCTGACCATGACCCTGGCGCTCATGAAGATGCCAACGATAAGACAAACGGCTCCTCTTCCTCCAACGAGGATGGTTCCTCCAGCAGCAACGGCCTTGAAAACGAACATGAGGACAGCAGCACCACCTCCAACGGCGAAACGGCCAGTACGTCAGATACCACCACCACTTCTGGTGGTACCAAGTCATCCAGTCAGAGCCTTTCCTCCTCCTCCACCAGCAAAAACGCCATCACCCTGCCCAGCGGACGCATCCTCCGTCGTCGCAACTCGGCCAGCTCCTCCTCCCACTTCACCTCGAGCAGCAACAGCTCCCGCAGTAACCGGCCCCCCACCAAGCGCTCCAAGCGAAGGCCCCGCGACGAAGGTACCAACCGCTCATCCGAGGACCTCAATGACGGATCGCACTCAAGTGGCGAGAGCCCCCCCTCCCGCGAAGCCCGGGACGAAGGCTCCATTCTCTCCTCCAAACCTACCAGCCATGACAGCGTCTCCCACGAATCATATGCCTTTCGCCGCCGCTTCAGCCACAATACCGATGTCAATTCCGAATGGTTGACCCTCAAGGCCACTGACGAACTCCTTCAAGAATTTGCCCAGCACGGCCCCGGTCAAGATCTCAACGCTTGCCTTGTTGAGCTCGATGACAAGCAGAAAGCCCTCGAAGCCATCAACACTGCTGGCACCGATGCCGCTCGACGCAAGGTGTGCCCTGCTTGCCTCCCCACCCCGTGCCCTGGCACCACCACCATCATCCATACCAGGCCTTGATGCCCCAACTCATGCGTCACTGTCTTTTGATTTGTCATTGCACAGACGAGAAACCGCCTAGCATCAGCCGTCTCCCGTGCTCGGAAGAAAGTCTTCCTTCACCGTTTGCGCAGTGAACTCTTGCAATTGGCAGCCCGCTATCAGGTCTCCACTATCGAGTCACAGCAATTTCGCTTGCAGTCGCTTCAAGCGCAACGCGAGCTTTGGGTGCGTACCGCCGGAAAGCACGTGGGCGGGAAGGTTGCTTTTGGTTTCGGTGTTGGTTTTGCTTTTGATTTTGGTTTTTGCTTTTCCCGTGTTTCAGCCCATCCAATGCTTGCTTGCGTGATTGCACATGCCTCACGCACGCCCGTAACAATTCTGACAGGATTTGAAACAGCCTGGCCAGCCCCCACCTCCAAACTTATCAGACCAGGCTCTGCAGATTCTCAGCCTCGAGCTACAACAGGCCCAGCAGCGCGTTCAAAACACGCCCATGTTTGCCGCCGGCTCTCCGGTGCCGGCGCTCAATTTCATACATCCACACATGGTGCCGGGCGCTCAAGCTATGGACGGCGTCAATTTCATGCCCAACCAAGGCAGCGGACTACCATCCGGATCGCGACAACCCCAATCGGTCCCGGGACTTGCAGGTCCCATGCCCACAGCCTCTGAAGCCAATTCACAACTCGCCGAAGCCCATGAGCTCTTGTCGCGAGCCGCCGACCTCAACCGCCTCTTGCAACAACACGCCTACCCAGACGTGTGGCGCACACTCATGTCAGAAGAGCAGCAGCAGCAACAACAGCAGCAACGGCAACGACAACTCAGCGCATCAAACATGGAAGGCATGTATGTGGGCCCAAGTAATCCCTCGGGTCTTGGGTTTGGCGCACATTCCAACATGGCCACCCCGAGCTTATCGCAGGCTGCCGCTATGGCATCAGTGCTACCAGCCTCGACCGTGGCTGCCAATGTTGCCACCTCCATGTGGCCCGGGCCTGGCGTAGTGATGCCTCAGGATGTTACCACTTCCACGGCTTTGTATTCCGACATGGTTCCCTATGGGCCTCTGTCTTTGAGCCACGCCGCCACCTACTCTGATTTGAGTCGTGGAGCCGTGGGCCTCGATGGATACGGCAACTATTCGGCCGCTCCACAGATGATGGACCAGATGCTTTTGGATGAGATCACCAAACCCGTCAACAACGCCTAATGTTTTGTGTGGCAGAGCAGCTGCCTGCAGTTTTTAACTACCCCTTTTTTTTTTTCTTGTCACTGTCTTGCTAACTTTGCAACGGACTAGTTTTCTGTTTTCGGGCGCTTTGCTCATTTTGAGCTGCCCGCCACGCTGAGCGTGATTGCAACCCAACACTTGCTTGTTGAAAGTGATAGCACTAGGACTCTTTGTTATTGTGTTTGTTTCTCTTTTGAAAGACTCTTACATGCTCATTCAAGAGCAGGGAATTATGTTCATCACCAGAATTGACATGCATATCCATCAGGCGCCGCACATCACGTCAACTCGATTTCGAATGATGATTTCTTGAAGTGAAGCACAAGGCAACATTCTTCAAGTCATCACGCCAAAGTCACGCCCCTCGGCTACCCCTGTCGTCTCCCTGAATCATTTGCATCCGGCGCTCGCTGAATGCCTGCGTTGGCCGTAGCCTCCTATGTCCAGGCAATCCCAATGTGACAAAGCGCCCGTGAGCGCGTCCAAGCAGCCTGTGGATGTCCCGTCGCATCTTTGTAATACTCCCAGCCCTTGCACTCTTGTCGAAGACCATAGTGTCCGGGGTGCTTTGCCCCACTCACCGCGGCCAGGGCAGCCATTACAGCCTCTTCCTCTTCCTCGTCCAGATACAAGTTGGCTGCCGCCATCTGTCATGAATGCAGCCAGTGAGGAAAAGGGAGCGTTGATGCACCAGCACAGCGTACAATTGCATCCACGGACGAGCCGTAACCAACCTCATCATCGTTCGCAATCTCACCCTCATCGCCATCCTAGCAAGAACCCCATAGCAAGAACTCAATAAGCGGCCGCCGAGTAGCCAGAGACGGAAAGGGGTCCACCGATCGCACTCGCATACCTGGCGACCAAAAAGGTTGGCAAGCGAGGGCATGGAGCGCAGCCACTGGGACATGATGTGTCATCAAGTTTACATGAGCAATGAGCCAACACAAATGCCCATGTTCGCAACAAAGGTCACATGATGCATCCCCAACCTCAGCGGCGCGCTGATGCAGATTGCCGGCCTCCATGTCGGCAGGCAGTTGGCGTCTGTGGGAGGAGCATTGGTCTTATCAGATCATCGCACCTACCAGCCCAAACAGTACGGAGAGCCCACAAAGGCCTTGATTTTTCTCTTGGAACCCGCTCGCTTACCCGCGCTGTTCAGCTTCAGCGGCCTGAGCCGCCCTATTGAAGTTGGGCATGAGCGACTGGAAAAATGCCTCCAGAATGCCGCCGTCATACTCCTCCCGCACTCGGCTGTTTAGCACAGCGGTATACGGATTCTCAGTCCTGAAAGAATCGACGGGCACGCGTGAGCCGGTGCACACTCGAGTATCTGTTGGGCCGTGCGCCTCTTAAGCCAGGTTCGCAGTGGGGCAGGATAACGCCAAAAACACATTGGCGTTTTCGGAGGGCATTCTGGCCTACCCGGGACCCGTCGGTGGCAGCGGATCGTATGCAAGCACGGCTTCAGCTGTAGCAGAGGCTGGGAGCAGCGCCATGGCGCTTGACACGTTGCTGATCAGAACATGACGCTGGATGTTAAAGGGCAGGAATGGGTAGTTGGTTTTACGGCTAGAGGTTCCAATATGCGAAGATGAGAACATCCGTACACCCAAGAGGAAAAGACAAAAAAAAAAAAGAAAGATAATTATGATACCAGCCGCAACTGACCCCTCAGCATGTGTGACAGCTGTCGCTTGAAGTTCGGGCTCAGCCTCCAACCGTTGGGTGAGGCGCAACGCACTCTCCTGTAAATGATCAATGTTGTGATGGTAGCCGCGCAAAAATTCGAGGCCTTGCACGATGTGCTCTGCACGAGCTGACAACACAAAAGCCCAAGGTGGTTACGTACGTGCAACCAGCGAATAACTGGCTCTGGCTTCCAAAAGTCCAAACAACGCTCCAAGTAAAGCGTCACCAAAAGTCGAATGTTTTTCTCCGACGAATTGAGGGAGAGCTGGCAGTGGAAAGCAGCCATTGGATGAGCACATTTCGGCAACGGGTGGCGGAAACGAGAGTGTGAGCTTGCACAAACCGGAAGCTTAAAGTGTCGGTGTTGCAAAACCTCGGGGCGGAAATTGGCACCCGACTGCGTGGCCATGAGCGGTACTACTTCAGGGAAGCGAAGCAAGGCATCTAGCAGGCGAGTTTCGGCTTGTTCTTCAAGCAGAGCTCGGCGCTGGTCGCCTTCAGCTAAATCCTGGGCCGCCAGCCAGGCGGCCAGGGCAGCACTGAAGGCGAAATTGGGCAGGGACTCCAAGTGTCGCTCCTAGTCAAGCCAGGCACCATGAGGCTGTACAAATGTGTTGCGAACCGACATATATGCATGTGTCATGAAGAGGGTGGCGGGATGCTGTTGGAACAAAACTTGAGAAAGTGCTGGCCTTACATACCCAATGCCATTCCTCCATCATTTGTACCAAAAGATCGTTTTCACCAGCAGCAAGTGCCATTTGGTCCATGATTAAGAGTGCACCCAGTGGATCCTGAGTTCAGGTTTGTGCCAAAGCCCCAGGGGGTGAGGCAACACACATGCAAGGTCGACGAGGTGTGACATCAAATGTTGTGGTCAAGTAGGTACGCCATGGCACGTACATCGGTGGGATCCAGGCTGAAGAGGAAACGCGTGAGCTCGAGGGCGGCCCGATAGCAACCCCGGTTGCGCACATAGCCAATATGACGAAAGAGGGCAAGAAAGAGGGCGCGGTTGTGGTAGGTACGGTAGGTCATTCGGCACTGCCCCGCAGCCGGTTTGAATGTTGGATGAAATGCTGCTTGTAGGCAATAGATTGCACGCTCCACGAGATCAGCAGCGGTGGCCACGTCCCCGCCCATTGCGCACACCTATAAATTGAGAAAATGCAATGAGAAGGCCAATGTAAGCGAGGCTTGGACAGGCAACCCCCCCATTGCATGTGCAGCGCTGGTTTGGTGGTGGGGTTGCCATGTTCATAAGTATGCTATTGAAGGTGGGACTACCTCAGAGAGTTGCAAAAGCGAGTCAATGTGGTATGGGTGGTGTTGCAGGACCGCGGAGATGGCATTGGGGTCCATGGTGCGCACGGCACGCAAAAATCGCAGCTATCACAGATACGACGCATGGGCAAGGAGCCGACTTTGTGAGGCAGGCAGTACAGAACGGTTTGTTTTTTTCATGAGTAGGAGTGCGGATGACACACCTGAACCTCTTGGTAAGCCGGTGAGTGCTGCAGCTGAAACAGTCGTTGGCCATCTTCTTGCTCGTCGGGCGCAAGAACCATGGCTAGGCCTGTGCCAAGCAACAAGGGAACAAGGAAGGTGGAAGTGCATCAAGGAGGTGTTCGGGAAGGATGTGATAGCTAAGTGTGTGCCATGGCTGACAAGCGAGGTCGTGGGGGGCCGTGGCATGCGTGGGTTGGGAGCACGCACCAGTGCGTTGCATGCGAGGCCAGTTGTCCTTTGGATGAACCATAGAGGAGCGCACGGTGCGACCGCGGCGGGGAGCTTGGGTTTGCCGACCCATGTGAAATTTGCGCCGCAACTCGGCATCGGCATCCAGAAGGCTGGGGGTGAGATTGTAGTGGTGACGATGCGTGAGTGTGGGCTGAAAGTGGGGAGAAAGCAGGTGCGCCGCGGAAGGGCAGGGCTCACCGGGTGTCAATGTCGAGAAGGTTTTGTCGGAGTTTGGGGGCTGAGTCTAGATCGTCATCAGCGCCACGCGTGGCCCACTTGGAGCCCAAGTCAGCTTGTAGCTACGCGGTGGGATGAACCAGGTCGCAGTTACGCACGAGGGTGAGACTCGCACGTTTCTGAATTTTGCTCGGGAGTGTCAAGACATCTCGCATGTCGTCACATGTGAAAAGGACAGGGCGGCACATGCGGGTGGTGTCAGACGCTGACCTCGGCAATGGCAGCGTCGACGTCGTCCAAGGGGGGCTCAGCAGCGTCGTTGAGGCTCGTGGCTTGCTCGTCATTCTTGCCAGCAGCGTCATTTTTCTTATTCTTCTTCTTGTTTTTGTTCTTTTTCTTCTTCTTTGATTTGCTGGTCGTGGGCGCTGGGGAGGGTGGGGGCGGGGAACGCACAGGCGGATGGGACCACGTGCAACAAGGCGATGATTGCAGACCAGACATGGCCTTTCCGTGTGTCATACCTGGTGTTGTAGCCGTTTGCTTGTTTGCCTCGGGAGTAGAACCGTTGTCGGGCTCACTGTCGTCTGATTCTGAGCCCGCATTCTGTGATCGGTGGGCCAGCGGTGTCAGGAGCCGAGCTGGGTCATAGCTGCTCGTGTAAACTTGTCTGGTTTGGACCTTTCCTTGCTCCAGCTAGTCCTGCCCACCAGGTCACGTACCAGAGCCGCGAAGAGATTGGGCTTGGGCTTGGCACGAGGTAGTGGGGACGAAGCAGTCTCGTCCTGACTCTGCTCATCCTCCGAGGCTTCGTCTACCTCGCCTTTAATCAAACCGCAAGAGTCACGGGTATTTAGAGGCTCACAAACTTGGCATGTCGACCAACTGTTGCGCTTTGGCGTGGTGTGTCAGGAACCAGTTTGACTGCCCCAGACATTCTCTAGCACATTGGATGAGCCCATGGAACGTACGGGCAAGGTTGGCCCAGGCCTCTTGTTCACGCTGCTGAAGCAGCCGCCGTACGGCGCGCGACGACATTGTCAAGGATTAACTACGCATCCAAAGCCGGCAGCCGCTGGATGAGTCTGATTCGTGACCGTGTGTACGCCTATCCCAACACCATCCATTCCAGCCTCAACCTCCATGGTGAACCCTCAACCCCCACCCCCACCCCCCATGTTTTTTTGGGTTTGTTTTGCGCCTGTTCCAATGCAATTCAGGCCCGGCTGCCGTACCTCTGCTGGCCACCGCTGCCACATACGCACAAGGAGAAGGTCCTGTGCGCGGGGTCTGATTTGTCGACAAAAAAAACCCCGAAGTAAGTCTCAGCCAGTCTCTCAGTCTCTCAGTCTCAGTCTCTCAGTCCCTCCTTCAGTCTACTGGTCTCTCAGTCCCTCCGTTGAGTCTTTCAGTCATCTGAGTGCTTCATCTGACAATGACATCACTGGGACACTTTCTTCAACCATTGCGTGTCTCAAGGGTGTGATTTCTTCGTTCAGAGCGGATTTCCCCCACACGTGCTCCCCTGAAGCCTCCCTACGCTGGCCCCCTCCCGGCCCCGACGAAATGGTCGCGCACCGATTTGAGAAGAATAGCATGATGCCATTCACTGAGTCATGCCCGATGCACACACTCGACCATGGCATGGCGCACCCCGTCCAATGGCCGCCGCCGGCCTGATCGCTCCCCTGACATCAAAGCAAAAAGACATTATTGTCGAGGCAGTGGTGGGGTCATCAAAGAGGGGGCGCCAACCCCCTACCACCAAAAGTTTTGTTCTTCGTCCGCCCTTGATCTCTCTTTCTCTTTCTCTCTCTCTCTCTGTTTCTCTGTCTTTCTCACCAATTCTGTCTTTCCCTCTCTCTCTCTTTCTCTGCTTTTCTCTGTCTTTCTCTGTCCCAAACTCTCTTCTCTATCTCTCTCTCTTCTCTCTCTCTCTCTCTCTCTCTCTCTCTCTCTCTCTCTCTCTCTCTTCTCTCTCTTCTCTCTCTCTCTCTCTCTCTTCTCTCTCTTCTCTCTCTCTCTCTCTCTCTTCTCTCTCTTCTCTCTCTCTCTCTCTCTCTCTTCTCTCTCTTCTCTCTCTTCTCTCTCTTCTCTCTCTCTCTTTCTCTTTCTCATTCTTTCTCTCTCTTCTCTCTCTTCTCTCTCTTCTCTCTCTTCTCTCTCTTCTCTCTCTTCTCTCTCTCTTTTCTGTCCAGCAGCTGCGAGAAACGAGAAAGAAGCACACCCACCGCTCCAAAACAACAAGGCCGTGTGGTATGTGACACACGGGTGTGATCAAGGCTCCCTCCAAGTATAGTGCTTGCCATGTACTAATAAGCTATAATGAAGCAGATATGTATGCTATATGTAACTGACGTGTATAGACGTACAAGGACGTTTTGTTGATGTTGTTGGATCAATGCACATTTCCCTCTCTCTTGCTCTCTCTCGCTCTCTCTCTCTCGCTCGAACGCGCACTTGACCTCGACTCGACCCCGGACGGCTGCTGTTAGTGAGCTAGCTGGCTACACGGTATGTGCCACACACGCTCGCATGTATCTTCAGGTTGCCCTTTTTTTTCTTTTTTGGCTTTGAATCGTGCCCTTTGCTCGAGTTGCATTTGATTTTTTTGGCTCTTCCACCACCTCACCCACAAATTGCTTTTTTTTTTTTTTGCTTGCTTCCCAACCAACTACGACAGGACCTTGACCTTGAAGGCCACAACCCGCGGCTCCTTCCCACTGTGCCCATCTTTTCCTCCATCTCCCCTTTGCCCGCCATCATGGCTGCTTTGATTCTCAGAAGTAGTAGTCGGAGAAGTCGTGCTTTGGTAGCCACCACCCACAAGTGGCTGCTTTCCCACCAGCTCTCGCACTCCACCGGCCCCAACCTTGCCCGGAGCTATGCCACCGCTCCAACGGGCCCCACCTACGCTTCGACTGCTTTTCTCCACCAGCGCCTGCGCCCACAGCGCTCTCAAAATTCCCACGGGGCCAAGCTCAACCCAGACAAGGGCTCCGCCTCTGGCCTCGCTGCGGGTCGCTCTTTCATGCGCACCCAGTCGGGCACTGGTGACTCCCTGCAAGTTTCCCAACAGAAAAATTGGCAATGCATCATCTTTGACAAGGTGGGTGCCTCTACTGCTTCCGCTTCCCCCCTCACTACACGACAAATCAAACACAGTCCCCCCCCCCTTCTTCCCTCTCCTTCTTTTCTTTCCGCCTTGGGGCTGGATTGAATTTGCTCTTCCTGCGGTGTTGAGTGTCTGGCACTTGTTGCGCCTCCATCGACTTGTTGCCCCTCTTGTCCTGCTCGGCAGTCACGTCACCTCTCCTTCGTTATGAAGGGAGTGTGAGCCGATTTAAGATCCTAGCGGTCCATTGCCACATCTGAAACGCTGTACGCCTGTGCGAGTGGCTGTCTGAAGTGATGGGACGCGATGGTGGCAAAGAAAGGAAGAAATGGAACGGCCGTGACAGAAAGAAGAAAAGAGAGGGGGGGAGAGAGAGGAGATAGGTGTTCCAGAAACGCGCTGATTCGTGGTTTCGCCCCCCTTTCTCGCTCTCGCAGTTTTGCTTTCCCGTTCGCTCGCCATGTTGGTCCTCTCCCTATTGGGCGTTGACATTCCCCTGTCGTGTCGCCCGCCCGCTCGCCTTCCCGAGTTGTCTACTCCTCCCGCGCTTCACATCGGCTCAAACCCATCTTTCCTCGTCCCCCTCTTTTATTTTCTGTGAGAGACAGACGACAGACTCATCGCGCCGTTGACCGTTATTCCTTTTTTGGCTGCTTTGCAGGATGGCACCCTCTTTGATACTCGGAAAACTTGGCATGCATGGGCCGAGTGTATGGGCCAACACCTGACCGACGCCTGCTCTCAGGACGCCTGCTCCACGTTTTTCAAACATGTGGGCTACGATCCTGAGACCCGTGCCATTGCCGGCAACGGCCTTTTGGCCATGCGGCCCTGGACTGAGATCTACGATGCCATGGCCATCATCCTCTCCTCCTGCTCTAACCAAGAGCTCGAGGACTGCGTCGCATCCGTGGGCCAGTGGCGCCGTGATTTTGACATGGTTGAGGGCCAGGAACTCCTCTTTGACGTCGCTGACCTTTTTACCCAACTACGTGCCTCTGGTGTTAAGGTACGCTGCCATGCGCATCTACCAATCGTGTGCCTCTCGTCACGTTCATGTTGAACACAATGCTTGCTCGCTTGCTCGCTGTAGGTGGCCATCAATACAGCTGATGATCGCCTCTCTACGGATGGCATCCTGGCCAAATATGGCCTAACCGACCTGGTCGATATTGTGTTGACCAGTTCTGAGATGCCCCATCCCAAGCCCCACCAGGACAGCGCCCTTTTCATCTGCTCATCGCTCTCGGTGGATCCTGAGCTCACCATGGTCGTCGGCGATACTTCGGCCGACCTTCTCCTCGGTCGCAACGCCAATCTGGGCCTGTCTGTTGGTGTCCTCTCCGGTGCTTGCACGAAGGAGGAGCTCTCTCGCAACAGCGACATCATTCTCAAAGATGCGCGCGGTGTTTTGCAACTCATCAATGCCCCCCTTGACGCTCTTGAGGGTTAAGCCATGTCATTGTTTGCCATGCTGACTCTCCTACACATGATCTTTATTTGCTGCCTTGTGTGTTTGAATTCTTGATTTTCTTTCTTTTTCCTCCACTCCGGTTTCGGGTTTCCATTTTCTTTTTTTGTGGTTTGACCTGCCCGTGTTACGTTGATGAGTGAGTACCGAGACTCGATGTGTTTTCTTTCTCAAGGCTGTCTTTTAAACAGCCATGTGAGCTGACCTTGATCTTCTGGTCCTCCCACCCGTTGTGGTCGCATCTTTTCTCTTCTCTCTCCTCAACATCTCGTTGTTGTCATGTTTGATTGACCATCCCCTTCGATGACCATTGTTTTCCGTTTCGAGACTTTTTTGCTTCTTCTTCTTCTTCTTTTTTTGAACTGTAGCTGAGCTTTTGATAGACAATAAAATTTTTTTATCATCAACTTTGTTCCGTGCCCTCTGTTTACATTGGGGTGTGCCGTGCACAATCGCGTGTAGTTGTCTGCTTGTGTTTTTGTTTTTTAATCTTGCCGTATCCCTTTGTAGTTGTTTTCTGCTTTTGCTGTGACGCATCTGGCTCTTTTGCCTGAATGTAATCACACACACACACACACCGCCATGCGGCTGTTCATGTATTTTCCTATCGGGTCTTCGGGTTTGTATGCTCCCAAATTTTGTGTCTTCTGAAGATGACACCTTCAATCGAGCGATATTAAACACTTATCAACGTGTGCTTCAAAAAGGGTTTTGCAATTGAAGGTCACTCGGCCAGGGAAACGGCAGAAGAAGCAGTGGTGGGGTGGGGGTTAAGAAGACAGTGACTGGCAAACACGGCACAAGGATAACGGCACGAAACAGCCTCAACAGAATCAAATGTGCAGACAACTAAAAAAAAGAACCTCCTTGACAGTCAAGTCAGAGCAAGCAGCGTGCAACATGACTTTGCTTTTTATTCCCCACAATCTTGCGAGCAAGAACCAAGGAGGATCAGGTGAAAGGAGGGTCCAAGGGGCCACCGTCAGCACAGCAGGGCATCTGGATGGTCCTGGTCGTCGGACGTATTCGGGGTGGTGAAGGCGCACCTTGAGAGCTTACAAGTACAACTTGCCAAAGGCCACGCCAATCAAAAATGCCACCAGAACGAGCAGCACGTTGAGCGGTGCTGATTTCGTGCCGGCGACATCATCAATGTTTGTGGGGCGCAGCTGTGCGACACTGGGCTTTGAGGTGCTGCTCTCACTCCTGACGGGAGCCGCCGCTGCTTTGGGTGATGCCGGGGTTGTCTCCTTGGATACGGCCTGGTTCTTGTCCTCGACTGGAGTAGCTGCCTTTTCTGCGGGTACGACGGCTGGCGCAGGCTTTGGGGCTGCCGTGTTTTTCAAGGAAGAGCTGGGTTTGGGGGCCTCGGCGACGGCGGCAGACTTGGCCTGCGGTAGAGCGCGCGAGCATATGTGGAGAAGGGGGGGGGGCAAGGGAGGATGAGCCCAGGGAGGAGATGGGAAGCGGGGTGTGGCGACACAGCTGGACACGCAGCAATCGTCCTGATGCCGAGTGAATGCACAGAGCACGCGCGTACCGAATCAACGTTGCCAGCTGAGAAAAGACCTGACAGAGGGCAAGAAGCCAGGGCCAGCAGTCAAGAGCAAGATGAGACGGTAGCGCACGGTGAGTACAATCGCGTGTCTAGCTAGACAAGGCACGAACCGTCCTCGAGGAGAATGTTGTGCCAGGTACAGCGCATGCGAATTTCGTGCGCATGAGACTTGAAGTCGTCTGTCTTCAACTAAGAAAGACACCAACCGCACGATGGCACAATTTGTGAGCAAGGTGAAGGAGAGGAGGGGAGAACAGCTGGATTGATGAGCGGGCAATCAAAGGATGCTGGGGTAACGCAAACCTTGTCGGCCAGTTCGCCTTCTTGCAGCGCCGATGTGAGAGGCAGGGCTTGGATCTGATGGGCCACATATGTTCGAGGGAGTGGCGCACGGGCACCAAAGGTGGCCATGAGTTGGCATGAGTGGAGCAAGTGCCGTAATGGCGAATCGCTGCCGGTCGAATCGCTGCCGGTCGAATTGCTATGTGAATAACCGAAAGAAGAAGCAAGCGAGCCACCAAACCGACCTGAAACTTGTGCTTGCCATGGTCACTACGAAGATTTGTAAACTGCTGCATGATGACTACAGGCAGGGGGTCATGAAGGGTGCGATGAGAACCATGACGTCCTCTCTCCAAGTGCAAGTCAGACAACTGCCATGCTCATGGAAGAAAGCGCAACAGAGACAGACAGACAGGTAGAGAGGGGAGAACAATCTTCATCAAGAAAGGTGAAGCTGGTCACGCACTTTCAATCTCCTTGCTCTCGCGAGGCGGTAAGGAGCCCGAGTTGGGGCGCACACAGTAAGCATTGGGACGGGTGGTTTTGATCTTAAACGCCACGTTGCGATCGGTCTTGTTGGTGAGGGTCAAGGTGGATCGGATGGTCTTTTCACGCGCGCCTGTCAAAGAAACCAGACCAGGTGAACAACCTCACCTGCTTGAGCATGATCATCATGGTACTCATGATGTTGTTTGTCACTGACGATGCAGCTCGACTTGAGCGCGTGCAAAACAAAGCGAGGTAGCAAGGACCTACTGGGGTTGCCCTCAAAGTGCAGCGTTTCGCGAGGCGAGACCTCGATGCAGGGGGGCTCCTGCGTGGCGCTAGTGCGGTTGAGCTCCATGATCAAGGATGAGCCGGCGCTGGAGTTTGTAGTTGTGTGGCGGCTGTTGAAAGATTTGGTGGAACGACCACGCCTCTGGCAATGGCCACGTCCTGCTTCAGTGCACCTCTGTGCTCCTGCGGTACGTTGCTGCCTGCTTTGATCCCAAAAGACTGCAAGCGAGCCAATCACGTCCCCAAGCGAGGTGAGGCAAAGCGCATGCATGCTGCCGAGGTACAACCAACATGCACGCCAAAATTTACCCCCTCAACCCTCAACCCCAGCAAGATGCCCCCACCACCACCACCACCACCACCACCCTGCTAGCTAGCTAGCTACAAGTCACACCACGCGCTCCTCCCAAACTCACCCGCACTGCCCTCTCTACCTCGTATACACCCCCGTCCCAAAAAAAAAAAAAAAAATAACGTGCGCCACCTCCTGCTGCTGCTGCTGGAAAATCGTTTCGCGCTGTAGTGTCGGAAGAGAAAGAGAAGAGAGAGAAGAGGGAGAAAGAGGAGAAAGAGAGAGAAAGAGGAGAAGAGACAGACAAAAGAGAAAAAGAAGAGAGAGAGAGAGACAAAAGAGAGAGAGAGAGTTTGAGAGAGAGAGAGAGAGTTTGAGAGAGAGAGAGTTTGAGAGAGAGAGAATTTAAGAGAGAGAGTTTAAGAGAGAGAGTTTGAGAGAGAGAGAGTTTGAGAGAGAGAGAGTTTAAGAGAGAGAGTTTGAGAGAGAGAGAGTTTGAGAGAGTTTGAGAGAGAGAGGGATGAAAGAAAGCCAGAGTCAGAGAGCTCTCTCTGGCGTGAATTTGCAACACAGCATATGATCGTGAATCACGTTCTCGCTACCATCTGTCTACACCACGTCTGCAGCGCCAAATGGAAATGTCAGATCCATCGGCCGCTGGTTTTATCTGACATTACATTTGGTCACCGGGTCGGTCTCCTGCTTCCAGCTGTCCTCGTCGCACCGGGCGCTCCCTCCGCTCCCTCCCGCCGCCGCTGCTCCCTCCGCCGCCGCCGTCTCTTTCCGCCTCTCTCCTCCTTGTGCTGGGGCTGGGCAGGTGCTTTGGGTGGTGTGGCCTTCGTTGCTGGCGGTCTCGTATTGATGGCCTCTTGTTTTAATCTGCTTGGTTCCACAGTCATACGAGGATCAACGCGCAAGCTTCCTCGGAGAGGTCTCACTTCGTCCTTGAACCCCGTGTGGAAGGCAACGGCGAATGTGCCTACTGGAACCACCTAGTGCGCACTTGCAGTGCGCCATTCTTACTGTAAGCGGGTATGGGTCAATCCAGCTCCACGCCCTATGCGGCAGCCGGCCACGACCTTGATGATCTAGACGTAAGCTCGCTGCCCTTGAGCACACCACCCCGCCCACGCCGCCCGCTCCACCCGAGCACACCATCGACACCACCTCTCCTTCAGGAGTTGACTCATACCTTGCCGTCACATGTTCAAACAACATTCTTTTCTGCACGCACAAAACGCAGACGGCCCTTCTATCCGATGAAGCGCCGGAAGAAGTTCGGTGAGGCCAGCGACCCCGCCCTGCCTTTTGTGTGCCCAACTTGGCGCTCGTCATTGGCGCTCGTCATCTTGCCCTTCCCGCCTCCCAACCTTTTCCTCTCACCCTCACTTCTCTCATCCTGTGCTCCAAACCTTCAATCCCCAACCTCTTAACCAGCCGCAACTATGCTCGACAGCGCCGAGACAATAAAGAGGTTTGTCCAAACCGCAATCCCCTCCCCTCCCCCCAGCTTTCCCCGCGTTGACATGGAACATGTAAAAAATATTTGCCACCCAATTTTACCCCCTGACTTGGCACAGATCTACGAGAGCATTGATTATGAGCCCCCGCTGCTTGCTTCAACCATGTGCAATGTCATGCCCACTACGCCCCGCTTTTTCTTTTGCCCGATCATAACCCACAGCCCTGGACATGGTCAATGCCGATACCCAACGTGGCAATATCCTGCGCTGGATCCTCTGCGGCGTCATCGGAGCTCTCACCGCGGCTACCGCATTCTTTATCGACTACTGCGTCAAGCTCATCAGTGCCGCCAAGTTCAAGCACATTGACTCCTACATGGAAGTCTGCAATGATGAAGGCAACAAGTCGTCGGCCTGCATCTGGCGACCCTGGCTGGTGCTTGCATCAATCAACATGTGCTTCGTGGCCATCGCCGTCGTCATGACCGCCTGGCTCTCGCCCTCTGCTGCTGGCAGGTCTGTCACACAAGCCATCAACCCCTATGCGCCCACGAAACGGCACCGCTGCTATCAGCGCAAACATCATTTTGCGTCGGCTGCCTTGCTCTCACTCACCCGTCCTGACGCCACATTAGTGGCATTCCCGAAATCAAGTGCACGCTCAATGGCATTAAAAAGGCCGATTGGCTCACCTTTAAGACACTTGCCGTCAAGGTATGGTTATTCCCGACAACACGCGCGCATGTTGACCCGTCCCCACGCTCACAAGTTACCGATACCCCTGCTCAGGTGTTGGGCGTCATTTGTGGCGTAAGCGCCACCATGCCCATTGGCAAAGAGGTTCGTCACCTCCCCTGCCCTCGCTCGCTGGCTGCCCTGTACCTCCCATGCTGCATGTACAATTGCCATCCCTTGGCCCGACCTGACGACTTTGATCATCACCACTGCGCAGGGCCCCATGATTCACTCCGGGGCTGCCATTGGTGCCGGCCTGCCCACGGGCCGCAGCACGCGCATGCCCATTGACCTCGAGACGCTTCGCTTCCGCAATGATCGTGACAAGCGTGATTTCATCTCCGCTGGCGCCGCTGCCGGTGTTTCCGCCGCCTTTGGAGCACAAATTGGTTTGTCCCTCCACCCCCGCATCCTCTGTCCCACTGCGTCTGCCAGTAGCAGACGCACGAGCCTCAACAGCCCGTGTCTCTGTCCCCCCAAGCTCATGCGTGTCACCTTGCTCGACAGGTGGTGTGCTCTTTAGCTTGGAAGAGGGCGCTTCCTTCTGGAATCAAAGTCTCACCTGGCGCTCCCTGTTCTGCTCCATGATGGCCCTCTTTGTGCTGCGCTTCTTCGTGGCTGGCATCATCTCCGACGATCACGATTGGGGCCACTTGGCCTCCGGTGGCCTGTGTGAGTCTTGCTCTTGAGGCCGGGGGTTGGGGATCTTGCCATGGATCAGGTGCTCACCAAACATTCCCCTTGTTCTGACTGGCGTGTAGTATCATTTGGTGAATTTGAGTACCAATCCAAGGAGCAGCAAGGTGAATGCAGTAGCAGCAATTACGGGTCCTTTGACCAGTGCCAGGCGTGCTGCACAGACCCCTCCAACCTCTGGTTCATCGTGGATCTCTTCATGTTCCTCCTCATGGGCATTGGTGGCGGTGCGTGCTGCATGACATGTTTTCCGTTCTCCCCCACGCGCACGTGTCGAGCTCAAGTTTAGCACTGCTCTCACTGGAGTCCCGGGAACCCATACTTGTCCTGCCCCTGATGGCCGGGTGTTTAGGCCTGGCTGGCGTGGTCTGGGTGCATTGCCAAGTCTTCATCACAAAGCTGCGCATGAAGTACATCACTCAAAAGTGGATGAAGGTGGCCGAGGCCCTCACCATTTGCTTCCTCAACACCACCATCTTGTATTGGGCTGCTTTGAGCATTGGTCGCTGCCACCCCCGCAATGAAGGCCGAGCCATTTCAGCAGAAGGTGCGATATCTTGCGTTGGTTTGGTGACATGGACCTGCTCCGCGCTATCATCTGAGCATTGTATTTGAAGTAACGCGAATTCCCTCTTCGTCTGGATGCTTTGTCGTTTTGTTTTCCTTGGTGCTTTGCTTCAACAGAGAACTGGCGCGGCTACTTTTGCGACGACGGTGAATACAATGACTTTGCCACCCTTGTGCTCAACCCTTTTGAGACGTCAATCAAGCATCTGCTTCACCAAAGCGTACGTTTGACAGCCCAGCGCGCGAGTGCACACATTCTCCACCTCTGCTATAAGTAATCTCGGTCTCAGGCCTCGGCTCACACTCGGGCCCCGATGTGGGCTTCTGAAACCTCGTGCCCCTGTATGCAGCAAAATATCCAGCCCATCAGCTTGGGAACAAGCGCAGCCTATTTCATCATCATGGCCATCATCTCGTGTTGGACCTATGGCCTCGCCATCCCCTCTGGCCTATTTGTACCCGCGCTCGTCACGGGAGCCGCCTATGGCCGTTTCGTGGGCAGCATTGTTGCCATGTCCCCCACGTATAGCGTCTACGTCGGTACCTATTCTCTCATTGGAGCAGCAGCCTTCCTCGGTGGTGTCGTGCGCATGACCATCTCTCTCACCGTCATTCTCGTCGAAGCCACCAATGAGGTCTGGCCCCCAGATGCTTTCGATTATGTTCTGATTGTTGATGTTCCGGTAATTCGCTCCCGAATTTCCAGCCGGCCAGGTTGAGACTCAATTACTGTGTGCTCATCGCAATCTTTTCAGGTAACATATGGCCTCCCCGTCCTCATTACACTCGTGACCGCCAAACTTGTCGGTGATTATTTTAACAAGGGCATCTATGACGCCCACATTGACCTCAAGGAGGTATGACGACTTGTGATTGCTGGCGTTATTTCTGCCGGTCGGGCATGTGTCTCTGTGTGGGATTGAGGCCTTGTGACGTGTGCCGTGCGTGTTTGCACATCACCAACTCCCCTGACCTGCCGCAGATTCCGCTGCTCGAATGGCACGCCGAAGAAGAAATGAAACGCTATCGGTGCCAAGATGCCATGGCCAAGCCGGTCGTCTGCGTCCCGGTCCGTGGCATAACTACTGCTCAGTACATTCAATTACCCTTACAATGACCACTCGACGCTCACGTTACCACGTCTCACTGACTTTTAAATATTATTCTTGCTGGCGCCCGGACGCTAATAGCCCATCTGCCAAGTTGGCCAGCTGGTCTCCGTGCTTGAGCAAACCACCCACAACGGCTTTCCCGTTGTTTACTCCGGCGCGGAAGACGTGCGTTTTTTTTTTTTTTTTTTTTTTGGTTTGGTTTGTTTTTTTTGTTTGTTTTTTTTGTTTGTTTTTTTTGTTTGTTTTTTGTTTTGTTTTGTTTTGTTTTTTGGTTTTTGTTTTTCTGGCGAGACATTTTGTTCCGTTTTTGTTTAGATTTCATCAGCACCGCTTAAGCTCTAGCCCTCGAACACAGTAACTTGTGTCCTTCTTTTGACCCGTGCTGCCCGTGTCCCCACCTGCGTCTGTGCGTGTAGACCATTGGCACCGTGCCAGCAGCCATGAACCACTTTCAAGGCATGATCCTGCGTTCACAAATTATTACCATCTTGCAATGCCATGGCTATGGCCCCTATAACGCGTCGACGGGCGCCGTGGACGGCCCACTTCTTGCGTACGTCGTGGAAAAGCTCTGCTGCCCCCATCCCTGAGCCCGAGACCTCGCGACTGTTGCGCATCCCAGCCCTGTTGGTCAATGAGCGACTCATCCGGCTTTTCTGCTTTTTTTTTTTTTTTCCAGAGCCGATGTATTCCAAATGAAGTATCCTCAACGAACGCCTATCGAAGCCGTCACCTTGCCGCCGGCTGCTCTCGAGGACTATATCGACTTGCGACCCTACATGAATGCCTCACCCTACACGGTGGATCCGAACACGCCCCTGCCGCGTGTGTTTGAAATCTTTCGCAATTTGGGTTTGCGCCATTTGCCGGTTTTAGATCACGCCCACAATGTAGTCGGCATCATCACCCGCAAGGAACTCACGGGTACGAATGCGCTTGTTCTTCATAAACCGGAATCGATCCGATTGGCCTCATTCTTGACCCCAACCCTTTTCTGTTCCTGACCCGCGCTTTTTTCTTAGGATATAAAATTCATGAGCTGGATCATCATTTTAATGCCCACGGCCACCCTGCTGCCCATAGTTCATGAGCACTTTGCCCAGGCGTCAACCTGCTATGAGGGCTCTTTTTCGTTTTTCCTTTTTCTTTTTCTTTTTTTTTTGCACCTTGCCTTCAGTGTTTGTCTTGGATCATGTGAATTCTTTTTGTTTTCATCGTTTCCATCACCTTGCTCGCGCCTTTTCCTCCACTTCAAGAATGTACTCGGACTTTTCCATAATCCTTTCAATGCCCGTGCCTAGCGCGTATACTGGAGCGCAACCTGACCATGTCCATGCCTGATCGTGTGTATTCTTCAGGATTCAAAGTGTATCAAGCATGTTAGCCTTACCCAGACCCGCAACGCAACCGCGTTTGGTCTGATTGTTTGTGTATCTGTTTGTTTTGTTGCGGATGAGAAGAGTTTGTCAACATCCCTTCCTCCAAGCTTTGCAATCGACATTGTCCCTTCTCGGCTTTGACCGTGAAGCTTTTTCGGGATGAACTGGAAGAAAAATGGGATTCAATTAAAAAGGCAAAAGGAGGGTGGGGGGGGTTTTGTTTATAACTCATTCGTTTTAGTCGGAAACTGCGACAGACAACCAATTCTAGTTTGTCTCGCGTTGGAAAATGCAAAAAAAGAAAGCACCTTCGAAAGAAATAAAAGTGACCTAGTGTTACTGGAGGTACAATCGCCGATGATCCCCAGCACCAAACTTTTCACCACACTGGGGGCACTTGCGTTGCCGAGTCTGGATGCGCTGCTCCACGCAAGCTTGACAAAAAACGTGAAAGCACTTGGTCAAGACCGTATCCTGAAAATGGCGAACAAGCACGAATCAGCATCCAGCACGAAGCCGAGTAGGAAAGTACACGAAAAGGAAAAAAAGGAGAGGGGGGTGCCTGGCCTGGACCGCGGAGTGAGGCGCGTTGGGCGTGGAAACACACTTTCTCATTGTTGTTGCAAGCCGTGCATTTGAGCTTGGCCTGCAGATCCCGAATTTCGTCCTCCAAGACTGCATCAGCACCACCTCCGGCCGACATGGACCGCTCATAACGCCGTTTGTAAGAACCCAATTCTTCTTTAAGTCGCGTGCATTGGTGTTCTGCCTCCTGTGCCTGTTGGACAGAGTCCTTGAGGTTTTGCTGGAGTTGACTTTGCGCCTTGCGCACACTCTCAAGCTCATCCTGACTCATTTTCAAGTCTGCCGAGACCCGATCAACCTGTTGTTGCAGTTGACGCTCCTGCAGATCATGCATGCACAAGAGCACACGTCAAACCCAGGCCGAATAGGACAGCAAAAATGATTCCCAAGATCAAATTTTCTGACGAAGCGCAGCGGGGCAACGGACCGATGCAGACGATGTATGCCAGAGATGTCGTGCTTGCCGCTCCGCCTCAGATACGCGGGTGAGCTCCACTTCCTACACCAAAATGAATGGTGTGTTGAAACCACAGCGCCGTTCAAGTGAACACATAGTGAGGTTGGATCCAAACCATGATTGAGCTAAACCTTGTGCAAACCGTTGGCAAAAAGCGTACCAGCTTGGAAAGGCGTTCATTGGACGCCTCGATAAGCTTCTGTTTGGGCTCTAGTTGTTCCTGGAACGCGTAAAAGAAACAGTTGCACATCAGGTAAAAAGAAGGCAAGAAAAGATGTGAAAACAGGGAACAGCGACGGGCCGAGTGTTGTGGGGCAGCAACCCTCGCTGTCTTTTTTTGAAAAGAATTGCGGCAATCAACCTGACCTTGAGCGTTTTGTTGCGTTGCGATGCCTGCAAGACCTCTTGCATGCGTTGTCGCTCACTGTCCTCCTTCTCCTTGAGCTGTTGTAGTGCGCGTTCTACTCAAAGCGGCATGAGATTGCGTGAGAAGCCGGCAAACCATAATATTCGACTTGACGTCTGCTCAAGGCTGAGACGGCAGGGAAGGCAGCAGGGAAGGCAGCACGTACGATACTTGGCCTGCACAGCGTCAAAGGCTTCCCCCGTGCTCTCGACTTCCTCGAGCAGGGTTGTGAGTGCGGTTTCCTTCTCGCGCAGTGTCTAGTCGAGTGACCAAGCAGGTGAGGCGCAGTGTCTAACAGATACAACGCCAGCCGGCCATGTAAGAAGCCAAAGGTCGGTGCGTGGACGAACCTGGACTACACCATCGCTCGACGCGCTAGACGCAACTTGCGCTCGAGCAGAGCGAAGTTCCGTGTGTAGCTGCCGCGCAAGGTCGCGCAGGCCTCTGCGAAAACATAATTTTGCCGTGCGAGATACCAGTGAATGAGACGGTTATGAGCTGCCACATCGAATCGAGAGGCCTAGTGGGCATCTACAAAGCACCAGGAACAAGTGGTCATGGCAAAAACCTACGCTTCATCGAGTTTGGCGAGTTGGTCCTCCTCTGCAAATGGAAAGACCAAACACGGAACAGCGTGAGAATTTCATGCTGGCCAAGCAGAGACACGCTGGTCGGTAGCGCTACACGGCCTTAATGACATTCATCTGTCTCGGCGACAGGTGACGAACCAAAAGCGCCGCCTGTCCCCCGCAACACTTGCACGATGGCCGAGAGCGATCTGCAGGCAAGAATTGGCGTAGCCACAAAGTGAGCAGCCAGCGCTGGACTCGGGAGGAGGCTGGATCTGAAGCGACATAAAGTCAAAGACTGACTTGTGACGAGACTCTAAAGCTGTCGACAAACTCTTGAGCTGAGTCCACGCCGTATCCTCATCCAATTTTTTCAACTCAATATGCAGCTTGTTGCGCTCGGAGCGCAAACGGTCTGCTTCGTGCTTGGCCTGCTTGAGTTCCTCCTCAAGTGGCTTAACCAGTTCTGAAACTTCAGTGCGAAGCTGCGCGATCATGTTGTCCAGCTCCTCCGCCTGACTGACAGATCGACTGCGCGCGGCCTCAAATTGGCGGGTCATTTCCTGTACCACGACAGTGAAAGAAACCTGATTAGGCACGGCGCCGGATGCGTAGCCACTGCAACGCCGGTGCGTCCCATAATTGACACAATGAAGAAACCAAGCACAAGGCATTTGGTTCAAAGATAGCCTACATCCAGATTGGTACGAAGTTGATCGCGCTCCTGCCGCAGGAGTGTGATGGCGCCACTGTCTGCAACGGTGCTTGCGGAACCACTGTAGAACAAACGGCAGACGACAGAATCCACAGCAGCCGGTCAAATCAAGAAAGCGGGCAGCGCCATGAACCGCCTTTGGCAACAACGACAACCAATGGTGCGCACCTGGATGTTCGAAGCTCCATTTGAGCCTTTTGCAGCTCGTTGCGCAGATGTTCGGCCTCTTTAAGACGCTGTGGGCAAAAACATTCAACACAGTGAAGGGCCATGCCTGTCCCATACAGCACTGGGAAAGCTCATATGATGGTTGCTTACGGATGCTGCCAGTGCTTCTGCCTCCTGTAATCGCTCCGTCAACTCGCCCACCTCGCCCTGAACAGCAAATGTGAGAGGGGTGAGTGAGCAGGATTCAAAGTAAGTGAACAGGGACCGACTGACGCCAGACCGGCATGCGACAGGAATCTTACGTTCGCGGCTTGTTGACCGGATGCGGAGTGGGCATCTTTGGCGGCCTGAAACAGCAGTGAGCGATGAGGGGCAGGTAGAACAAAATGGTTGTGCTCTGCTCTGCGTGACGCAGATCTGGCAGCGCGCACCAAGGGTGTGCGGTACCTGGGCTGCCTTGATTTGGCCGTTAAGCTGGGTAATTTGTTGCTGAAGCGCTGCCATCTGATCTTTGAGTCTCAGATTCTGAGCAGCACAAAGAGGTGGGGCGCAGTTGCAATGCACGCAAGTGAGACGACCAGAGCTGTCAAGCACATGCTGATAGCGGTGGCTGACTGCTCGATGGGAAGGAAGAGGAGGAGGAGGAGGAGAAGGAGGAGGAGTAAGCAAATGGCACCTTGTTGACGTGTTTTTCGGCGAGGAACGATTGGGCAGCCAAATCCTGATTCAATTGCAAAACCTGGTAAAAACAATCAACTTGTGAGCTGTCTGTCACTGAGAGACAACGCCGTTTGACCCAAAAGAAACAGGTGCTGCCTGAAGATGGGAAAGGCTCTCAAAGACACCGCGACATGAGCGGCACTGACCTGTCTTTGCAGAACGTCAACCTGTTCGTTGTGACGGGCCGCCTCAAGGGCTTTTTGAAAGCTATCGGTAAAGGCCTCCGGTGTGTAAGAGCGGCCCCCCCCAGCCAGTGACTCGACCAAAGCTGTGGCTTCGGAAACGCGTGTCTTGAACGCGGACTCAAGGCCTGTATGACGAAGCGTGGGCGAATCGCGAGTGGATCATGGCCAGCAGGTGAGGCGGCACATGGGCAGGTTGATGCTTGGACGCCTTTGGCCCACACGTAAAGACCAGCCCTGTCCGCAACGATCTACAAAGGGCCTGTCTACCCCCAGGCTTTGTCCATACCTTGCAGATCATCGTTAAGGAGGGTTTGTAGGCCTGCAGAGGGAAGTTGGCCTGCAGCCTGGCCCAGCGCAGCCTGGCAGCCCAAGGTCAACTAGGAGCACGTCAGCACGACCATCATCATCATCATGAGCATCATCAGTGTTACCAGTGAAAACCAGGTCCAGCCCGATGAGGATGGACGAAAAAGAACCAGCAAATCAACGTCTGAACAAAGAAAAGTGAAGAATGACTCAGCGCACAAGCTACAGCACAGTGTTGAACGCACTTGATCGAGGCAGCGCAAGGCGATGTTGACGGCGTGCCGAGCGTCCTCTTGCTGCTTCTGACCAGTTCGCAGCTTGGAGGCTAGCTCATCTTGTGCCTGATGCAATGGACAAGCACGATGAGGCACATAGCACCTGCCTTTTTTTCAGAACGAGGTGCTCTCGAACCGAAGTGGCTGACATTCGAGGGGTCAAAAGCAGCTGACCTGTTTGGCCTGAAGAAGCGAGAGGCCGAGTTGATGGTTTTGGACACGCAAGGAGGCCACGTCCACATCAATTTCGCTGCCAATGTCATCCACGGTGAGCACGTAGGCAGAGAGGCCGCCACCCTGGCCCACGGCAGCGGGGGAATTGCCGGCTGATTCTGCGCGCATGCAAGTGAGCAGATGAGAGTTGAGCTGAGCACCGAGCCCGGCCTCTGCAGCAGATGAGAGCAAGGCGAGACAGACCAGTAAAGCTTACCGCGCGATCCCGATCCCCGTCGTTGAGGCGTGCCAACGGGACTAGTCCCAAGCAAGGCACCAGTGCCGGCCGCAGCATTGGCCGTACCCGCTACCGCAGCAGCACTGCGCATCAGCGCGCGCTTCGGGTCTGGAAAGGCCGCATAATCGTGCTGCAGCCGTTTGTGCGCCATCATGCGTCTGACACTTGGTAAATGCCCGGCAACAGTTGGTAATGGTCTTTGCCATGCGAACGCAGTGATGATGCTCGAATTCTTTGCAAGTCTTTTTGCTTTTTCCGTGTGGAAAGTGTGTTGGAGTATGACTGTGGGTGTTACGGATTGCATGGTGGACATGGTGGCTGCTTGAGGCTGAGGGCAAGTCGATGATCGACGAGTGAGACACAGGCAGGAGCAGTACAGAAGAATGGATTCTGATTCAAGGCAGGAAGGGACGAGCAGCAACAACGGGCCCACTAGACAAATAAAAGAGCGCAGTTGCTCGTGCCGTCCACTGTTGGTTAAAAAAAAGGACGATACAACAAACACCAACATACCAAGCCAATGAGAGAAAAGAAAAGCACGAATTGGGATGCAAAAGGATTAAGGGGACTGCAAATCAAGCCATCCACTGTCATTGACAGTGGACGCTCGCATACCCGCGAGCCCAGCCAAACGCAAATGCGCCGACGAGGACTGAGGATACGGACATGGCTTGACACCAGCACGGTATCCAGCCCTCAAGCCGTCAGCTCGAGGACCAGAAAAAGACACCAAACCCAAAGGTATAAAAAGAGAGTCGCGAGTGGAAAATCGGGTTGACAACGTGTGGCATAGCATGTTGATCGCGGACAATGGAAGGCAAAAGATGGAGGGGGGAAGAGAGATATGGAAAAGTCCACCGTGCTCCAACCAAAGGGGCTGGTGCATGGGTGCCACCACGATTAGCTTCGTACGCGGGGGCATTCGAGTCTGTTCCTCAACTTAGATGAGCTTGTTGGCAATGGGGTTGGCCTTGGCCTCGATTTCGCGGGCCTTGGTGGCATCTGCCCACTCCTTGTTAACGGTGCGTGGCGAGGGCTCAGCTACGAAGGAAAGTCAAACTCATGAGATGGCACATGGAGAAAGAGGCAGAGCAAAGAGAAAGGGCAAGGATCCTTGCACCCTTCCCCAAGAAACTGAACAGCTGAATGGAAGCTGAGTGACGTACAGGTGACCTGCAGACCCTTGAACATCAGGTAGGAGACGGCAAGACCACCGACAACACCCATCAGAACCTAGAGAGTCAAACGCCAAAGGAAACAAATGAGGCCGACGGTGTGACGAAAACCTTTTTTTTTTTTTTTCAAGTCAAAGATTACTTGATAAAAGCGCCAAAAAAAAGAGGTGACGACCATTCTCACCTTGGGCAGATCAGACTGGCCAACCTGCATCTCCTTGCGAGTCTGGCCGTAGGCAGCACGGTACACTGTCATCGTCCAAAGAAGTTAAGACGGAGTGCAGGCCAGCGCATGAGTGGGTTGCAGCAGCCCGACGAGTCAACACATTCTGTACCACAAACCATCACCGTGAAAACGAGGAAGAACTTACAAGCAACCTTCTCCTCCTTGGAGAGCTGACCCCAAGGAAGCTTTTCCTTCTCCTGATGACGACGACAAGAATCCAGAGAACACGAGACAGCGGAAAACAGTGAAGAGTGGTGAGAATCCACGACAAGGATGTACAACAAGGCTGACTATTCTAGAGATATGGAAGGAGCAGGGAACGAAGAATGGCAGTCGAAAGACAGAACAAGCTCTTGAGAATTGAGATGTACCTTGAGGACCTGGAGCTCCTCGTTGGAGACCTGGCGGATGACGGCGTCCGCACGGGTGCGCATGGAGCGCAGGGAGGTCATAACGCGACGGGCAGCCATTGTGCTAAAAACGAAAAGACAAGGGCCAACGAAAGGGGGGAAAAAAGGCACGAGGCACAAGAAAAGGACATGCACCAAGAACACGAAAAAAAAAATAAGGCAGCGGGGATGAGCGGTCGCTGCAACGAGATGCTAAGGTGCAAAGCAGATGAAGAAAAAGGCTCCCGTTACAGCCACCAGACGTTGAAACACAAAGAGCCGGCATCACACCGACTTGACGTGCGAGACAGAGGAAGAGAAGATCAATGACTCGATGGCAGCTCAAGACCCCAATCCACACCAGCACCGGTGCTGGCCAGTCGAGCGCGGGCCCAACACTTCAAACGACACTCTCGCCTCGACTATTACACGACTTCAGGCAGAGCTGAACGACCAACACTCGACCAGCGCAGTGCCTTGGCCAGTAGCACACGAGACCAGCGCCGACGGCTGATGGCAGCCAAGGGCCAAGGCCAAGGCAGAGGCAGAGAGAGATCGAGGTCGAGAGCCAGCGCCAGAGAAGAAGAGCAAGAACCACAGAGTACCAGAGATGGAGAGAGAGACAGAGGCAGAAAGACGAGCAAACCATGGACGAACAAAGCCACCCAGAGACAAAGCCAGCACGAAACAAAACCATAGAGATAAGAGTCAAAAGACAGAGCAGGCAAGAGAGGCAATGCTCCCAGGCACGCCTTTTGTTTGCCATGTCTTTTTACCTTTTGTTCAGGGAGAATAGCCAAAGAGCAAGGAAAATGCTCGGGGGGTTCGGGGTGGGTGGTGGTGATGGTGGTGGACCTTGCGTCCGAGCCATCCAGTGAATTTGTATTGTTTTGGCAAATAAAATTGGGTGGGAAGGTATTTGTAAATGTAAAGTGTGTCAAATTGACACGTGTGCCGAAAGCCAGCCGTCACACAACATGGAACGGCTGTGAGATGAGCATGCGAAAGCAGTGAGAAATATGCTAAATTCACGTTCTATTTGGCAGAGGGCTGTAGGTCTAAAAGGTTTGCTCGTTGGCATTAGAGATTAAGGTCGTCATCGTCCGAGGCAAACAGCTCAGCTTCGGCCCGCGCATCCTATGGCCATCATGCGCACCAGGATGGATCAAGAGTCAGAAATGCAGCAACACGAGCTGATAAACACACACGCACACACGAACACATCGGCACGAACACATCGACACAAATACACACACCTCGTCCTCTGTGTTGGTGGTCGGCTTCTGGGTAGCTGGTGGTGGCACCGTAGAGGCTGACTGTGACGCCGTGACCTCCGATGCCGGCTCTTGAACTCGGGATTTTTGGGCCTCTGGAACCTCAGGCTGCGTCACAACCGCAGCTGCAGAGGACTCTGCTGCCTGAGGCGTGGGCTTGGCAGCTTGAGCATCAGACACTGGAGCAGACGAGTTCCCTGCTGATTCAGGTGTCACCTTGGCCGTTTTGGCTGGAGGTGCTGCTGTGTCTGCGTCAGGATGCCAAAGCCAGCGGGTCGATCAGCGACACTGATGCTTTTCCTTTTGAATCGGTCTGAAGCGCACCTGCCACGTACCAGCTTTGGCAGAATGGGCGGTGGGGGCCACTGTGGTGTTGGCCATGGCCTTTTTATCCAGAGCTGACTGGAGGATGAACGAGATGGCGGGACTGGTGGTCAGCTCCAGAGGCGAAGTGCCACGCCACTGCAGGGTCGGGTCGGCTCCATGCTTCAAAAGGAGGGCGGCCAGGTCTGGTTTATTGTGTTTGCATGCATAGTGCAGGGCTGGTGTGCATTTATTCGTCCACACAACAAGTCCAAGGTCCGACTGAAGTGAGCGAGGGCGAGAAACTGGATGCCGAGGACAGGGGTGCATGTCAAAGCAGACCTGTCCAATGTGTATCGGCCGTGTGTGCGCGGGTGTCTATATTCCATGGGAATCGGGCATCACAAGGCGTCCAGCTGATGAGCAAGAATGTGAGGGCGTGACAAGGTTAGGGCCAACTTGCGAAACAAGGTACCTGGATGAACGCCGGCATCCAGCAAATAGGAGACGGTGTCCAGGTTGCTGAGATAGGCAGCAGCCTTGATGGCAGTCTAATCACACACACCCAAGATATACGCACGCGCGCACGCACGGATGAGCAGGCCACCACTGGCCCGACATGTAGCAGAGGCAGGTCCTGTTGCTGGCAAGCACTGAGCTGCATGGTGCGCTTCAAACTGAGCGCGAGCGGGGTGTGGGGCAGCTTACATTCTACCAGGAGACATGGGACACGTTGTGAGACAAATTCGTATGCGTGCGCCCATGAGGGTAGCAGCGCGCGTACGGGACATCGGTGGGACATACATAGTGACCCAGTTCGAGCTGGAAGACGCTGGGGTTGGCGTCGTGCAGCTCCTTCAGGCGTCCAATGTCGGATTGCTCGAGTGCGCTCCACAACCTGGATTCACAACACCGTGCACCGACTTGAGCCAGAGGGCGTCGTGTGGAGGAAACACCCCACCCTTGAAAAAAAAAAAACAGCAACTTCTCCCACAATTCTGCAGTAACCTACGTGCGAGCCTGGTCCCTGAGTTGATCGTCGTTTGCCAGCATGGCGATGGTGCCAGCGTATCATGTGAAAAAAACTCTTCGTGTGTGTGTGTGTGTGTGTGTGTGTGTGTGTGTGTGTGTGTGTGTGTGTGTGTGTGTGTGTGTGTGTGTGTGTGTGTGTGTGTGTGTGTGTGTGTGTGTGTGTGTGTGTGTGTGTGTGTGTGTGTGTGTGTGTGTGTGAAGAAAGCACGCAGGTGAGAAAAAAAAAGATGATATGCCGGGCGAGAATCGAATTCGCTAATGGAGGACGTTCAAGTGAACGTTTCCAGTCCTCGCGCCTCAACTTTGGAAGAGTTACATGCTACCATTACACCACCGGCACTGAGACGAGCTGTTTCTAGCTGACAGTATTCGGAAGTAATTTTGTATATAAAACATTAAAAAAGCAGACATTTTCGGTGTGTTGTTGTCATCATTATTCTCTCTGACAATTCGTCTCTCTCTCCCTCTCACTCCTCTCTCTCTTTTCCCTCATTCTCGCCTCTCTTCTCCCTCTGCTCTACCTTCTCTCTCTTTGTTGTGGGTCTCTGACTCAACTGTCCGTCGTGTCGCGGGCTGCAAGAATGGAATCTTGGTGATGGCGCCAGAGTGTAAACCCACAACAACTGACCAAATGATTCTGGTAGTGATCTGGACAATGCATCGGTGCCAAAACCCAACACTCGAGTATGAGCCGTTTTTCCGGTCTGAGGGGTGACCTCTTTTCACTCATTCGTTCACGTCAGCGCTGTCGTCAAACACTGCGCTCCTCCCCTCACCTTTACCTTCCTTGCACATATTTGAGCTTCATCCCAACCTCGATCTTCCCCGGAGGCCCAACGCACGCCATGCCAGACGCCCCCACACCCGAATCATCAAAGGCGATCTTGTCCCGCGCCCATGAACCTTGCTCTAACTTTATCTCTGCGTTGTTACTTCATCCCAACCTCAATCCTTCCCCCGGACGCCCGACGCACGCCATGCCAAGGTGATCGCTCTACCCAACCCCGAACATCTGGCGCACATTGGTATCACGTGCGCTGGGCCATCAAAACTCCCTTTTGTACTTTCTTGTTTTGTGTGTGTGTGTTACACAAATGCGGCGCACCCAACCATTGATCAACGAAACCAAACCAATAAGGCACATTCGCGACCAAGTTCAATCTAATCCAAACCGTGACACATTCATCAGGCCAGACACAGTCGTGTCATAAGTGCTCCTCCTCAGTGGGCAAGGCACAACAAATCCAAAGAATAGAAAAAAAAATTACTGATGTTCTGCCTCATTGCTCCTTCTTTGACGACAGCAAAGACGACTTGATCTCAGTGCCACGTGAGTCATTTCATCAACCGCCAACTTCGCGACTTCGCTACCACCTACAATCGTTGCGAAAATGCAGCATATGCCCAACCGCACCCATACACTACACAGGCCAGCCCACACGTGCCATCTCAAATCCCATCCAACCAAACCTTCAGCCACAACATCCGTCCGCCCCAATGTCCCCGTCCACCACGGCAAAAGGGACTCCAGGCCCAGCCATCGCCCGAATCGTCCGGCGGTGCGCGCACTGACACCCTGCCCCTGCCGACCTGACGGGCGGGTGAGTGACGTCCTACATGAGTGAGCCACGGAGGTTTGGCTGTATCGGTAGCGCGGCGAGAGGAGCTCCCCTCTCTCTGATCACCACCATCAGAAAAAAAATAGATTGTACCACAGGTTCTCTCCTCTCTCTCTCTCTCTCTCTCTCTCTCTCTCTCTCTCTCTCTCTCTCTCTCTCTCTCTCTCTCTCTCTCTCTCTCTCTCTGTGTGCCGGACCAGACCCGCCAACACGCCACACCACACCTGACGTTTTCGCGACCCCCGTGGTAACAACACACCAGAGCACAACCCTCCAACAATCATCACACATGCACCCGAGCCGAGCTCCCCCCTCCCCTCCGCGACCCAAGACCACCAGCCCCGCACGTCATTGAATTCATCCGCCGCTCGGCATTTTTTTCCTTCTCCACACCTGGGCCACCACCCGGCACAGTCCTCTTCTCTCTCTCCCCCAACCTCTTTCCCCCGCCTTTTCGGTAAAGTTTTGTTGATTGACCACCCGGCCATCCCCCAACTACTTCCAACCCCTTTGCCTGACCCCGCACTGCCAAAGTCCTGCCTGCTTCTTGTGACTCCGCTTTGTGACCCCGATCAGCAGAGTGACGGGTGGCACTTTTCACATACACACGCCCCGGCTGACTTCATCTACATTCATACATACTTCCTGCCCGTCAACTCACTCTACCCTCTCTAACCTTCCTCTTTTCCTCACAGAGGTTCAAGACCGCGTTGCCTTTCCGCCTGCGGCTTCTGCAATGATGGAAGCGCCACTCTTGCGCGCGAGGGTGGTTGCCCTTGTCGTGGCAGTCCTTATGGCCTCCTCGACCATGACCGTCGTCTCCGCCCTGCCCTCTCTCGATAAGACCGTGTACCACATTGGTGGCCAAAGTATCGTCGGAAGTAAGCTCTCTGCCTCCTGACCCATTCCTGTTCAATGGCAGCCGATGCCCCCAGTCTCACACGTGAATCGCTGCTTTAGACCCCTGGGGCACTGAATTTGATGCGCTTGCCAAGTATCTCAACGACACCGTCGGGCCCCAATTTGACCCCCCCGTCAGCTTTACATACGACACTTTCTACACGATGGATACCCTTGTTCAGGCTGCCGAGCGAGGCCAGAGTACGCAGAACCTGCATCAGCTCTCCGTTGTCGACCCAAGCCTCGCCACACAACCTCTCCGCTGGCTCGATACACCAGCGGCACGTGAACCACTTCCTTTTTCTTTGCGCCCTGACTCACCATGAACGGTTGTTTTTTTTCCAGTCGATCTCGCCTATGCCGACTCGATCGGCATGGCGTGCCTTGAACTCAACACCAACGCCGAGGCCCTGGCCAGTATTGTGCCAGTAATCTTTGGTACTTCACCTTTCTCCCCTCTCTCTTTTGCGCCAATGCGCCAGACCCGACAGACCAACACTTGGCTTGTAGCCCTTCAATCAAGCTGCGTGGCACCCACGCCTCTTCACGCATGACGACCTATTCCGCGTTTGCCCCATCTCAGGTGTCGATACTTACGGCCAAGCTTCTGCCATCCTCACCATGGCCGACCGCGACGACATCACATCTGCCCACGACGTTAAAGGCAAATACATCTCCCTCGCCACGTTACCCCAGGCTAGTGGCATCTTCTACAGCCTCTCTCTTTTTCGCCTCTTGAAGATTGACATTATCACTTCTGTCAAAAATGTAAGTATCCGAGCCACGTGCCTGAGCCCCAAGTGGTTGGCCTTGTACAGCCGCTCAAACTCGTGTACATTCATCTCCCATAGCTCATGGTCACACCAAGCCTCATTGGACCCCTGTTGGACGTCGTCAACGGTGTTGCTGACGTGGCCATCGTCGAAACCGGCTGGCTGGAATTCCTCGAGCTCATCGGCACGATTCCGCGCGGTGCCCTGAAGGTTTGCAGCATCGTATCCTCTTTGTTGGTTGAGCTGGGCAATGCTGAAGCTTTCCTTCCTTGAACCTGACCCTCCTGAACACCGCTTGTTGACCACCCCAACCCTAGGTCATCGAGGTGAACTTTACCCAAGATGCCATGTTCACCACCCCCTACGTGCGCTCAACCCCAGTAAGAAGTCTTGACAGACACCCCTTTGAAGTGCCCTTGGAAAACAAAATTGTTGATACCATGTCTCACCCTTTTTTTAAAAAAAACGCAGTTGTATCCAACCTCTGCCTTTGCGAGCTTGCCCCACGTCGATCCTCGAGTAGGCTTGCCACTTCGTTTACCTCTTTTGACTCAGTCGAGTGTCTCCAAGCGCCTCTTGGTTGCTTCTTATATGCCCACCTCATCTGAACTGGACAATTTGCGTTGCACAGCTGCGTAGTGCCATTGCAGATGCACTCTTGGCCCTCGATGAGAACAGCACCGCCGCACAAGCCGGCGGCTTCAAAAAGTTTATTCTGCCCCGCTCCTACCACATGGCCCGCGGAGCTTTGGATGCCTTGGGTCGAATCGAAAACGACGTTGACCACCTCATTTGTCGTCGCGCAGAGGAAGACGGCTCATCAGATCTCTACAAGGTATGCCTTTTTTTTTTTTTTTTTTTTTTTTAATGGTTGTTTTCCTTCCATGTCACGCACTTCATTCCTCGCTCCTGCAAGTTGGGCAAGAACACATTGGAAACAAGAGCGATGCCTGGTGTCCCCTCATTCTTTGCTTGATTCTTTAGTTGTTTCCGTGTCCTGAAGGCAGCTATTACTACCCCCCAGGGGTCCGCGAGTATCGTTGTGACGTTCTGAACCGCACATGTCCCGACGGCTATACTTGTCTGTGCGAGCCGTGCCACCAGGGCCAGTATACCGAAGTGATCGTGACTGGTATGACAACCACCGCTGAGTTTGCAGACACGCTTGTTCTGACCCGAGAACAACAGCAGATCTTCACCAACCTCGTGGTGACTGAACGCTGCCATCGCGTCAACTCGTGCTACACGGCCCAGCAGAAGGAACGCATCGGCTTGCTGATCATCGACAATATTTACTTCGACGACCCGGGCGCCAACTACCAAGTCCAGATCCGAAACAACGCAGATGATATCGAGACGATCGAGCTAGGCAACATCACCTCGCTGGCCAAGATGCACATGAATTTTAGTCGCGTTTACACGGGCACTTACACTGTCAGTGTCCTCCGCAACAACGAGCACGTTCCTAGTTCTCCGTTCTTTGTGGAAGTAGTGCCCCTGGTTTGCCCCCATGACAACGAAGATCCTGATGAAATGGGCGAGTGCCATTGTTCCTCTGGCTATGTGAAGTACAACAACAATTGCGTGGCTGAGTCGACTATCATTGTCACTATTGTCGTACCCATCGTCGTGATTCTGCTTGCCTTGGCAGCCCTGTGTTTTTACCTCCAACGTCGTAAAATGGATCACATGTGGCACCTCAGCGCCAAATTTGTGAGGCTTGATGAAACTGCCGAACCCCTTGGTGAAGGTACGCTTCAGTCGAGGTCGTTGTCTCTGGCTCGCACAACACACCTCTGAACAGCCCTCATCTTGTTTGTGTTTTGTTTTTGTTTTTGTTTTGTGTCTTCTTCTTCTTCCTCCCTTCATCTTCTTCTTCTTCTTCTTCCTCCCTTCATCTTTGTCTTATATCCCTAGGTGGTCAAGGCTTGGTGCGCAAGGGCTACTTCCACTCCACGCCTGTTGCCATCAAAACAATCAGCATGCGCTGTACCAACGCCAGCCGAGACAAGACTTTGGAGCTCTCCAACAACGGTCAATTACAAATGAGTCGTACCGGGCAAATGTCTCGCAGCAAGCGCAGCAAGACCACCGTCAGTCACTCGGACTTTGTGGCCGAGATGCGCACCGTGGTGCGCTTGCGTCACCCCTGCATTGTCACCGTGCTCGGCGCTGTCATGGAGGGTTCTGAGCCCATGCTTGTCATGGAGTTGGCTGAGAATGCTCTCTACGACATGTTATTGGACCGCTCCATTGACCTCGACGAAGACCTCAAGCTCGCGTGGATGAAGGATGTGGCTGATGGCATGTCTTTCCTCCATTCACTCCAGCCCGAAATTGTGCACGGTGATCTCAAGCCTCAGAACGTGCTTATCGACTCCAACCTGCGGGCCAAGATTACTGACTTTGGTATCAGTCACTTGCGATTCAACAAAATGGTGGGCACTGTCAACTACATGGCGCCCGAGCTTCTCAACAACGGCTACATTAGCAGCAAGGCGGATGTCTGTGCGTACTCTTGCCTCAAGCATTCTCTTTCTTTTGCTATATTTAGTTTTGCTTGCTGCAGCGCATGTCTCACACGCACGTCGTTGCCTCGCCTTCCCAAATCTGCGAGCAGATGCATACGGTATCATGGCATCCTTTGTCATGTCGCGCCGCGTGCCCTACAAGCGTTTTGCCCCGGAAGAAGTGATTGAGCGCGTGAAAAACTTGGCCCTCGACCCCCCCTTTCGACCCCGCATCAAAAAGGCCTACATGCCTGATTACTTGTGGAACCTCTACGAGCTGTGTATTCAGAACGACCCAGACAAACGACCCACCTTTGCCAGGATCATGGAGGTGATGAATGGGGCTGGCATTGCCAGCATTGGCGAATCGCTGTTCAAAAAGGCCCAGGATCGCAAGCTGCAAAAGCGTGTCCTGAACGATTGTTTTCCGCCTCACATCGCGGAAATGCTCAAACGCGGTGAGAAGGTGAAGCCAGAATCCCACGAAGGTGTCACCCTCTTTTTCAGTGACATTGTGGGTTTCACCTCCATCAGCGCTTCCATCACCCCACAACAAGTTTCAGACATGCTTGACCGGCTTTGTAAGTCATCGGTTTGGATCATGCTTCAGTGCTTGACTGGCTACGGCACTTCTCATCCTGTTTGGCGCGCCCTGCCTCCCTCCCCCACCTAAAAGACACCGCGTTTGATAATCTGGTGGACCAGTTTGATATCTTCAAGGTGGAGACTATCGGTGACGCCTATTTTTGTGCTGCTAATCTGGTGGAGGAGCAGCCGGATCATGCTATCCGCATGGGCCAATTTGCCATTGCCGCCATCAAAGCCGCTAACCAAGTCGCCATCCTGCCCTCCAATCCCGCACTCGGTTTTGTGAACATTCGCGTCGGTCAGTTGTCGCTATCCCTCGAAACTCTTCTTCGATTTCCGCACCTTGGTGACTTTTCTCACCCCTCCGTTTCTTTTGTCTCAATGACAGGATTGCACACGGGCAGCGTCGTGACCAATGTCGTTGGTGTTCGCAACCAGCGGTATTGTCTCTTTGGTGACACGTACGTTTGGCGAGATGACAATTTGCAGACTGCAGACCCCCCCCTGATGACTCGAGCCTCAAACAACTCTCACTCAACACCGCCCTTTGGTTCTCTCTTTGCAGCGTGAACACCGCTAGCCGCATGGAATCGAACAGTATCAAGAACCGCATTCACCTCTCTCCTTCTGCAGCCGATGCCGTGCGCGAACAGTGCCCCGAATTCGAGTCACTTCTGCATACGGGTTTGGAATCACGTGGCGAGATCGATGTGAAGGGCAAGGGCCGCATGGAAACCTTTTGGCTCAACCCGGTTGAGGATAAGCCAGTTTATGAACTCGAGGGCTCGCAGAACTACCGTCGGAGCCGTTTCTCTGGTCACTCGATCACCCCTCGTGGCAGTCATGCTGATTTGGACAATGCCATGGGTCGCCGCGAAAGTGCCCTTTCTGGACACTCTTACATGTCAGCTCACGGCATGCGCCCCGGGGTTAAGAGCTCACCTGAACCGGTTAAGCAGCTCTTGGGTGGAGCTGTGCTTATGCCCGACTCGGCTGGTACGGTGATTGACGTGGATAACTCGTCGACCGGTCAGAAAGGCCGCTCCTCGCTAGGCAGTTGCGTCATCACGGTTGATCCGGAGATGGACGCGCAAGAAGAACATGCTCTGTACACGCCTTCTGGCCCCCGCTCTTCGTTCGCCGTTGCCATGACCAGTGCGAACCAGGTCGTGCCCTCCAAGATGCTCATGGGCATCATTCCCGAGGTATCCTACGACAAAGAGTCTGGGCTGGAAAGCCCCTCCAATGCCAAGCTTCGGCTTCCCGATGCCAACCTTCAAGTGTCAGCTGTTTGAGTTTGAAAGCCGGTTTGCCATGTTGCTTGCATGTGGCGATGTTGGGAATTTCTTTATTTTCGAGTAATTTTCGAGTAATTTTCTTTTGATTTTGAACTTTTTTGTGTGTGTGTGTGTGTGTGTGTGCATTGTGTTTTGCTTCGTTGGCCTTGACCTTCGACTGACAGGAACTTGGATGTGAAAGAAAGCCCTGTGCGGGTTGCACCGCAATCTTTTTGATGATACCGCTATAATTGACCCGTGACTGTTGACTTCTTTTGACTGCCACTTCAAATAAAATAAAGATTTTCACGAGGCCGCTTCAAAACATGAGATGCAAGTCGGTCGAGTTCTTTTCGTAATGGGTCACCAGCCACTGCTGCGCGATTTAATTCGACCACTTTTTGAGGTCCTCGATGGTTGTTCAAACAGACGAGCAGAGATGCAACGGCCGAGGAGCATGTGTTGTTTAGACATCTCATGCTAACACAGTTTCAATAGCACCATACTCGAACATCGGTAGGAATTGTCGAGAACACTGGCAAGCACGACGGCACGATGAGCAGGAATGACTACACGACACCTGCCTCGGCCATCAAACAGCAGCCGGGTCTGCATCGTGTTTGAACGACCCAGTCTGGAGGCAATCGGCGAAAAAGAAAAGGATCATCATAGAAATTGTGGAAGCCCTCGATTGGCAGCGATATGCGCGCAATGTAGTGGCACTCGTGTAACATCTTCAACACGGGTAAAAAACAACAGCTAACAGGTGCTCACGTCGGACGAATTGCTAACCATGACGACAGCACTTAGCACCGACACGTAGTCGGGTTGCCCACCTCCAACATATACCTCAAATTGGCCTTGCTCAACGAGTAGGGTTGGATTGAAGAAGTGCGTGCCCTCAGGCACAATTGAATGGTATTTGGGCTCGAGCACCAGTGTAACCAAGGCCGATGCACCTGCCTACGAAATTACATGTAGCCGTGTGATTAGGTTGCAGTTCATGCCAACGCCATTCATGACCCAGTGCGGCATCACCGCCCTGGCCTTACTGCGAGCTAAAAAAAGTGGATCGGCACATACCTCGAGCGAGACGCGCGCAAAGTCACCCAAACGAACTCGTGGCACAGGCACGCTTGCGTCAGGCTGTTTGACGTACAGTTGCACAATCTAGACGGGACATTGCGAGTATTGAGGCACCATACGCGCTTCCACCAAGCAGATACGCAGCGCCCCCTCTCTCCAGCCGTAGAGGGGCCCAGGGTCAGGCCCTCACCTCATCCCCGGCCATAGCACCCGTGTTTGTCACGGTAACGGAGACGCTCAGGCGATCGCAAGGACCAATTGTGGTTGCGTTGAGTGTTAATGCTGTGTAGTTGAACGTGGTGTACGACAGTCCAAAACCAAATGGCACGGTAACCTAAGAGGAGCCCAAGAGCACCAGCCATTGTTAAAGCAAACAGGGCTCGAACCAAGCGCTGCTTGCAGTAGTAGTAACTGTGGCGCTATACCCAATGCGCAAAAGAGCTACACACCTTGGTACCCTCGTAGTAGCGGTAAGTGACGCCCGATTTGCTGCGCAGCCCCATGTCACCAAACACGGGCAGCTCATCCGAAGACGAATACTGGGTTTGCGGTGACTTGCCAGACGGGCTTGTTGCACCAAAAAGAACATCAGCAAAACCCAACCCACCCTAAGAGCATCGGAAGCATCGATAATCAGAGTAAAAGAAAAGACATGCCAGCGGATCGTTGCCCGGACCAGAGGCCAGCAATATTGCGCGGCGCGAGAAACCAACCTGGTCACCAGGATACCATAAATCAAGCACCGCATCGCACTCGGACATGATCTGAGTGAGATCCATTCCGCCCCCGCGCACGAGCACGCATACAAGGCGTTCTGTGACGTTGGACAACGTCGTCAAAAGAGCGCCTTGCTGCCCAGGCAATGCAAGCGACAAGCGGTCCCAACCCTGCTGGCACAGATCCAGCCACAGCAAAAGCCGCGGGCAAAGTAGCAACGCGTCAGGGTATCATCAGGCGACACCGACGCTGCGATGCAAGGTATATTTTCACCTCAGTTTCGCACTGATCACTCCCGGAACAGCCGGTCTCAAGACCAAGGACGAGGATAGTAGTGCTGGCACGTTGGGCTTGTGTCACAGCATCGGAAAAAAAGGCTGTGCTGTCACAGCCAATGTTGTTGCAACCGCGCGCGGTAGCCACGGGTGATACTGGGGCCGGCCCACATTGCCTGTGTATAACACACGTAGCGTCGAAACACAAAACAGTGAGTGAAAGAAACGCATTCACATTCCGTGGAGAGTCGAGCTCAGCACACAAACCCAATGGTGCGGTTCTGGTCAGGGGCCGGCATTGCTGCAGATCCATACAGGTGACAGGTCCCGGCGAGCATGCTACTGGGTTCTAACGAGCAAAGCAAAGCAAAATCGAATCGCACGAGCAAGAAGAAGTCAAAGTCAACTCGTACGCACCAGTCACACTCAAGCGAGACAGCATGAACAGGATAGAGCCGGGAAGAACCGGGAATAGGGCACACTGAACGTACTATCTTCGTAACTAAAGAAGGCACACGCTTCGGTGGTAAAGCAAAGACGACAGCAATCGGCCGGCGAGGAGGCACCCCAGCCCGGCAATTCGTCGTTGACAAAGCCACCCTAGCCATTGCAAAACAGAGTACATGGTGATTGGCTTATGCCATCATCGGAAGATAGGCTCAGCCTTCGGTGAACAGCAAGTTCGCCTACCGTTGTAAAAGTTGTGCAGTTGCCCAGGCGCTGGGCCTGAGGTGCCAGAACAGTGCGCACTCCCTAGGAGGTGTTTCCACGAGACCAAAAAAAAAAGCCCTTGTCAGCAGCGAACAAGCATCATTGCTTGCTGACGGCACAAAAACAAGCGCGACTAGCCATAACAGCATACCTCAGCCAGGCTCACACTTCCATGATCCGGGGGTTGTGCATCTAGAGTAGAGCACCATTCGAGATCAACCTCAATGTGGGCACATATAATGCATAACGTTCTCCGCCAAGCTGATGACAAGTTGAAAGGCGCGGCCAAGCTCATGCCAACGCACAGTTGCCCAAGATGTTGAGTCCAGAGCCCGCTCCAATATCCACCAAGAGAAGTGAGCCATCGCCCGTGTAGTCCTGCCAACGCCCGCGAAAGAAAGGAACGCATCAGCCAAAAGGTGACTGCCACCGTTCGAGATGTGCGTGTCGTTCTTGAGAAGAACGCAACGCAGGAAAGGCTACTCAATGGAAATAGCACTCGCTGACCTTTGCCTGGAGTGGCAGAAGATCATTCTGGTTCTTGTACATGCAGATGCTTTTACGAGCCGCCTCTCGGTTCAGCGCTAGATTAGCCGGGGATCCCACCTCGGAAAATGGAATCTGCAAAGTGTGAATCAGAAGAGCACAATCGACAACACACTAGCAAGAGAAGAAGCCCAACGACTCGTACGCTGTTGTAAGGATTCAAATGTGGGGGGTCCAACATGCCCAGGTTGATGCGCGCGCGGAAAAGGCGCCGGAAAGAGGCTGCAACAGTGGCTGGCGATGTCAGGCCCTCCGCCACGGCCTCAGGAAGCAGGGCGGCTACCTCTGTGCCACCACCTTCTTGATCCAGACCTGATCGATGTTCCATGCCACAGGTTAGTCTGCTCCCCAAAGTAGCCGAAGCAAAGGTTTGTGACAGAGAAGATGGCTTGTTTGACCAAGGGCAGCAATAGTCGCGCCTACCAGCATTGATGCCCTCTGCCGCTGCCGCCAATCGGCTGTCCACAAAGTGATGCGTTTCATAGAGATTGTTCCTACGAGCGCGTTGCGTCATGTCTAGGCCAATTGCAAGAAACTTGATCTGCGACAACATCATCGGCTTACCAGGCATCGTAATCGCTAACCACAAAACCTATACAACATGATCCGCGGTCAGGCGTGGGATGAGTAGAACAAAGTAATCGGAAGCAAAAAAAAAAAAAAAAAGGCACAAAGCAAAATGAAGGAAAGCAGATCGGAATGGGGAAGGGTTCTGCTTTTCATCTTCATTGATACTTTCCCAAGCGCGCGCGCACACGCACCTGTCCAATTCCAACGGGAGCGTAGGATGCCGTTGAGGAGGCCCGGATCACCGCACGTGGGATAGCCTGCGGTGGTGTATCCCAAGACATCGTGACCAACGTAGATTGTCAGGCAAAATCGATGCATAGCTTTTGGGCATTGGACTCGAGGTCGTGGCCTCACCGTTCAATGCGTTGTAGGAGCACATGACGTGCATGGCCTTAGCTTCGTTGATACAGGCGTCAAAGGCTGGCATGTAATGCTCCCAGAAATCACGAGTATTCACCTTTTGAAGCATTGTTGACGGACACAGATGCACCAACCATGACATAATCGAGGACATTGAGGCGATCGTGCACGACTCGTCTTATCTCAATGGCCATCAGCAGCAATGTCACGGAAGTTGGGGGCAAACGTACCGCCGCGTCAAAGACATTTCGTTCTTGTGGATGGTTCTCAAGATCGTAGGCTGCCAATTAAGGTTGGAAACGCGTGAGCCGCACAACATGTTGACAAGGGGTCAGTAAGGTGGCGATGACCCAGACTTACCAACATAATGCTTGCAACAGGCACCCGTGAGCATGTAACGCTATTCACCAGAGAAGGTAGATGTCTCGGTAAGCTGCCACAGTGAGGAGGCACAGCCAGGCTGCACAGGCAATGCTTTTTGAGCACAAGACGCCTCACCTCGTGCATCAGGGTCCCGTTGGCATACATGCCTTGTGCACCGGTGACAAAGCCAACCGTCAACACCGACGTCAGGCGCGGATCCTCACTGTGTGTCACTTCCAAAGATGAGGGTGGGAAGAGGTTCCTCAAGTGGGGGCAGAGGGAGTGGGGCTTCTTCGATTTGGTACTATCAAGAACGGGTGTACGATGCAACCTACCTATAAACCTCTTGAGCCCGACCCCAACGGGGGTCACGCACTAGATTTAGGTTTGGGGCACTGTCCAGAGAGGAATTGAGGGGGGTTGGAACAGGAGTGTGAGCGGCGAGGGCAGCACAAGCAAGAGTAAGGCACGAGTGTAGTACGGCAAGGAATAAAGACAAAGGAAGCACAAATCGAGATTGAGGGCCAAGGACTGACTAGAGGGTGATGCCGTAGCCATTGGCCGATGCACCACGGTTTCCACTGTGCGTGTAGCTAAGGGGGCATGAGCGAGTGACAATTACAAACACATCAATCAAGGTTGCTTGAAAGAGCAAGGTATTGGTTGTCGATGGGTGGGACTGACCCGTTGTGCCCTCCTCGAGCTTCCGATCCCACGGCGTTTCCTACCTGCTCGATCAGGTGTGGGCAGGCAATCAACGGTGACAACTGCTGCCAAAAAGAAGCGAGAACGGCTTGAAACGAACACACTTACGCGCCAGGCCAGGTCACGATCCCATGAAGCTCCCAGGCCCGGACCATCGGGAAAGATGGTTGCATGCTCTTGGCGCACGCCGTGTTCGTCATCGTTCAGCCATTGGTCTGATGGCACGTTTGCAGAAGTCGCAATGCCATGAAGAATGAAAAATACAGCAGCGGGAGCCCAAGATGGGAGATGTTTGAGTTTGGCCGAGAGCGAGCGGCCAACGTACAAGGGGGCACGCCGAGCAGGGGAAGGCCCGGCGCTGTGTTCACCAGCTGTGCCGCCTGCTCCTCCAGAGTAGTATGGGCCACGAGGTAGTCAATGCTGGGAACGGGGGACGTCAGACGAAGGTCAGTTTGTAAAGTACATCGTCAAGTTCGAATGATTGCATTCATGTACGGTTGTACCGTTGCTCAGTGGTGAGATTCCAATCAAGGTGCGTGCCGGTGAGTCCCGGGCAGCGCACATAGTCGTCAGCCGATCGCACGCAAACGGTCTAGGCCCAGACGGTTGCAGCCGATGAGCAAAAGACGCGCAAAATAAGTGGGTTGGAAGGAGCATGTGCTTGCAGAGAAGAAGGACCTTGTTATCGGAATCGCGGAGCGGGCAGACGTATTCTCCAGTGCGGCAAACGCCACAGTCGGTCAGGGTGCACTCGCCCGAGGGACAGAGCGCATATTCGCCTGTCAGTGGCCCACGGCCGCAAGAGGTGAGTGGGGCACGATCAGACGCCAAGATCACAGTCCAAGGCGCCGCCACGTACCAAAGCATGCGTTGGTGTTGTTCGGGATCAACCCAATCGTTCCCGTTCCCCCACTCTCCCCCAAGACCGCCTGCCCCAAGCCCAACACCCCCAGAATCAGCCCAGCCAGCCCAAGCCAGAGTCCCGGCTGCCCTTTGCTGGTCATCATGTGTGTGTGTGTGTGTGTGTGTGTGTGTGTGTGTGTGTGTGTGTGTGTGTGTGTGTGTGTGTAAGTGTGTGTGTGTGTGTGTGTGTGTGTGTGTGTGTGTGTGTGTGTGTGTGTGTGTGTGTGTGTGTGTGTGTGTGTGTGTGTGTGTGTGTGTGTTGCTTGTGACGTTTTGCTGACTTTTCTGGAGTCGTCACTCAAAATTGTCAGACGAATGTTTTCAGTTGTCTCTCTCTCTTGTTTGTGTTCTCGCTCTCTCTCTCTCTGTTCTCTCTCTCTCTCTCTCTGTCTCTCTGTTCTCTCTCTCTCTGTCTCTCTGTTCTCTCTCTCTCTCTTGCCAGTGCCGTGCTGCCTCTCGCACTCAACTTGCCCGCCCGCCCTCGCCCACCCCCCTGGTATACCGATCAAGACGTGGCGTTTGACTGGCTGAGAGTGTGGAAACTCACCTTTTGCAATGGCGGGGCTCAAGCGGATTACAGAGCTGCCCAACGAGCTCACCAATGAGCTGGATACTGTCGGTATGTCTGCCCCAGCATCACTACGGATCGGTCACCGTCGCCTCACACATGACCGCCGACGTGTGTGATCAACTAGGTCCCTTGGGGATTGCCCGACTGCTGCGCCAAACGGATGGCCAACTCTTTGCTGGCTGGCGCGAGCACGCTGGCATCTTCGATCTCGACATTCAAACCCGTACAGCCTCGTGCACGGCCCCCCTCCCATCTCGGAGCCCAAGCTTGGGCGCACTCGAATGCACCCTGCTCCGCTCATCATCTGTGATTCTTCCTAGGTCTACAAGCCCTGAGCGAGATCGCGGAGGAAAAATTGCTTGGAATCATTCTCAAGGGCGAGCCCCACCGCTTCGTCTTTACAGGCTGTGGCACGAGCGGTCGCATTGCCTGGCTCTGTGCGCGTGCCTTCAACCGGTTGGTCCAATCAGTGGACCTTCCCGCTTTCGTTTCCTTCTCTCTTTCTCCCTCAACTTGTTATAAGATGGGTCATCATGGAAATGCTTCCTTCTTTCTGGGAGGAGTCCTGCGTGGCAAACCTCATCCATTCGTCCTTGGTCTTCCCACTAGAATCCTGCGTGCCCACCATCCCGATGTAGGGGTGTGCTTTCAGTATTGCATCTCCGGTTCGTCTACTCAGAGCCACACTTGAGTAATACTCTTCCAGCGGCCCTCTGACGTGATACACCTGTCGCTCACTGCGGTCCTATGCAACGTACTTCTCTTCACCGTGACTCCTGGGCAGGGGGTGACGAGTCGCTGGTCATTAGCAACGAACTGCCTGAAGATGACCCTCACGCGGTATGCTCGCTGCTTTCTGCCTGCCTGCCTAGCCCTTGCTCTACCTCTCGAGCTTCAATCAATGTCTCGCAGGGCTCACTGGCATTTTTCTCTGGTTGTAGGGTACTGCCGATGTGAAACGCGCTACCAAAGATGCAGCTGATGTAATGGTAAATATACTAACCGCTCCAACCATCGATATGGTCAATGGGGGACGTGTACCCATGTGTACCGCTCTCTCAACTCCACACAATTGCCGTCACCGCCTATATCACAGCTCTTTGGTATCACGTGTGGCCTCTCCGCCCCCTACGTTGCTGGCCAGATTGCGCTCGGCATGGAAAATGTTTGTCATACCCCATGACGCCCCGCGCTCCACTTTTTTACTGCCATCCTCTGCACTGGCCCACCACATCCGCCCCTCTTCCTTGACCTATCCTTGTCCATGTGCGCAATATCCGCCATTAGTCCAATTTTACCACTTGCCTGATTGGCTTCAACCCCGTGGACCGTGCCCGCGATGCTCCCGTCGAAAATTGGGACCGTACTTGCCACCAGGTTGGTTGCTGTCCACAACACGCGCTGGTCAAGATGCGAAAAGCGTGCTCGCGTCCTTGAGCGAATGTTGTCCTCGTCATGGCGATCCCTTCGCGCTGTTCAGGTCTTCAATGAATTAGAGCGGCGATCGCTTGAAGATGATGACGGTCTCAGCTGGGTTCTCAATCCAATCGTCGGACCTGAGCCCATCACGGGTAGGTGCATCTGCGCTGCCGTACCTTTCCTTGCCGTTATAGTTCCCGGATCCTGTCACACCTAAAAGCCACTCACCGCGGTCTACATGCAAATGATCCTCGTAGGCTCCAGTCGCATGAAAGGTGGCAGCATGACCCACATCCTACTCAACGCCATCTTTTTGCCTGCGCTGCATAACATCATGGCCGACGTAATTCCAGCCCCAAAGTTCGTAGCCTGAACCACCTGCACATGCTGGTCCGAAATGCGAGCTCACCACACCCAACATTTCATGGGCAATCTCACTCGCTGGCCTTTTGCTGATCTACCCTCAGGCACGACCTGCGCCTGCACTCACCCACGGACGCTGTCATGTATTTTGAACGAGTTGCGCGCCAAGTGCATCTAGCCTGTGATGACGTGGCATCCCTCGTGAGCCTGGCAGGCCAAGCCTTGCGGCACCGCCGCAACAACCACCTCTATTACGTGGGCATTGGTACTGCTGGGCTCATGGGTCTGATCGATGCCTCGGAAATGGTCGACACCTATGGTTGTCGAGATGATGAGGTCCGTGCCTTCATTCAGGCTGGTTGGGCCGCCTGTGGAAATGTTGAAGGTGAGACGTACTTCTCTGCTACATACAGCTCACAGGAACTCCCAGACCACACGCCCGTGGTCAGGCTCACTCACCGCCTAAACAATCACTTCCACCTTCCTTCTGGGGTGCTCGCAGGCGATATTTCTGGCAAGGGGCCTGCGTTTTGCTTAAACACGGATGAGTTTGAACGTGACATCTTGCCGACCCTGACTGAACGCGACACAGTCATTGTCCTGTCTTTGGACGAGCCAGCTGTGCAGGCCGATGATACCCAGCTCTGTGCGTTGCGCGCAGGCTTGGCCTACCTTACTCTGGAAACGTCATGGTGTTAGGCTCACCCCCTCTTCTATTCCCTTGGATAGTGGTTCGCAAACTGGTGTCATCGCCCGCAAAGTTGGGTTGCGTACACATTGGTCGATCCAACCTTCCTCCCTCCCACCTAGGCGCAAATGTGGATGAGTGAGTTGAGGTCGTCTGGTACTGGCCACAGGGAAGCAACGCGACAAAGCCTAGCCCCTCCTTTCTCTCATCGCGTCACCTCTTGCAATAGGTTTGAAGCCACTTGCATAGCGCAGTGTGATGAGTTGGACATTGGCAACGAGCCCATCTTTGCCATGTTTGGGCTGAAGCTTATTCTCAATGTTATTACCACGGGTGTGATCTGATGACTCTTTCTCTCGCTCGTGATCTGGTGCGCTGCACTAATTCTCCTTTGCGTGATCAATCAGGCGCCAATATCCTGCGCGGGGCCGTTCATGGCAATACCATGATCAACGTGACAGTGTCCAACAACAAAGTACGCTCATATACTCCGCGTCCGTCAAGCAGTACATCTGCTCCCTGCTTACCAGCTCGCCACGATCTTGGCCCATCTGCCTGCAGCTGTTTTATCGCGCAGCGGAAATTGTTGCCAATCTGGCGCACTGCTCTGAAGAGTCAGGCCAAGGTGTGATTTCATCTGCGTCCTGGATGGCATGCTAATCTGTATTGTCTTCATTACATTCGCAATTTCCGATCCGACGCACAAGCTCAAACCCCCTCCCCTTCCCTTCCCGGCCCTTTTTTTTTCCTCGGACTTGATCTCGTGTGACTCGCGCAGTGGCGTTGCTCAAGGCGATCTATCAGACTGACGAGGTCGACGAAGCCATCACTAGCCTTCCGCTGTCCGAGCATATCAAAGTAAATGCTCGAAATTCACGGCTCTCAAGTGTTATTATACCCTAAAGGACCCATTCCCCTCTCACTATGACAATTTGTTTGCCTTGATGATTGCAGAAAGCAACGCCAATGAAGTTTATTGTTCCGACGGCAAGTCTGATGGCGTCTGGCAAGCTCTCTCTAGCAAGCGCCAACAAGCACCTGCAGAGCAATCACACTCCATTGCGTCAGATTCTGGCACTCGCCATGGCCAAAGCTGAGTAAGAGGCTTCAAGGTACGAGAGTAGGCCGGCTCGTGTGGTTTGATGGCTCGGCACAAACGAGCCAAGATATTCGTGTCAACAGCAATCAAGCTTTTTAAATGTGTTCGTCATGCAAAATGAACATGATCATTTTCAGAGCAAGCTTCAATTAGAAAAGTACGATTTTGTAACCAGTGATGTGCAAACATGAGCAGAGCCATTAAAAAGGAGCAGTCGCGACAATGGCACCTGGGTAGATAAAGACGCGTGGGCATGCCTTTCCATTTGAACATGCACATTTACCCACGATCAAGGGCTTGCTACCTAGTTATTTCGATTTCCTGCCCGTCCGAACTTTGTGTCAAACAAGCGCACAAATTTATCGCAATCCTCGTCTATCGGTTAGCAAAGGCCCACCGCGCGTGAGGTTGCGTTTGCGCTTCGAGTGGCACCCAATCCAAGCAGGAATGCTATCAGAAACTGACCAGGCAGAAATGCCGACTTGTTGCGGAGCGTCACGTTCCGCATAATGAAGAAGTTGTACACTACATATTTCCGAGTCAGGCATCAGCGTTTTGCGAAGCAGGGGGTTTGTCAGTACAGGACAATGGCGATGCTCGGCCCAAGGTATGAATCAAATGACTCACCGTTGTAGAATAGCATGTCATCATTGCTGGCCAGCGCAGCTTCAAGAAATCGCTTGGCAGGCACGCGTCCGACGATGTCGCGCCCAAAGGATTTGATGTACCGCAGTGCTGGCAAGACGAAGCCACATGTCAACAGGATATCGCAAATCTTGACGGGATCGCTTTCAATTCGCTTGAACATGTCCATGGCCAGCTGGTAAGCAGGTGGGTATTGCATCTGCAAGCTGAGCAAGAAGCAAGCCATCGGCTCGCTGTCATCCTATCATGCAGTCCGAAAAGAGCCAGCCGGCACAAAGCAAAGCAAAGTCGGCGGAGAGGCAACGAGTGAGCGGGCGCGACACGGCTCGTTGTGGTCAAGCTTTTCGCAGACTGGTGGGTGAGACGAACAAAAACATGGTACTGGAAAAATTGATGAAGCTGATAAAACTGCTTGCCCGACACGAGCATGTTGATCAGCATCTCATAGATAAGATGTTCAACAGGAACCTCGGCCAAGGATAAGCTGCGAATGTACTCTGTTACAGCGCGAATCAAGAAGCGCCTGCTCATCTCCTCGTTGGCTTGCAGCAGCAAAAAGACTTTGTGGCACACATCGATCTGGCGCAGGGTTTGGTAATTGAACCGCTTCTGATTGGGGCGATTTGCCTGATACCAGCCAAGAGCATGAGTTGTGCGCGAGTGTGTTGCATGCGCTGGACGTATGACATAGTGCCTGACTTACCTTGGCCAAGATGTTACTGATGCAATCAAAGGCATACGTCAGGTGGCGCAGGGCCATGGGTGTTTGTGCCAGTGCAACTGCCGAGTTTCATGCGTCAAACACGGGCGAGGTGAGCCAGGCGCCAGCGGGAATGAGAGAATAAACTTGAGAGGTTAATCGAACCTTCAGAAAGGAGCTCAATCATCACGGGCGCGGCCCCGGTGCGTCGGCTCAGTACATCAAAAAGCGTGGTCTGAATGCGTGACCGTCACAAACAAACATGTGAGCTGGGCAACCGGGTGGGCTTGTCACAGAAAACAAGGCGGACAATGTAGAAGGCATGGACAGAAGGCAGCGGGGCAGTTCAAGATACGAGACCCACAAAATCTTGGATCACAGCGGGGGCTCGGTTCGCATAGAGCTCAAGGCTCCACAGACATCCGGCTCGAGCATCAATGAGAATGGCTGGTTGGAAGCACAGGAGGGATTCACCATCTGCAAGCATGGCAAGGTGAGAGCGAGCTCGTAAAATGGGCGACTGTGTCAGCGACGGTGCGCCAGATGGGGTGTGCGAGCAGAGACTTTTTATGCCGCAGTCCCGTGCTGAACGTACACGCAGGCAGGATGCGATCGGAGCCGTTGTCGTCCAAAACTGTCGGTGGGATCTTGCACTGAAATACGGGTCGATGGGTAAACCATTCCGTGGATCCGCTGCCAACCGCGGCGCGGCTCGTCGTCACTTTGCAAGCAATATCAAAGGCAAATGTTGTCTGCAATGCCATGCACGAGCCATGAGTTGTTCACGCAATCGTTTGAGCTTGAAGCAGGAAGGCAGGCATCTGGAGATCGTCTGGTTATATCGACACACAAACCTCTGTGGTTGCATGGTGTACGAGCAAAAGGTTGTCCACTGCACTCATAAGCAGGCGCCCGTTGACGTCCAAATGCAGACTGTGGGCTTTGGCCACGCCCTCCCTGAAGATCGAGGTGTCGCGGGTCATGAAATGCACGCTGCTGCATAGATTTGGATGACAACCGACATGGTTGGCAAAAATGACGTACTTTGTGATGAGGTAGAGCGTGACCTCGGATTTGGGTCCCGCATGAGACTTGGAGTTGTTTCGGACGACAGCCAGGTAAAGGCGGTTGTAGCTGATGTCGCAAACAGCAGGTGACGCGATAAGCCAGGGTTATGGGCCAAGTGGAACAAGAGGGGGGGGGGGCGGCTGGGTGTGACCCAGACGCAATGCGAGCTGAGCAGCAGCACTCACAGCTTGCAGATGCAAACATCGCGAGTTGTGAATCCAGTCTGTCGAGGCTCGGGTGAAGCAGAGGGTGCGACTTCGAATCGAGGGATTTTGGTGATGCCACCACGCTGCGAGATTTGATGCACAAGCGTGAGTTTGCCCATAAGAAGGCCGGGGGAGGCAAGCCAGAAGAACCCACATCGATGCAGTAGGGGTTCAAGACGTTTGGTTGTAATGACGAGGCGACCATCAAAACGCAACTTTCCGGCTAATGAAACACATCATAAAAAATGAGATGTGAGGCGCACAAAGTGGGCTCGCCAGCATTGGCGGGGCTTTGAGTCTTCGTGGTCTGGGCGAATCTCACCGAGTAGATGCACCAAGAAACAGAGGTGTTGACGGCCTTGACCAGTTTTGTGGACCGCCGCTTGACGTTCACCTGATGCGTGGAACGAGCTTGTGAGCAAGAGTGCTCCAATAACTTTTGAATCTGTCGATGGCAAAGCAATAGACGGTCCACGAGGCTTGGGCAGAGTAGGGAGGGGCACATACGCGATAAAGTTCAATGCTCAGGTTGGTCACAACGACCACATCGTCAGGGCCAGTCCAGTAGAAGTACTTAATCTCGGCCAACTTGTTCTGTCGGGTCGGGCGGAGCACACGGCACATGAGGCGGGAACACACGCGCGCGGTAATCAGCATTGGTGTGTGGATTTGCAGGGGCGGTTGCTTGAGATCAAATGATGTAAGCTTGGATTTGCAGCGGATGAAAACGGATGTTGGGGAAGTGGCAAGGGTATTGGTGAATTCTCCTTGGTCGGAGTGGCGGCTGCATACCTTGATGGTGGCTTGAAAGGATTGACGTTCAATGGTCAGAAAGTTCTGCAAATGTCGTAGGAGCCGTGATGAGAGATGCTGTACACGCACGGTTGGTCGCGCAACCTTGAACTGCACTCTTTTGTCTTTCTCCCCTGTCTGTGCTTTGCAACTGCTAGATATGGGTTACATGGCGCGAGTCAATCTGAGCCTGCGCACCAGTGTGCGGGGTTCGTAGTAGTAGGCGAGCACATTGCCGTCCAGGGAGAAGCGAAGTGAGCGCACGGGCTCGCCGTGCTCGGGTAGAATCCATTGTCGGGGCTCTGGCTTGGCCTGTGACAAGACATCGACTGTTCGACCGTCTTCGTGAACCACAAAGATGTGGTTCAGAATATCGTCAAAGACAATGTTAAGTCCCGGACTGGCGCCATTCAAGGGTCGGAACCTGCCGATCCAGCAGACGGCGAGCGCAAGGGCACCAGTGAATAAGAAAGGTGGGAGTTGCGACCGGTTCACGCACGCCTTGTCACCAAGGGCAACCAAGGCCTCCCCACGCCATGTGCATCTGGTAAATATCTGAACGTACCGCAACACGTCGCGTCCCAACTCAACGATGGCCCCCGTCCCAGCCGCCATTTCTCTTTTTTTTTTTTTTTGACTCGCGCGCCCTCTCTCTCTCTCTCTCTCTCGAAAGATCACTGAAAGTGGGTTTTGCGTGCTAAAGAATGTAAAGCTAGATCTATTTTGATCTAGCATTGATCAGACGACAATCTGTGCTCGGTGTAGCAAGTGAAGCGCTGTGAGGTAAGACGGAGGAGGCATCAAATAGCCTCTCTCCCAAGACAACCGATCTGATGCTGAAGGTTTGAGATCAGACAGCAAAGAGAGAGAGAGAGAGATATGAAGAGAGAGAGAGAGTGTGTGTGTGTTTGTGTGTTCATATGGATGATGGCTTTGCTCGTAAGGTGAAACATTTGTGATGTTACATGTACACGAGACGCTGGGGGGGGGGTTGGTTTGGCACGGCTGCTGGTCGCTTGGATTCGGCACTCGGGCTGGGTGATCGATCGCGGGTGGGGGTGAACAGGGGGGGGGAGGGCGTAATGGTGCGAGGGGTGGTGGGGTTGTTGTTGGTGGTGATGGCGGGGGTGGGGGTGGGTGAGGAGGTCGAGCGAGCCAGGATCATGCCTCAAACGCAGGAGGGGGTCGATCATCTCGTCCTGATGGCCAATCGTGTGACCCTGGTCAGCGATCGCCTGGCTTTTTGGGTTGATGGACGATTCTGGAGCATGGCGGGTCTCGAGGATGCAATCGGTGTACAGCGCGAACGCGTTTTTCTGGGCCGCCTGCCGATGCTGTCAACGTGGGGCCCAACGGAAGAGGTGCCCGGCGTGCCTCGGGTTCAGCAGCACGCAAACGGAGAGCTGCAAGTACAGGCGCCCGAGATCGTGCTTTGCGATCCCTTGTCAGTGGGCACAGGCAGCGTCTTGGCAGACTTGGTTCGCTGGGTGACCGAGGTGGACTCGGCTGACTTGCCTGTGATTAATCTTACCGAGACCTCTCTCTGGGCCGAGGCCTGCCGACTCGATCAGTCGGCGCGGCGCCCCCAGATCCGTCGTCGCGACAATATCTTGCTGTTGTCCGCCCCTGGTGGCCTGCAGATCACAGGCGAGCTCGAGGTGCAAGGCGTGGAAGAACTTGCCATCGCAGCCGAGATGAATTGGCTTAGGGTACAGAATCGCCCCTTCTGCCCGCGCCAATGCGAGGACAACGCTGCGGCGTGTCGCACCAATGCGTATGTTTATCTGGATGACTTTGTCTGCAACTCGAAGCACGATGGCGGGGGTTGGATGTTAGCGGCTGCATCAGTGAGTGACGGTCTCAATACTTGGACGTGGAATCGGCGCACCCTGCTCAGTGAGCGTGGACCAAACATCGGTGCACCCAGCACGGTTGGCACGACCGATTTTCGCTCCGCTTACGTCTTGGAGGACGTGAATTTTCGCGATCTGTTCTTCTTGCACGAGCCCTCAGGCCACTGGGCTAGTTACCACGACGTAGGAGATTACGGCCAGTCTTTAATGAGCTACTTTGCATCAGTGGTCCCGGCATGCTTTGGTCCAAGCTTTCCCATGGCCACAGGCACCCTTGTCGACAAAAATCAAAATTCCAGTTCACGACTCTGCGACACGCGACTCTACATCCACCCCCAGGACAAGGATGGCAACGTGGGATACTGTCCTCGCAGTGCAGCGGATGACACCTATGGCCCCGCCTGGAGTGGAGCCAGTTCAATTTACAGCAGCGGATGTCCGATGGATGATCCAGGCTACTTTTCCATGGGCGCCGACTATCGCAAAGGCCACGTGGAGCGGAATGGTCGAGGCTTTGCGCATGGCATGAATGTGAACGAAGCCCCCTTATCGCGGCTGTTGATGTTTGTGAGGTAGCTGTACTTGCTACCTGTCTCTCAAACATTCACCCTCTTCGAGCACGTGCCAGCCTTTGGGTTTGCCCTTGTACGCCTTTGGCGCAGTAGGAGTTGACGATGCACAAGGCGCAGGCTTGCTCAGTTGTACCAGGCGCACATTTCAAAAAAAAAAACCTCGGATCAGAGTCATTCCGTCCGCTTCTCCGACGCCGAGCCCTCGCACATATCTTTGTTTGTTCTTCATGCTTTTTCTTTTTAATCGAACAAGAACGGTCATGAAGTTGTCAAGCTCCTGGGCCTCTGGATTTGACGCTAACAGAAGTGATCTATCCATGACGTGAAGCAAGGCTCGGATCCCTGCCATGCAAGCAAAAGCGAGCGACTTGGAGTTTGGTCCAAAATCAATTGTTGTTTATGCTTTGGATGAGCGCGCTCCGGAACCGACGAAGTCGTGGGGGTGGGGTTCAACCCAACTTTGTCGATCAGCTTGACGTGTGTGTGTGTGTGTGTGTGTGTGAGTGAGTGCGCGAGGGAGGGATCGAGAGATCGAGAGATGTATTGCTCCGAAGATGACAAACAGCACAATCCTAAAGACTATGAAAAGAAACAACATGAGAATTATCTTCCTCTTACAAGAAGAAACAACTTCTCACAAGAATTCGCCAATGGCGGACTCGGTTTCCACTGTGTCTCATAAGTGAGGCGAGCAGCGAGGCATTTTCTTCCAACATGGACGGGGCCCAAACCACGAAAATGCTGTGGCTTGATTTTATCGAAGAGTTCCACCGCTTGAAGGCTCTTTTGGGCGGAACCATGCGGATTGATTCCGGAAACGACTTGGAGCCCATCTGGAACGTTTTCAAAATCGACACGTGCGGGACAGAGGTCCAGGAATTGCTGCGGCTTTGCAAAGCAGAGAACACCATCATGACCAACAAGTTTCTCTTGATCAACGTGGCATTCCATACAGCCATCCCTGATCATCTCCTGGTTCAATTCGTGAAGGATCTCGCTTCACTCAACATTTGCTGCTACCCTGATGCTACAAAGCCTGAAGATGGCGACTTCAAAAAATTTCGCTTTCAGCTTCTTGATACAGCCATGCAATCTGAGCTTTTTCTTGGACCGCATTCCAAGTGGTGCTCTCTCCCCAGCCCTTCCATGGCAGTATCGCACTACGTTGGTGTCTATTTGATGCGGCGCAGCGCAAATGGCCAGTCTCACGAAGTACTTACCTGTCTTCTCAACGGTCAAGCAACTCCGAAAATGGCATTTTTGGGTGGAAGCATCAACTTTGCCAAAGACAAGTCTATAGCTGCTGGGGCGAAGCGCGAGGTGTACGAGGAGACGTACGGGCAGGTTAACCTTGATCTCGTATCGCTGGAAGCAGCGCACGCCGCCTTGCAAAGTGGTCGCCCCAAGGAAGTTTTACAAGTTGCCCAAGACACGGGCATGCAAGCCTGGAGAGCTAGAGCTGCACGGAGTGTGCAGGTGACGATTTTCTTTATTGCTCAACAGTTTACGGATCAAGTTGTCGCAACCATCAACTCGCACGCCCAAAATGCGATCAAAGACTGGGAGCGCTATGGGGAAAAAACTGCACATCAGCGCGGCTATAGCTACCCCGAGACAAAAGAGTTCGAATTTGTGAAGATCACGGATAACTCTTGGCCGAGACGCTTGCGCTCAGCAGAGAAGTGTACGTTTGAAGCGAGCAAATCAGACCGCGAAACCTTTTTGCACAACGCACTGCCTATCCCTCCTCAAGCCGGCAGGGGGACCGCTCGCACTCAGTCTCGAAAGCACGGCGGCCGCGCTGACAGACAGCAGGGCGGTTACTTTGAAGGCTATGGCCAGCCTTACCATGACGATCGCTCTGACAGGCGACAGGGCGGTCAGCGACAAGGTTCTGGACAGCCTCGGTATGGAGGTCGTGGTGGTCATGGTGGTCATGGTGGTCGTGGTGGTCGTGGTGGTCATGGCGGTCGTGGCGGTCGTGGCGGTCCTCGAAATGGGAGCGGTCGAGGTCGATTCAACGGCAGTCAACACGATCGCCAAGGCCGCCAAGGCCGCTAACCAGTCAAGCACGTTAACGTTCAGTGTGCCTGTTGATCCATAAACAATTGAAAATACCTGCGTGTAGCTAATATGTAAGAGCTGCCATATCTCCTCACACGATTGCTGTCTTTCCAGCACCTTTCGACCCGCTTGCGTGGTTTCGGGTGTGATTTAAAGCACCAGCCACAAATGAATTGAAACTTCAATTTTCGGCGCATAAAGTGCAGGGGCGTCTTGGACAACAGACAGGCCCTCCTTTTGAAAAGTCAGATGCCATGCCACAAAAGATTGGTCGTTGGGGAGGATCATGGCAATGCATTTGGCAAGGCATCGCATTGGAATACTATCCTTGCTTTTGACGATCCATCTCGGCCTCAATCTCCGCCCAAGTCTCATCGTCAAAAGTAAAAAACTGGAGCAAGAAGAAGACCATGACTGCAATGCGCACAAGCTTGAAGACATCCTAACAGTGCCATGTCCCCCCCAGACATTCATTAGCATCAACCAATCCGGCATTCACAAGTTACCATACTCCCCCACAGCAAAGCAGAGCTTGCGGCATTCGCCTCAGAGACTTGAGTCAGTCACCAACCTTCCATGTGGTGCCAGCAAAACTGGCGACCAAGATCTTGGGCGCAAAGACGAGAAGCATGAGACGATCCCAGCAGAAAGTGCCCACAATGTCAAACGCTAGCAGCGCCATGAGTGCACGTTGGAATCCTTCACTTGGGTACTCAACCAATTGGAACCTAACAGGGACGTGGCACACAGGAAAAACAAATTAGATTTGCAGGTTTCTGTCTGAAGGCAGTGATAGCGATGCCAACGAACATGCGATTGAAGTCAGGTAGGTAGTTGCTTGCAGCCAGGAAAGCGCCACCACCACAGAGCATGAGAGACCAAATCAAGAAGCTGTTATCGAGCAGCCCACTCATAAAAGGCAAGCCTTTGTAGTTGACCACGAATACGGTCACCTGCAAATGCCCATGCCGCCGGGAGCAAGTATGAGCCTGGCAGTCAATGTCTTAGATGGAGGGAAGGCAAGCCAATAATGTTAAAGACCCCTTTAACCCAAAAGAAACAGTAGCCGGCGCACCTGCTGTACGGCCGTGACAAGAAAAACGACGCTGTTGATCAAGTTGGGCTCAAACTTGCCGTCGATCGAGGGCTGCAGAGAGCATGGGTTGCCGAAATGGTGCACGGGAACCGCCAAGCAGGGAGTCGTAAGAAGCGCATTTGATTGCCACTGACTGCCCCGTCATCAACAACGTACCGCCCAATTTTCTGGCAAATGGGGTTTGACCATGCTCACGGCATACATCATGCAGCCGAGATGGATGGCAAATTGACCAAGCAAGGAGATGAAGAGCGCCTGTGTGTCCGTAATGAAATGAGCTGTGTGAATGTGGTCACGTGTGCAGCGACTGCCGGGAACATTGCTTCAAAACGGCAGCCCTTCTCGACGACACAACAAACATACCGGATGAAAGATTGAGTTGAGAGGACGAACCGAGCTCAGCTACCGCAACAACAGGGGAGCGTGAGGCGATATCAAGAGCGTGCGCAGAATCTGCAATCTGAGATTTAGCCTTGCGCTGTCGTGCGCAACATGTGTAACAAAGTGCAGCCAAAAGCTTGCAATTGGAGTGACCGTGTCGCTGAACACGCCGCGCACCTTTTGAAGGGGTGTTGCTCGGCTCACGGAGAGGAAAGATACAGTCATGAGCAGACCCATGGCCGTCATCTGTCGATCTCCCGACTTGATGCCATCCTAAAGCCATTAGCGGCCGCAACTATGAGACACGACTCGGGCTCGGGCACCAAGGGGCATACAGTGGCATACAAGCGTTCTGATCTACGCCGTGCTCATCCACCAGGTGCGAGCATGTGCAACTCAAACCCACCAAATACAGGACCGAGAGCGAGTAGGAAGAAATCAAGCAGTTGAGGGCAAGAATTTGGTACATCTGAAGCGTGGTGACCAATGTGCACCGACCCTATAGAGATGTCATTTTCAAAGCACAGTCGCATGCATATCAATCAACGTGCGAAGCTCGATGTGCACTGGTGGGTGGGCCGCAAGAATAAGGTTCACACGGACGTACCATGCGAATGATGTCAATTGCCGAAGAAATGGATGGCTTCTTGGAGGTGAAAGGCGCAGCCACCGAAGCGTCGCCAAGTTTGACCATGGGAACAGAGCCATCTTCCAGATCTGGTCAAGGTTTATTTTTTATCCACCAGCACATGTAAACGGCCTGAGACGAATCGAGGAGCGATCGGCGTCCAGACTGTACACCAACGCACCTTCTGCGGCCATCAAAGCGGCCGACCCTGTCAGAGTTCCATTCTTGCGATTTGCCCTGTGCGAGCAATTGCGGCGTCATCCAAAGCACGGGTCAGGGCTGGCGATCACCTCCAATGGCAACAATGTGTGTGCTTGAAGTTTTTGAGCACGCGCATATGGCGAGTTGACGGCGTACATTTGTCGCGCACGCTGCTTTGCCCACATGGCTTGCATGGCCTTCCATTCCGCCCAACTCTCGCCACGAGCCTTGCGCTCCTGAACATCCCGCATAAACTCCGCCTTGTCCTCCTGCACCAAACATGACTTGTCAAGGTCCGGTCAACAAGACGCCACGACCGTGCAACAGATGCTCCAACCACAAACCTCTGCTTGTTGAGCAGCCTTTTGCCGTGGTGTCAACTTTGTTGCATCTGAACGAACGTGAAAAAGTAAGATTTGTCATCAACGCACAGCTGCAGCTCAGGCAAAACACAAACTTTCGGAAAAGTACACACCGTCTTGCTTCTGCGCGTCAGCAATGGCCTTTTTTTCGGGTTGTTGAACAGGGGCTGGCGGTTTCTCAGCGTTGGCCGATCCAAAGCCGCACAACAATGCGATGCCGACATGGGCCTGCGCGTAGTAACGTTGTGATGCAGAAAAACCGTGAAGGGACGCGCTTCCCTGCGGACAGGCCACCGAGCAAGCATGCAATGCCTGATTGAAGCGATACTACCGACCTGTTTCAACGCCCCAACATCGTTTGCGCCGTCACCACACATGAGAGTGAAGTGCTCCTGGTCTTTCAAAGTGGTAATGAGCAACTCTTTGTGACCAGGGGTCATGCGCGCATAAACGCGGATGTGTGGCAACATGTACTTGGCATCAGGCACGTGCTCCAACAGTGCCATCATGACCTGCGCTCGTAATGCGCCGATGTACCGAGAATGTATGAGCAGTCACGCACAAGAGTGTTGGCAACAACAGGGAGAGTAGCAACGAATGCATACCGAGCCTGTCATGGCCAGGGTGCGATTGAGGGCAATCTTTTCCACAACCGAGGGCTCCAATGCCTCGACGCGTGCATCATCAGAAGCACGAGCCCAGAAAAATTTCTAATCATGTCCATGGGACACTGTGGTGAGGATGATATCACTCGACCACATGAACGAGCGCATGCAAACCTTGGGATCTGCTGTCTCTTGTTGGAGGGTCCACACGTTCTCCTTTTCGGGGTGGGCAATGTTCGTCTCAGAGGCCACATGAACAGCTACAAGGACCAACAAAAAGCACCATGGTCGTCCGTGGGGAAACGCACGATTGACTGGGCAATGGGAACCAATGAGGGCAAGCACCAACCTGTGAGGATCGCGTCTCCTGTGACCATGGTGACTGAATGCGAGCTCTCCTTCAAAGCCTGATTCACAGTTCACATGCAGCAGCATGAAAAATGAGCCAGACAGGGAGCATGGCACCTGGGAGCAGATGATCGCGTCGGCCTACGCAAGTTTGTCTTATTGTGACGATCAGGAGAAGGCATGGAGCCACACCTTGAGCACGTCTGGGCTGTCTTTGCGGCGGAGGCACCGGAAAGCCAGGAATCCCACGAAGTTCAAGTCTCGCTCCACGTGACTACGCTGCCAGTCTTCCAAGTCGCCTTTGCTTGGTGTTGCTGTCAAGATTGCAGTTTGCATAAACGTTCGAGTACACAAAGGCATGGTTAGAGGATGCTACGGCAGCAACATCGGTGTGATCATCAAAAAACAAACCGTCCAATTTGCGCCAGGCTAGCGCAATCACGCGCATTCCCTTTCGAGCAAGAGCCTTGTGACTGGCAGAGTACCTGGAGCCATTCGTGCGACGCGTGCGTGAGTATAGTATCTATGTTAGCCAAAAGCGCACGGGCACCAGCGCGAGCAAGCAGAATCTACCAAGAAGGGACTGTGGCCAGCATGGTCTCGATCATCTCAGGACTGCCTAAGAGGGCCAGAAGGCAGCAAATGGCAACAAAATCACCGTTATGGTTGTCGAGGCGATTTCAACGAAGGCAAGGTGCACACTGGCCAGTCTGTCTTTGTGTTGAGGGCATGATCCGAGTGCCACTGCTGTTGGCGTTGTATAGGAGCAACTGAGGCTTGACCCACCTTTGGTGAGCACGTAGGCACCCGTGGCACCCTCCAAGCCATTGACAAGAGCAATAACAGACATGCGTTGTAGCTTGGACGAAAAGTGGTAGCGATGCAGAATGGTGACAGATGGCCTTCGCAAAGTAAAAAGCAAAGCGTTGAGTTGCTAGAACACGATAGCTTGCGCCAAGATTGATCATGAATCTCCAACAGGTCAAAGCTTACTTGAGGCGAGTCGACCAGTTGACGACAGCCTTCTCTGTAGGGGCTGCTCGCATCAAATCCGGTTCGTACTTCCATTTGATGGATTTGAGGGCAGCTGTCTCCAACGGATCACCGTCCACCTTGCCATCCACCTGAGAAGAACTCGACAATAAGATCCAAGGCCAACAACAACAAAAAACAAAAACAAAAAAAAACAAAAAACAAAAAAAAAAAAAACACTTCAAGTGCTGCAAAGATTCCCCCCCCCCCCTGACAAATCTATCATTTTCGAGAAAGTTGGGCATACCTCCACAAGCGAATGACAACCAGCGATGACCAAAGCAGCCTCGAGCGGTGTGGTCGACATAGGTTGCTCTGAAATCACCCCATTGCTATTTTCCAAAAACGAGCATCAGGTGAGCATATGCCTCGCAATGATTTGCAAAGACCACACCATCTAGCCCACACGAACGAAAAGCAGTTTGAAATTTGAAAAGTTTGAGAAAACAGACCTAACTTCCCGTGCGTCTTGGGACGCTGAGCTTGTGGTGAACTGCAGAAGCCAGCATGACGATGAGTGAGGAAAATAGCGTCGTACAACTGCATAAGCTGACAGGGTTTATCCCGACAACTGAAAGGAATCAGGTCGTTGCATCATGGAGTACCAGACTCCCCACCCTTGACCACGGCAGCATACCTTGCTTTGCGCCACGATACCGTCTGCCACGAGGTCATCTGTCGTGATAGTTCCAGTCTTGTCGAAAAGACAAGCATCAACTTTGCCTGTGCAGACAGGAGCGGGTGACGTTTGGCGGCGAATTCGCAGACATTGGGCAGCTGCGAGGCGATGCCAGCATTTCCTCACGTACCGGCAACAGGAATACGGAAGGGTTCAGTGCAGAACACGTGCAGCTTGATGAGGGAGAGGAGCGAGTTATTCACAGCCAAAGCCATTTGGATGTGCAGCTCTACGCACGCAGGGCAATCGAAGGAATCGTCAGGCACAGACAACTTTACGGGGGATTTGGTAGGCACGGGGCTTGTTACACCCAGCATACCGGGCGGAATGACGCTGGTGATGATGAGGATGCAATGGAGGAGCAAGTCAAACTGATCGCGGCCATCGGCCAGACCGCGGCGTAGCACGTAAGCGCTGTTGGTATAATCCCCAGCACATTATTTGCCATGAGCTGTAGAGCGCTTTCGACGCAACCAAGCTCTCTGGGGCTCAGAAAGCCTTGTGCAGCAATGTGAAGACTGGTTGGCTTGCAACTGACCTGGCGGCGACGGCGAAGATGAGCAGAAAGAGGACAAGCAACAAGGCCTCTTGAGCGTTGCCCGAAACCGAATCGCTAGAGAACTGAATCATGCGCACCAGGCGACCTAGGTGGGCAGACATTTCAAATGCCGGTCAAATGCAGAGTCACAAGTATGTGCGTATGGTGTGTCTGTATATTTTGTGTGTCTTGGCATGGGCAAGATTTATGAGGAAGAGCAATCACCTTGGGATGACGCAAAGCCAGTCCGCAGCACATAGCAAAGGCAACCATGGTCCGGAGTGCTCGTAGGTACTCGGCGAGCTCGTTCCTCGTTGTACTCGATTCCTTGATCGCTTTGATACACAACCTGTCAGCCAAGGCGCCAGGGTGAATGCATTCATCTACAAAAATAATGATGCTTGCACAAGCATGGCAAAAAACAAAGCAATTATACCTCGCGATCGTCGGAAACGCCCATTGACTGGAGGATTTTGGTACCACCCCAGAGTGTATGCACCTGTGTGAAATATCAGATGCCACAATCAGCGGGGCGGGTTATAACATATCGAGACAATGTGCCCGCGGGCTGGTTGTTCGACGATCAGGCAAGCTGTATGACCTTGTGCTGATTTTGCATGTCCAGATGCGAATCTCTGGAGTCGGCATCCACGATCAAGGCTTCTTTCATCTAAGCGGAAAGAGGGGTATGAGCATGGGAGCAAAGAGTGCTTCTTGGCTGTACCCGATGCTGCGCGGCGGTGGTGCACGACGAACGAGGAAGCAAAGATAAAGCACACCTGAGGCACAGATTCTCCCGTAAGAGTGGCTTCGTTCACCACGGCACTTCCCTTGAGCAAAAGGCAGTCGCACGGCACGATATCTTCATCCTGGCCTGATCCGCGTAGGACGGAGATGAGGTCGCCTGGGACCAGCTGGTCGGCTGTAAGAGGCATCCACACGCCATCCCGGCGCGCGAGAAGGCGTCGTGGGGCGTTGTTCATGCCCCGCAATGTGGTAAGGTTCTTGCGACGAGACATGACCACAGTGCCCTAAAGGGTGGCCGGATCCCAGCCAGGAGTTTTTGACGTTAAGTGAGTCCTCAGGGGTCAAAAACAGGGGTCAGGAAATGGCCCTCCCTTGCAGCCGTGACACCGGCCTTGCTTGGAACCGTCTGGAAGTACAGTTCGCACCTCAAACACCAACATCATAAAGAGGGTAAAAAGACTGTATTGCCAGTACTCATCAAGGCACCAGAGTAAAATGCAGAACATCTACAGGTAAGGCACATCAGTTGAGGAGAAGGGGCCTTTTCAGCCTTGCTCGTTTGCATAAGCTGGGCATGAGCCAAGGCGCGTTGGCCACACCTGAAAGACGGAGAACGGTTTGAGGAGCCCTTCGATGTAGAGGTCTTCAAACGTAGGTAACTCGATATCAAAGACATTCCGGCCAAAACGCTAATCAGGGTGGGCGCATCGCAGAGAAAACAAAAGCAGTCGCGAGTGAGGGTATTGCGGCGCACGGTGCAGGCGGGCAAAGTGCGACTCTTACCGTCAGACGAGCCCGGGCAGCACTTCCAGAGAGCCCAGGGGCCTCGACGTAGGTGTGTAGGGCCAAATTATCCGGGCACAGGACCTGGAAACGAGTTGAAGAGGATAAGATGCGATGCATGCTGTTGAGATGTAAGTGTGTGAGTTGAGGAGAGGGGGTGTTTGCGCTGGGGGCAGCGAGGAGTTACCGGTAAGAAGGCTTGTCCCTCGTGCTCCGAGACTGTGTCATAGATGTAATTGAGCTTTTGAAACTCGAAGCAGGGGCGCTTGCCATTGGTGCTGAGGACGGCGAGGGCCGTTTTGCCTTGATGGGGAGGGGGCACCACCTGGGGTGGATGTTCGTAAGGTGTGCAAAAAAGCATGGCATGGGTTAAGGGCGTGCAGTTTCGGCAAGAATAGCCCACCTTGACATGGGTAGCGTCCTTGAGAGCACAGGGGCGGAACTTGATCCGCACGCGAAATGCAACCGACCAATGCTGGCCCAAGAGCAGCAATGCGTGCAAGACGAGGGTTGCACCCAGAACAAGTCTACCAGTTTGTGATGCATCATGGGCGGCGTGCGCACAGGGGTCAAGCGAATTAAGGCAAATGGCAAAGGCCCCGCCAGCAGGATATGAAGGTTGAGGGTGTGGACAAACCGGGAGATGAAAGAGGGCATCCACTCAATGGGCAGCGGATGGCAAGGGGGAAGCATGTCTTCATCCTGTCCGTGATGAAGTGCCACATCACGCGGGTGAAGGGGCGAAAACGTGAGTGAGCAGCGAGCGCGACGGCGGCTTGGTGGGATGAGCGAGGACAGTTGTGGAGCGCTGGGAGGCACCCAGACTGACCGGATTCGGCTCTTCGCGACTGTATTTGGCCATGGCTTCCGCAAAGGGATCGCCGATGGTGCTGTACATCCAGTAGGCCAGAGCCGCATATGCCAGCATAAAGGGGACATGCTCAAAGGTCACGTCTGATCAAGGCCGCACGGGTGGGCAGGCATGAGCGAGCCCTGGAGGGGAATACATGGGTAGTTTGTTCTGTGCAGTGATGGACGAGGGTTGGTGGCGTACTTTGGTGTTGGTAACAGCGCAAGTCACGGATGGCGGCAGTGCGCCAGGCAATCTGCATGCAGCGCACGAGGTCAGTCAGCTGTGTGCGATGCGCCACTCTCGCTGCCAATCTGCGCTCTCTTTATCCCGCACGCCTCGGAAGCGTCTCTTCCTAACCTGGCCAGGGCCCTTGGACCGCTGCACTTCATCCACGTTTGCAGCGTCTCCAGTCGCCGCCACTGGCGCTTGCCGCCGCTGGTTCGTCGCCAGCTCGGCCATCGCTCTGGTCGTTATCGTTGTCGTCGTCGACGTGTGTGTGTGTGTGTGTGTGTGTGTGTGTGTGTGTGTGTGTGTGTGTGTGTGTGTGTGTGTGTGTGTGTTGTTCTTGAAAGAAGAGGTCGGCAGGATGTAGAGGTACGAGTGGTTTGGAGGACAACCTGAGAGAGTAGGGGTGAGCCCGTGTGCCTTGTGCTTTACATTCGCCTTTCTTTTCAGAGGGTGAGTGGGCTAGTGAGTGAGATCCAGAGAGTCGTCACGACCCGGATGAGCTGACGTTGCACAAACTTCTTTTGTTTGTCACGTGATGGAAACAACACCTGTTACTACCAAACGCATTTAAACTATACAAAACACCCCGGAAATAAAGGCAGTTGATTTTGTCGACAAAAAATAAATACGTTGGGAGCGCTTGACGAGCGCGGCGTCAGTGTGCGTGTGTCCTTGCCCGTCCAGCCCTGACTTGCGGTGGTGGTCTGCCGGACGGACGCTGGAGGACGGGGGTGAAGGCCGAGACGGACGGGCGTGACGACGGAGAGAAGGTGGGGGTGGTGGTGGTGGGGGGCGAAATTCAACGGGTGTCATTCGTGTTGCGACATGTGAAGGCCAGCGCCTGCATGTGGCATGTTCGCCAAGCTGTTGTTAAGGTACTTGGCACTGACTTGGGCGGTCTTCCACTTGCGGCTCGCTTCCATTTAGTTGCCATGGCCTTCAACCGCTCTCGGCCCGGTGCTGAAGCCTGCTGGACGCGTCCTCTCCAGCAGCATGCCACCTTGACTCGACTGGAATTGCCGAGCCGACAGGTAAAGTGTGTATGTGTGTGTGTGTGTGTAGACCCCCTCCTCATCCTCCTCCCCCCCTGGCCCGCCCCATGCAAATAGCCACATATCGACAATAGCTCACATTGATTGATGTCTTCTGCCTGTGCCTCTCAACTTCTTGTCAGCTTCAATGTGTGCCACCGGCATTGGGCGCTTGCCAGCGACTGCGCGCCCTCGACCTTAAGAAGAATCAGCTGACCGATCTGCCCGCTGAGCTGGCCAACCTGCAAGAGGTGTGCTTCGCCTTGTTTCCTATGAATTCGATTCACATGTCAAATCAAACCAGGAATGATCAAGGCAGCTCAGTGGCTTGCAACATGGTCGACGAGCCCCTGCCTAGCTCGCCTTGGCCACTCACACTCAATGTGCTGCTCCTCGACTTTCAATGATGGATTTGAGTTGTGCAGTTGGATTGGGTAAACTTAGGGTCCAATGCCTTTGCCGCCCTCCCCTTGGTTCTGCTGCAACTTCCAGCAATTCGCACGCTTTTCTTATTTGAAAATCAGATTGCCCAACTCCCACCTGTTCAGCCCTCGACCTGGACCAGGTTCGGCATGTCAGGCTTTGATCATACTACGCGGGCCTGAAATCCTCGAGCTTACCCGTGTCGGGCTCTCTGGACTCACCTCGAGGTATACTTCATTTGCAGCCTGACCCGTCTCGACCTCAACAACAACCGCCTGACCAACCTTCCCGAGTCACTGGGTACGGGCGCCTGCCTCTTCCTGACCTCTGTCATCGCCCAAGGACAAGCTTGTGCTCATTTTGTCCTCTTTGACAGGGCTCTTGCCTGCGCTTACACAACTCTCTCTGGATCACAACGAGTTTGTCCATCCCCCTACGTAAGTTGTAACGCGCCAGACCACGCACGCCTGAGCGGCCCATGTCTCGGGTTCGCTGCAACCTTTTCACAGCCCAAAGCCATCCGTTGTCGCAGCTGCTTGCAGGATATGCCGGCACTGCGGGAACTTTCATTGCGCAGCAACCACATTGCCGTAATACCATCGTGGCTCTGGCAGCATCCGACCTTGCGTGTACTTTCCCTGGTTGATAATCGCATTGGCCAACTAGAGGCAGATTTGCTCGAGGCGCGATGTTTGGAGCGCGTTGACCTTGGCCTCAATCGCTTGGCCTTGTACGTCTCGCGCCCTTGCCCCGTCCAGTGAGCTTGCAGAGCCCTGATCCTCACCTGCAAATGTTCGGGCTGACCCGATGCTTGATCACGCATCACTCACAGGCTGCAAGAAACGCTTGTTTTACGCTCCACATTGCCGCCTCGATTGATAATTCACCTGGACGCCAATCCTTGGTTGGAGCGGTGCCATGAGCTTACTCCACCGGATGAGAGTGCGCGAAATTGGATGCCAGACGCTGAAGAAACACGCCGTCGCACCCTTCTAGAAGGGGTGCGCGCAGAGCTGACAGCTGCCAAAGATGTCAATGTGGCCTTGGCCCAGCTCTTTGACCCCACCACTCAGGATCAGCTTGCCGGGTTCGGCCAGTGTCGCGCTTGTGGAAACTACTATGTCGACCAAGCGCTACCCGCCGTTTTCTTCAAAGAACTGCCATCACGTCATTTTCAGGGTTGGTGGCTGGGCTATAGCTTTACTCGCGTGTCGAGAATTATTGGTCTCGACATCATTTGGCTGGGGCCTTGCAACGTTTCTGCCTTTTCACATCTTTTTGAACTGTCTAGGTGCGCCGAGTGAGGTTCCCCTTTTGACCGCCGTCTGTTCTGGGGCCTGTCTGACTGGGGTGAGTCTGAGTTGCACCCTGTCCGCACACGATCTTCGCCCTCTCACGCAGCCGGACGCGTCGCTTTGTGTGCAGGGGAGCGAGAAGCTCTATGTTTTGCCACCAAGCCCACCATGATTACCACCGTTCTATAACAATTTGGCCGTCCATTCGTCTCTCGTCCCAACACCAGTGGCGCTGTGCGTCGTGTGTAAGCATCAAACGTCTTGCTTTATTCTTTCCCCAGCTTGAGGTCTGATTCGCAACAATGGCGCAGAATGAAACTTAAGATCTCAAAGCGGTACGAGGCCACGAGCATCATCATGCCAGAGAAAATCCGGTCAAGCTGCCAGGCAGGGGTTTCTTTCAAAGTCATGCTGCAATTAAACGCTAATTCCGTAGCATGCAATATGCTCGTTAGCATCAACAATGGGTAGGGTTCAGCACTCGAAACTCACTTCAGAACATGTCCGACCTATTTAAACTCGAGGCGAGTCTCATAGAGAGTCACATGGAGGGAAACAGGAAGGGAAACAGCCGGAGAAACAGGCAGAGAGACAGACAGAGAGACAGACAGAGAGACAGACAGAGAGACAGGCAGAGAGACAGACAGAGAAACAGACAGAGAAACAGACAGAGAAACAGACAGAGAAACAGACAGAGAAACAGACAGGGAAACAGACAGAGAAACAGATAAACAGTGAAGAGGTCAATTATCTCACACTCGAAAAGAGTCAGCACCTCTCACGTCGAGGCGCTCATGAGCTCGTACAGCGCAACCGCGTGGCGTAGCTCCAGAGTGTCGGGCAGCTCTCGAAACCAGGGTAGCTCGTCCAGATCTTCTTCAGTGCAGTAGCCGAGGTACTCCTTCAGCGATCCATTGGCCGGCCACTGATCGTCCTTGAGCTGATTTGTTAACAAATCGTGCAAAACCGACGAAATAACGCTCAGATCGACCTTGAACAAGAGCGCACGCACGGCCTGTGCCAACTCCTCATCCAGGCTCTCTCGATAGGCCTCGTGCACTTGCTCCAAGGGCCCATCGACGCTTTCTGTTTCCAAAAGCAGCAAGAGAGACTGCAAGTGTTGCAACTGCACCTGACTATCCAGGCACTCATTTGCCACCTTATTCCATTCAGTCGCGCTCACATTCATGCTGGTCAGCATGTAGTCACGCAGCTGGACGGTGGGATCAAGGCCCAGCAGCTCGCTTCCTTGTCCTCCCAGGGTTGCCAAAAGAGCTATGGCATCCTCCAAAAGGCGTCGGAGGATGCGAAGGCGACTTTGCACGTCTAGCTCACGCAACAATTCTTGCTTCACTGAGGCAGAAAGCTGCACCTGAGGTATGCGCTGGCGCAGTGCCGCCAAATGGCCCACAGCCTCGACATCTCCCGCATAGCGATACTCTCGCAGATCCAGCTGCACACCGCGCTTCCCCGATAGCAGGGATTGCTCAATCCAGCGCTCGACAAGGCCAAAATCAAAGGTGATTGGCGTTTCAAGGTTCACGCACTCAATAGTGCGCTGAGCAGCAATCGAGACCATACGCTGAGCAGTCGATTCAATGCTAAAGTTAAGCAGCAGGGCATCCAGTTGCGCGGCAGACGTTTTGTGTGACACAACCACTTGCGCGGCGCCAGGCACTTCAGGCCCTTCCGTCTTCGCCTCCAAGGCCGTGTGGACGTTGCCCATGTCCGTATCGTGATCCCCGCCAGCTGTGCGCTTGAGCTGCGCCACGCGCAGGGCTGTCATGACATCGTTATGGGCTTGGACCAGCATGCGACAGAGTTGCACGGTACAGAGGCCTCGGGCGTCAGTTTCCTGGCCCACCAACAAAACTGGCAGGGAGAAAATGACTGCCACCTCGGGAGTCATGGGGTTTTCCTCATCGCCCGTGCCCTTGAGATTCACGCGACCGTCTGCGGTGAGAAAGGGGTTGGGCGTGCATTCATAGATATTGGGCGAAAGCATGGGCAACGTCGCATTAAATGCCTACAGGACACGGGTGTAAACAAGCATCAGATCATCCAAGTGCTTTTGCTCAGCATGGTCACCTTGAGGTAGTAAAACGATGGGCAAGGATGCGGGTACGGTGGCATCAACTTGCCTCGCAATAGCCCTCAAGCACACGGGCAGCCACAGGCTGTCGCTCCACCGGAAGGCGTGCTACCACGTCGCAGTTGCGGATGGCCGCTGCGTCTTCGCGGCTGAGGCTGCTATTGGCAAACACCTGTCCAAGATTGCACGGATGGGACAGACATGAGATGGCATGCACGCGAATAAAACGGAATTGAGGCTTTAGCTGACGTGTCAACGCACCTCAAACAAGATGGCATGCCATCCTAGGATAGGCGTCAAGTGGCGCACAAGCTGCAAACGATTCTGGACGCGTAAGCAAGCCGCCAACACGGGAAAATTTTGCTGATTGGAGCCAATGGCCCCAAAGGTGGCCACGAACGTGTCAAAATCGGCCTTGGGTCGCGGCGACCACAGGAGCGCCGAGAGCTTGACGCGGCCCTCCTCACTGGCTCGACTGTCCGCTTCCTTGCAAAACTGCAGAGCAAAGCGGACCAGGTCGGATGGTAGAAAAACGAGGTGTTGGTCAAAAAAAAAAAAAAAAAAAAATCAAAAACAAAACAAGAACAAAAAACAAAAAATCAAAACAAGCCAAAAGCAACAACAACAGCAAACAACAACAACGACGCCGAGTAGGACAAGGGATGCACATGCAACATTCTTAGCAAACCGAAAAACAAATTTACGACACAACTCCTCCATTGCCAAATTGCCAAAGGTTGCTCGCTGCAGACCAACCTCAGACCAAATTTTCTCCAGCAGTTCAGTTTTAGCCCGATCCTTGAGGTGTGCCGTCATGCCATGTATCTTGGAACGATCCGCGCTGTGGCATGCCAGGGGGCCACATGGGGTAATTCAGAAGCACGTGCAGAACAGACCGCACGGTCATAGCAATACTTGTGGGTTGCGCACGAGAAGTTTACAGGATAGGACTTTGTGGTTGGAAGGCCGCCACTCAGGGCGTGCAAAAGTAAGACATGGCACCACCCAACCATTCGAATGTGCTTCAGCAACTTACAGTCGTGGGTCGATGAAGGTGCGTTGCAGGTGCAATTCGTACAGGTCGCGCGACTCGTGTGTGACAAAGGCGGGTGCAATCTTTGTCTTCAGCATATCGGTCAAGATGGTGACCGTAAGGACCTGGAATTGGCCGTTGGATGTTGAGAAGCATGCCACAGAAGCAAATAAGAAGAAGAAGAGAGAAGGAAGGGGGCGGAAAGGAAGGGTGGCGAAAACACAAAAACAAAGGAACCACAACAGGCTTTACGCGAACTGACCAAAATATGCTCTAGCTTGAAAGACGACCCAGCCGTGGCTTGAATGGCAATTTTATGGAAGCGAGTGGCCATTTCATCACGACTTAGCGTGCCCCTGGCGATGAGTCACCATGCGAGCCACACCATCGTCAGATGTTTCAAGTTTGCTGACAGTCACCGGCCAAGCAAGCATCGTCCTCTCGCCTCACCTTTGACTTGCTGCCATGGTCAAAAAGCGCCACCCTGTCAGCGCATTTTACAACATTGTGGCAATTGTCAAAGCGTGAGAACACTGAAGCTCACCAGCAACAAAAGTCGGCCCAAAAAGAAATACTTGATGGTCAACATTTTGAACAATAGGTACCTACCTGGTGTGGGGCGCAGTGTCATTGCAAGTCGAAGTGCGGCATGCACAATCAAGTGGATGAACTGCTGCGAAAAGTTGCTAATGGGGCGTCCAAGTTTCCCCTGACACGTGCAAAAAGAGGCGCAGCGAGCATATCGCAATCATTTAATGGTACTGTGAACTTTGACGTCAGCTCATTTGAGGCTCTCAAAAGCATGGATACACATAAAAACAAAATGTTAGCAAAGCCAGTGCGTTTGCGCAAAGGTGGCCTTACATCCGTAGAGTGACAAAAGCTGTCGGAATAGCCCCGGTTGGGCGCGATGCGCATGCCTTGAACCTGCGCATCGGTTTTATTTGCCAGCGGAGGTGAGGCAAGGAATCAGCCACGACCGAGAACCAAAGTCAGGGCCTTTTTGTGTTTTCAACGTGACGGAGGTGCGTCACCAGCCGACAAAAAAAAAAAAAAAAAAAAAAAAAAAAAAAAAAAAAAAAAAAAAAAAAAAAAAAAAAAAAAAAAAAAAAAAAATTTGGGAGAAAACCCCTTTT